TAATTTGACAGGATTTTAAAAGGATTCTTTTAAAGTCACAGAAAATGGGGTTTAAAAGCTAATAAATACTTTAAAAATGTATTCATTTTTTAGTTGTTAAGTTCCAATTTCATATCTGCTTATACCAAAAATCTCTTCGATCTCTTAGTTCTAAGTTCTTCACAGCAGAGCGAAGAGACCCACTTGGATTAGCGTATTGCACTAACGTTGCCTTTGCTCTTGCCAGTGTCGCCATCACCATCGCCATCGTAGTCATCGCAGCCAGCTGCCTCTGCCCTGCCACGCCCCTTCGCGGCCCCCATACCCCTCTCGAAGCCCCCCTCAATGCCGGATTCTCCATGGCTGTCTCTGGTTCTTCTGTTCTGTTCGCTGGGTCCTACGCTTTGGCCAACGCATTTTTGTTTTGTTTAGAGCGCAAGTTATGCGGGCGCCAAGGAGGAGAAATCGAGAAGAAAGATGCAGATTGGGGGGCGAATGGGGAATACCTCTTGCTGCTCGACACATGCCGACAGGTATCGAAAATGTAACCCAAAATGCAGCTCAACGCGCTTGCAGTCGCTGGAAAAACTGAAGGAAAACTGCAAAAGGGGAAAAAGCCTGGGAAAACGGAAAGAATTGAAGCTGGCGGCAAAAGTTTGTAGGCAAAAGTTGTTCTTTAAGCTGACTTCACCTGACGTCAGACAGCACGCCGGAAGAGGCAGCCGAGCAATCACACCACCCCACCGCACAAAAAAAACGCCCCAGTGCCACCCCCTAAGGATACCCAAACCCAAGCCCCCCAACCCCCTTTCCCACTTCGTCCCGCTGCCGTCGGGTTTTTCCCCGGCACACGCACCTTTACACATTTTTCCACTTCCCTTTCATTCCGCCGCTGGGCTCGGGACTCCGGCTCTCGGGCCAAATGAAAAATTGCACACGCGGGAATTTGATTTTAACATGAGAAATAAACACAATGAAGCTGACGGCCCAAACGGGCCGAAGGGCCAAAACGAGAGAGGGGGCGGGCCTTCGGGGGTCCGAGGGGCTTTCAAAGGACCCGTGGGGGTGATGGTGACACTGCGATTGTCGTACATTCTTCGCTCTTCCAGAAACTTTAATTTTCAACTTTAATTAAGGAATGAAGCGTATGCCGCACTGGCTACTCAATTTATGGGTCATGCTATTTGGGTATTGCTAAGAAAAAGTTTTTAATGGAAAAAGGGAATTCGTGAATATATTATTAAGAATATACGATTGTGGATATAATTACAAAACATAGTTCAAAGAAGTTCAGAGGATAATCTTTAAGTAATTTAATGAATACGCTTTACTGCACTGCCATAAATACAGTTGAACTAGTATTATTAGTATTCGTTAATATAATGTAACTTTAAAAATAATACTTTTAAGTAAAGTATAATTATTAAATAAAATGGTAGAAAGATTGTAACGAAATAAAATTTTTTACATTTTAACATTTTGAGCTTTGTGTAATTGTTTTGTAGTAAACTTTAACTTTTTTAGCAGGTGTAGTTATGGACAATAAATCTTCAAAAGAGCCCTCACTCCAGATTAAAGTATTAATTTGAGCACCCAAAAATGCAATTCCAATTAGTAATGATTTACTTGACAGACAGTAATGGGTGACGAATAATAATTTCTTGGGGCATTCGATTCGACGTGCTGTGGCACATTTGAAACAGATAAGCGACAGAGAATTTTCCTATTCCAGAGCAGTTTTCCCCCTTCCTCACACGATTTCCCTCCCTGAAAAGTCCTTGCTGGCAGCCACCCCTTTCGGATAGATTGTGTTTTACGTTGGTCGCATTCCTTGCCTAATGCCGGAATTTCAATTTTAAAGACTAACTTGATTACGAAGCTGGGGGAGAAGGGGGTGGGGATGGGTTGGGGGGTAGTTCCCCATTGTCTCTCGCATGAGTTGGCCCAAAAGTTACTCGCAAGGATCAAAGTGACATAAGTTTGCCGTTCGCCGTCGACTTTCAGGATTCAGCAGCTTTTTGGACCCATCTTCATCTTCGGCTCGAATTTATTTAATGCCAGCCAAAGTTTTTAATGTAATTAAAATGGCTAAAGCCCAAAGAGTGTTTAAAGCGGTGAGCTATCGCAGCTTTAAGGGGATTCCCCTGCAGCACATTGGTTATCTAACACCCACACACAAACACTCACACACACACTCGCACTCGCACACTCTCAGATTTGGATTCAGACACACGTGCGCGTTGTGCCATAAAGTGCTCAAGTTACTTGCGGGGATTACCAGTGCCACATCCAGTGGCACACACACCTCCTCACCCACAAGAATCCCCCTGCTCCTCCTGCTCCTCCCTTTGTTTTCCAGGCGATCCTCCGTTCGGACAACGCGGCGTATGCGTCATGCGAAAGCAACATTTTTAACATTTTCCAAATGCTGCAGCGTTGATTTTCTTTTCTTTTGTCGCTCCTCCGAGCAAAACGAGAATTTCCAACTACACACACCCAAGGAGGCGAGCAGAGTGAAGGAGGAAGGACATGAGGAGAGAGGAGGGTAAGGACTCGGAACTCAAAACCGGTTGGGTGGCACAGGATGTGCGGACGGTCGCACAGATGAGGCGGAAGCACGGACAAACAAACGGATAAGAAGGCGGAGGGCCACGAAGGACGAATGTACGAAGGACGCAGGACGCAGGAGGCAGGACGAAATGGAGATGGAGCTGGTTGCCGTCGCTGTAGCTGGAGCCAAAGAACGGAGCGCACATGGAAGATAAGCCCACAGAGTGTGGCGCTGATAACGCAGGTCCTGCCGCCTGTGGCCCAAAACTAGAGGGATGGAAATATTTGTGCGGGGGCAAAGGGGAAGAAGGGAGAGGGGGTGGTACGGATGGTGAGGCGATGGTATGCCGGGCTGTGTGGCAGGAGGTCCTGTGAATTTTAACATTTTAGAGAAAATACGAACGGGAGAATTTCGAACGCCGAGCTAGAAGTCTGAAGCGAATTGCGCGAGGGCTGCGAATGGGTGAGAGATGTGGGTGAAATTGTGTGTGTCTGTATGTGGGTACAGTCAAGCTTAACTAATTTGGATGAAAAAAGCTAGACAATTTTTCCATTGATGGTAAATAACTATTTCCACAGAAATAACTCAAGTTGTACTTTACCGATTCTAGTTGATCTTAATTTTATTAAAACTAACTTTTAACGACGCCATTGCATACCTACGAAAAATTTAACATTCTACCCTTTTAAAATATATTATATCAATACCATATATAGGTAGTAAACCTATAAATTATACAGTATGTACAAAAAGTTAAGCAAAATTGGTTTGGAGTTGCAGTATAAATTAAATAATATTATTATTGACCACAAAACAAGTTGATTAACAGTTTATTATTTTTAAATGAAATGTTATTGTTCCCAGTTTCTGATAAACAAATATTGTGTATAGAATTTTTTTTAATTTAGATGATACTAAAATAACACAACATTTTCAGATACGTATGCATGCATATTCAGATGGGAAACGCGACAGACGGCGGATGGAATTAGGAAGGCTCGACTGTGACAGCATAGCTGGAACGAAACAATTTGTAATTTATTTGCGAAGCGTGCGATGTGCCTGTGCTCCGGCTCTGTGCGAAAAGTTGAGGCAGCTGCCAAAGGCGTAGCCATCGACCAGAGACAGTGGCTCTGGAGCCGGAGCTCCAGCTCCCATTTTCCGTGCATTTGAAACCGAGACACTGAGGCAGGAGCCCTGTCCTCTGATCTGAGGCCCGAAAACTCGAGGCTGGGAGCACGCGTAAGCAGATACGCAGATACTCAGCTCCAGAGATACAGATACAGATGGTGCTCCCCTCGTCCGGAACACACACACACACAAACACATACAGGCAAAAAGGGGGAGTGGCGGGGAGGGGAGGTGAAGGGAAGGGCGACGCGTGGGTGGTCCTGGATCCTGGGGATGTACTGGCATTCACGCAGGGTGGTTCTCTCGGCTCCTTTGCTCTTTAAAGACCTTTAAACTTTAAGCCGAATGTCAGCCATAAAAAGAATCAAAAATAAAACTTGGCAGCAAAAGTTTAGCAAGCAAGTCGGATAAGCTCAAATAAAAAATATTAAACTCAAATGTTAAAGGCAAGGAAGAGGAAGAGAGAGAGAGAGAGAGAGAGGAGAAGAAGACAACGATTTGGAATAGCATTTTCGAAATTTATTTAATGTATTTTATAATGCTTTAAAAGTTTATGCTTTACAATTGGAATTCAAGTTTTAACTATCCGTGTGGTTGTGTGAGTGCGGCTTTAATTGCTTTTGTTTTTGTCTTTGTTGTTGCTGTTGATTAATGCTCAACTGGCCAAGCATTTTGGAATACAAACTGTTCGATATTAATTGTAAATGTTTACGATAATCCAAGTTAAACGTTGTCTATTGGAAGTTATTCTTTGACTACAGTCGGCAGTTTTGAGGAGTGTGTGTGTGTGAGTGTGTGAGAGTGAATGAGTTTTGTTGTGTGGCTAAATAATCTATCTCAAAATACAAATATCAAGCACTTTATAAACCATTATATCCGTTATCCAATATTAAATACAATCGTTCATATCAAAATTCTTTTTGTTTTCATTGTTTGTTTGCTAAGTAATTATTGCTATGGTGGAAGAGCGTTTAAGCTCTGCTAAGTACAAAATTCTCTCATTGCGAGTTTGAGTATTCGTCTATTGTTTGCTGGAAGGATCCTCGGGTTGAAAAACCAAATCAAAACTCGGACTCGGACTCGGGCTGCTGGGTGCTGTCGTGGTCGTCTATATATCTGGTATATCTGGTTGGTAACGCTTAATCAGTCTTGTATAAAAAACGAATTAAAATTAGCAAATTGTCTACAACCAAGCTACGTGGCTCTCTCTTCCCTACTCTTCGTTGTCAAGCAGCATTATCTAGTTTTGTTCTTTTTCATTTTTCCAATAAAAAAAAAGTATAGTTTATAATAGTTACACAAACCATTGGAGATGGGCGCTGCTAGTGGAACATTGAGATTAGCTTGCACTTAGTTAAACCATATTTTAATTCGACACTTACAAAACAAATGATATCTTTGTTGAACATGTACACGGCGGTTATACATTGTTGCCTTTTCATCAATAAATTAGGAATTAGAGTAGCAGAATAAAATTACAACTAAAATAAAATTACGATACGAGACAGAGATATTCGGGGAACTCATGCATCGCCTATATACAGGGTTTAGCGCATTTTAAAGATTGGATTTAGATTTGGATTTGCGTTTGCGTTTGGGTTTGGATTTGGGGCTTGGGCTTGGAGAGCGTCGTGTAAATGCAATCGACTCGCCGTCGCTTCGCTTTGCTTTCGCCATCTTGGCCTGGGCTGGAAGTCATGAACTTGTTTTTGGAGTGGGGGGCGTGGCGTTTGGGGGGGTAGGGCTTTAAAACGTGGCCTAATACTTGGTAACTTAAACGGATTTCGATTTACAATTGTTATCGCCAGGGGCCTAACACTTAGAATTTACAACTCGTAACAGGGGGACCGGGAACCGTGGCGTAGAATATCGGGGAGCTGGGGGGCGAACGGCCCTCGAGTCCCGCCCCTCCTCTAACTCCGGCTGTCGTTGCTCTCGCTGAAGCTCTGCTCGCTCGACTCCCGCCGGCTGCTCACCGGCTTGGCCTTGTACTCTGTGATGAACACGGTCACCGAGTTGACCGTCACCTCCCGCGTCTGCGCCGTCGAGCGGTCAACGTTTTTCAAGCGGGCCGGATACCGCTTGTGCCGCTGCCGGTCGTGCCCGCTGCCGTGCCGCGATCCAGAGGCGGACTTCCCGTTGGGCATGTTGGCACTGGCGCCCGGCAAAGTGGCGGCCTGCTGGGCGACTAGCGCTGAGTTCAGGCGCGGCTTTCGGGTGGAGGTTCCTGGGGGCAAGGGTTCAAATTGTTAGTAAATGGTTTTTTGGGTTCAACTTAACCGAGTGTGTTCCAGTTTTCACTTTTACGCAATGGAATCGAGCTTGCAAGCATTTTTCTATTCATATATTAATGTCGAAATGTGAACAAGTTTGGAACCTAAACTGCAGACAAGTTAAACATTATTATTCATTTAAATTTTAAAACTCGAATCGAAATGAGTTGACAGGAAATGATGAATAAAAAATAAAAACTTTAATTCATTTTCAGAAATTATATCTAGATACATTTGAGCAGACCGGTTCCCAAAGATTTATCCTTTTGATCAGACTTTTAAATCTCTTTACAACTTGTAGGTATATCCTTGTACAAATATTTGTTTTTTACATAAAATAAGTATAGATACACAAATAATAAAACTATTAACCTTCCCATTACTTAACATTAGTCGTAAATATCTTTGGGTAAACACAGTTGTTTTTAAATTGTACTGATAAGCTAATGTATCTGCAAGATACTTGTTTGCACTAAATATTTTTGTTTACATGAATCTCACTACTTATCCTTGCATTAGGCACTAGAAATCGTTCCAAAAACCATTCAATACTCGATCAAGAAAGTGAAAACCGGAACGCGCCTGGCAATCTGGGGAATCGGATGAGTCGGGTGAATCGGGGTCACTCACCTTTCCGCACGTCGCACATGCGACACTTGAAGGCCTCCGCCGAGTTTCTGTATGTGCAGACGCTGCAGTCCCAAAAGTTCTCCTCGATCACCTTCGCCTGCCGCTTTTGTCGTCGCACCGGCGAGGATTTCTTGTCCATAATATAGAGGGAAAACCGCCTGGGCTGGTGGAAAACAATTCGACAAATTGCAGTGCCTGAAAATGCCCGAGTTTTCCGCCTCTGTTGACGCCTCTGCCCGCCCCTGCTGCGCTGCTACTGCGCTGCCTGGGAGCTCTGCTCGCTGCTCTGCCTGTTCCTGTGCTGTTTTGTTGTCGTGCGCCCACTTTTCCACGCCCACGCACCCACACACACGCACAACAGAGGCTCAGTGGAGATTCGCTGCGCTTTTCGCACGCATTTGTTGCTTAATTTGAGCGTTTTCGGTGGCTTTTTGTTGTGAAAAAAACTTTCTGCAATTGTCTTTTTGCAGCAGAGTTGCCATATTACGATATAATCTGTTTAAGGCTATCGATATATCGATTTCGCCGCGTTAACAGTGTTGGCCAGCGTCGGTTTCGAGACGATCTGGTAGCTTTTCTGCTTATCTTAGCGCCAAAATAAATAGAATTTGAAATTGCTAGTCATTTGTTTTTGTTTGCTTTTTATTGTCTAGCTAAGCGAAGCTTCCACCCACGCTTTTATTAATATATGCCAGTCAAAGGCCAGCTGCTTCTGCCAAAGCAAAGCGAAGGTAAGCGGTTTTGCTTATATTAAGAAGAATAGGGAAACTTAAAATTTTTAGCAACCTCACAGATATTTATATAATGGGTGATTATTTTTTGTTTTCCTTAGATTCTCTCTAACGCTTTGCGCTTCTGTACAATCTTAGTTTATTCGTAGACAAACATCAGTTGATTTGTGTTTGCATTGAACTTCCAACTGTGACTGTTTTACTTTTTTTTGTAGCACTCAGATCACAAATACCGCAGTCTTATCATTAGTTAATCCCTTTTGGATTGTAGGCTCCCAGGAATGTGTTACACTTGCGACAGTAGTGATTCCCTGTACGGCAACTATTCATGCAATAGGGTACAAAACAGGCACAGCAACAAAATCTATAAAAACAAGAGGAATAACAAAATTGTTAATAAATCTTTAAAAGTTTTAATTTTAACTACAATGTAATGGTGCGTTATTGTTGTACCACTTAATTGGGGACAAAAACCTCAAATTTAATAGCAATAACCTCAGATTTCGTAGAAACTTAATATTATATTAAAATATATTATACATATGCACTAACTAAAAAAATTAAATTCCCCATTTTAAAAATGTTCGGAATGGTTTAAAAATCGAAGTAAAAAAAACCTTTTCAATACATCGCTGAGGTAAAGTTCTATTCACATCAATGTTCAAGGTTTTTTAATTATCGTTAAAATATATTTTCTTTCTAACTTTATATATGTCATTTTAGTGGCACTAATTATTAGTCCAAGTCAAATCAATGCCGTAGCACAAACTAATTTTTCCTACATACAGTGGCTTGAGTTATGGAAGGTCTTGTATGTTGTTATGTTGCTTATATTATGTTATATCTTTTTTAAGAGACTTTAACTTACCCTACTAAGCAGAGAATACCAGCTACCAAGTGCGTTCTGGAATTAGCCGTGTGTGTCATCCTGGTGGTTTTGTTGGCTCCACAAGCGGGACAAAGAACTCTGCATCGGTTTGGCCCCAAATGCAGGGTATCTGCAATAACAGAAGTGACGTCAGAATGGCTTTAAGCCAAACCTTAAACCAAACAAACTACCAACCAATTGGAACCACTGTAGGTGGCAGTGGAGTTGGCTGCTCGACAACAACCACTGGTGGCAATGCTGGTACAATCGGTGGTGCGGAAACCGCTGGAACCACCGGAACAGACACAGCCATATCGTAAGATGGAGGCGCCTCCACGGGCAAACCCATGGGATTGACCAATTCCCTGGTTGGAGTTGGTGAAGGGGCACTCGGGGTATTAAAATCCACTTGTGGATACAGCATGGCTCGTTTCTGATCCATCTTTCAAGCACTATAAAGTCCCACTTTAAGTACGAAGTTCAGTTTTTGTTTCTTTTTGTCTAGATGAGTAAGAGATTCCGGTTCGGTTTCAGCAGAAAATTGTGTTTATTTTGCTTATTTACAACTACGACGGCGTCTTTTGCACTTCGCTCGCCGCTCACAACTGCCAGCAGATTTGGATCCAGGTAAAAAATTCAGTTTCAGTTTCGGAATCGCATTCAAGTTTTTTTTCCCGCAGATCAGAGCGAGCTTGAAAAAGCTCCCAGCCGGTTGAGTAATATTTTTGGGCCGTTGCAAAACCGAAAGTGTCTCTCGAATTGTGTTTACCGAGCTTTATCTAATGCACACAATGAACATCACTGTTTATCTTAGCAATCTCGCGTCGGAGAATAGGATGTCCGATAAAGATACAACGATTGTACACATAGAAAAATGTCGGTAATTAAGTAAGCTTGGGGTAAACAAAGAAAAAAATAATCAAGGCCACCTTGTACGAAAAATTTAAAAACAAGTACTAAAAAATGATAATGAACCCAAAAAGCTGAGTGCGTTAAAACAGTAAACAAAACTAAATTAAAAGTTTGCATAGCCGAATCAAATGAATTTAGAAAGCCAATTTAAATTTAAATTTGGTAATTTTCTATTTTAATTATTCTTTAAACGCCGATATAAGGAGCAAAAATATTTATTTTAGGATATACATACATTTGTTTTTCCACTTTCAGTTATTTAAAATACGATTAAAAACAATAACAGCAAAACTGGTTTAAAATGGGTTTTTACTAATGCAACCCAATTAAATCGGATATGTTTTTTGTTGCATTCTAAGCAACTTTAAAGCTTTGAAATACCAGCTATAAATATGAAATACTTTAATATGGTTCAGTTGCATGTTGCAGACCTTTTATTAACTAACTACTTGAAGAAAATGTGTTGGCATGAACAGAACGATCAAACGAAAACTCCTCAATTGCTCACTTGCGATCGTAGGTGCCCAAGTAACGATCGCACATGCCACAGTAGTGATTCGTGTTCATGCAGCTGGAAATGCAATACGGCAGGCACACACAGCAGTACAACCTGTAGAAAATAAACAACGGAAATAATGAGTCATTGCGAACCATAAACCACGCTAAAAATAGTTAGATAGAATTGAGCAAACCTTACACTGCATCAAAACGATTGCAAATAAGTTTGATTTCAATTCTGCAATTGCTTAGATTTTGACTTATTATAAAATATTTTGCTGTCTAGTCATTACATTAAATAAATTCGGCATATGTATATGACCCACAAATTAAAGTAACAAGAACAATAAAGAATACCTAAGCAATAAACTAAATCACTTATCATTGACATGAAAAAATATCAAAGAAAATGTGAACCATATCACATTGAACTACATTTTAAGGTGTTTTATCGGCCATGTTCTTCACTTTCATTTATAATAGTTGTTTGATGGTTACATTGCCATGGTAACTTGAAGTACTAAACAAATTTAGTGAGTATTTGGGGTGAAGTGTGATTGCTTACTTATGAAGCTTGATTGAGCACCAAAATATATTATCTTTCTTTGGCGGTGTACTCAGAGAAACGAACCCAAACTATCAATTGGATATTGATAATAAAATGTTGATAAGGAAATGTGATTATTTTACATGGAAGTTCGTTTTATGTCTTTATTGACCAAGTCCTAAACTTACGCCAGAGCTCTTGTTGGTTTATTTAACAAAAATAAAATATTGTGGATATCTTCAGAACAGAAAACGTAAGAACGGAACTTGTTTATTAAATATTTTAGATTAGCAGAAAAATGGTTCTACCCAAAAACTTTTCTTTACCGAAACGTTTTTAGTTACTGCTCACATTTTTTCATTAAGAAACTAAACACCATTGCGTTTTTTGAGTAAGTTTTTATGGTAGACTAGTGTCTTATTAATCCCCACTGAGCTCCAAAATATTGTTGTGTATTCTTTTCTGTGTACTTACTGGAAGAGGCACAATATCAACGCAATCAGGTGGGTGCGCGAGTTGGGTCTGTAGGAGACGCGTGTGCGGGCGTAATTGTGGCAATGGGGGCACTGCACGTCCATGGGTTCCGGGCCGTAGGGAGACCCAGGAACCACAACGACCGTATGCTGAGTGGTTGCAGTTGCTGCCGGAGTAACTCCATCTGGACCTGTGGTCTCTGCCGGAATCGTTGTGGCCTGGTCGTAACTGGGCGGCGCCGGAGGCAGAAGTTGCTGATGCTCCGGCACCGACTCACCGGATCCTTTGGGAGCCTCTAAGGGTGCAGCCGGATAAACGGACGCCATGGTTTGTACCTTTCTGGGTGTGTGCACCGCTGGAAAATGACTCAAGGGAGAGCCGTGGAAAAAAAAGACCGAGTCGCGTATCGCGTTTTCTTATCAAGTAAAGCCGAAAGCTCGTTGTACCGATTGTTTACCCTGTCGAGGGGAATTTCATCGTCTGTCGACACCTCACCAAAAATGTTCGCATTCCCAATGATTTCTGTGTGTGTTTGTACGTTTGTTTGCTTGTTTGAAATGTTGTGGGTGAAGGAGGTTTGTGATCGGTTCGATTTGGTTCGGTTCGTTGCGGTTCAGTTTATTGAGGTGCTGGCTAACCGCTGGCGTAGACGCCCACGAACTTGTTGCAATTGCCGCAAAAGTGATTTGCATTCATGCAGCTGGTGGCGCAGTACGGCAGACACGCGCAACACCAGAGGCTGTTTGTGAATTTCCAGCGGAGAGATTAGATAAGATTGCGCACTCAAACTGGGAGTCTGGAGGTCTTACCCAACTATACAGAGCAAGGCGGCCATGCTGTGGGTCTTCACACTGGGCGAATACTCAACACGGGTCCGTTTCTTTACATGACAATGCGGGCAGGTGATGAAACTGGGATCCGGACCCACCGGAAGTACAGCTTGATCTGAAATAATAATTTTTCACATTATGTAGTATTCATTCTGGCCATAATCTACACCCACGTTGTATGATAACCACAGGTGGCGGAGCTGCTGCATGAACCACTTGAACTGGGGGCTGCATGTGCACCACCTGCTCGTAAGTGGGTGGTGGCATCTGGTGGGGATAGCCTGTGGATCCCACCGGCGGCTGGTTGTACTGCATCTCAGCTTGGCCTCCAATCACGAACTGAAACTGAGCGCGCAACTCGCTCTTTCGTCATTTGGCTGCGATTGCTGTTGCACAACATTGCTGCCGCTTGTTGCTAGCAACAATGTCTATAAAAGCTCTGTTTAATAGCTTTTTATCTTGTTTGTTTACAACCAAAGTACGCACATAGTCGAATATCTTAAGTTGTTTAAAATGAAAGTACACTGATCAACAAAATGAAATTCAGGAAATTTCCATCAGCAATCCTTCTCTTTTAGCTAAGTTACAAAAACAAGTATGTAAAATATAACTCAAAGCATTTGTTTATAAAAAAAAACATAATGAACTAACACTTGAAGATCATTCAAAAAGTTATCTCTGAATTTTGTAGTAGTTTTCGGCACTTCGTCGCGTATTCTTATCAATCGGCGACTCGCTTTTAACAAACTTCCTTTTCCGGTGTTAGAAAAGCAAGTCAACTACTAAAATTGGTTGATAAAGTAAAAATATTATATTATTATATACCTACCTACATACCAAATGCTTTGTGAAATCATAATCAAATTCTTAATTAAATTCAATTAAATGTCCGGTTATTATTAATATACGTTTTTTTTGTTTATCAGGGGACTCCCACTAAAATTTATTACCTATGTACTTGAAAACATGCAATCGGAAATTACATTTTGTCATGTGAAGCATTTATTATTCAAATCTTGATTCAAATGATTAGCCGATTTAAATGCACATACACATAAAAATATTTTATTAAAATATTACAAATTTTAAAAAAATTATTATCTAAAAATAAATATACTACTGACAAAAATGCATAAAAACTACTTAGTAATTGGTTTTCCACAGCAACAACACGACCTGCAAAACCATCATTAAATTTAATTTAAGTGAATTCACAAAGTCACTTCCACCTACCGAAGATTAAAACAAATTCGTTGCCTCCAAGAAAATTTAAAGTCGTCGGACGTTAATGATCCTTCTGATGGTTGTCTGTTCGGTTTTTCTTTCTGTTTTTCATTTTTCGGCTCCGACAAACTTCTGTAAACCTCCGGCGACCGCGTTTTATTTTCTGGACTGTTCTTGAACGGCATCTTTTCAAAACTAAGCTCACCCCAACAGCAAAAGATTTCAGCTCGGGCTTTCTCCCGAATTCTGAGAAGAAATCCAAGCGCAGCTGATAAGGTTCGACTGTTATCAGGAATTTAAAGTAGCTTATTGCTGAATATATTAGTCATATATATTTATTTAAATAAAAAATCGAAATACGACGCAAATCTTGTTTTGTTTTTAGTGTATTGTTATGTTTATTTTAAAGATTTAAGATTTTTTATTTAAGTACAAATGTTAAAACAAAAAGACTCGAAAAATAAACCTAACTCAACATTTAGTTTTTTGAGCAGGATTCTAAAATGTTCAAATGAGAGTTGATCTTTTTTTTATAAGTTCATTAAAATGTTTTTCAGATTAAATAGTTAGTTTTTAGTTTTAGTAAGAAACAAATTCAAATGACAAACTATTTTTCCTCCAGAATATTGTCTCTACGCATAAAAGTATGCAATGTTTTATGCCAAGCAATACTCGTATACTTTATATTTAAAGCACACGAATTTCGGCATTTACGATACGTCTATGCCACAATTTGTATGCCACAATTAACCGTAATCCAAATAAAAAACTTATATTTGAATCAATTCGAAAAGAAAATCTGTATTTTTTTGTTTTTTTCTAAGAATCACTTAACTAACAGTTTATGATTTACATTAATTTCCACGATCCCCGGATGCCCAGGAGAAGGTAAGGTAAGAAAATTTATAATCTCGACGAACAGGATCTCAGGAATCTTATTTCCAGGAATGTTTTTTGAGCACTTATACACTATTTATTTATTAATAAAAATTGCCGATATATAGTTATTTAAATACATATTTGAAATATAAATATATCGTATATGTACTTACCCTGAATAAACTGCGGTTGTGCCAAGTTCACAGGCTGTGGCTGATTTTGATCGTTCTTCTCCATTCTGCGGTTTATTTCATTCTGATGTGTTGCCCGTCTCAACTTGGGATCTACGCCAAAGTTATCTTTTATAAGGTTTTTACTTTTCAATCAGTAAGAGGAATTTTCAACCATTTAATTCTTTCAGTGAAAGAAAGTATTTTCAGCTGTGTGTGAGGGGAGGAACTAAATTGGGGATAGGGCTATTTATTTTCAATTCCATTAATTGAAACATCTTCATAGAAGTAAAAAAGCGTTTAGCTGTGAATGCGTTAATATAAATAAAGTTTATTAAAACGAAAAAAGAAATTCGAAAAATTTTATGATATATTTAGAGTTGGATTAAAATAACTCTTCCTACCATCTATTACGCTACAATCTCCTTTCTTTTAAAATATTGTAATTGTAGTTTTAAAGCTTTCTAAAACCTACTTTTCAACATAACATCCAGGAATCGAGTACGGGCACTCAACATTTCGCAGAAAAAATTAAAAATTATCAAGCCATTAAGTATATTAATCAATTTATTAAACATTATCCAACTTTCAGACTTTGTAGATACAATTTCAAAGCTCAACCGTCTTAAAAGCTCAAGGCCTGCTCAACTTGTATTATGTATGCAAGCAACAAGCACAAAATGCAACAGCTGACCGAAGTCTTACAACGTTATTGTAAAGAAGTATCTTATGAATATACGGGTAGATAGATCTCATCTCTTTCCCAGCCACAGGAGCGGCATTTGTATACTCGCTTATACATGCCAACTCTGCAATATCGTCGGCAGCAGCACAAGGCACTAAAAATAAATGCAAACAAACTAGATAAAGCAGGAATTAAGTGTAATAACTTACCAAAAATCCATCTTTAATTTCTTCATTTGAGATATAGTCAAACGACTTTCCAGGATCATGGGTTTAGCTTCACAGTTGGGACAGCTTAAATCTTCCGGTATTTCAGCACGCATTGTGACTATCTTTAAACTGAGCAATTCAGTTTGTCTGCCGACTGCCTGTTGCATTTTTATGACTCATTGAATTCTCTTGCAAAAAACGCAACAAAATGTTGAAGAGATTTTCTTGGGAGAAATGTTGCAATATAGTCTTAAAAGAGAGCATCGCTCATTTGTAATAAATGAATTGAATCACTGTAAGTAATTAATTTAAAAAGAAACAATCTCTTCATTCCAATTTTCCATATTCAAAATTATTGAAACAAACAAATGGTTTTTTTTTATTGTATAAGAAATTATTATTAACAAAATACTTAATTACATGAATTTAATTTTTTTTTTCTCTCTTTCTTTCGGATTCTTTTGGGTCGCAGGACTTGCTGAAAAAAAAAAATAATTACTGTTAATATATAACCCAATTGATAAGTGAGAACAATTAATTACCAATATCTCAAGACACATCTTCTAATGTTTTCCCAGATTTGATACTCTTCAAAAGTCATTGAATTTTGGGCCTTTTTCTTTTGACATTGATAACAGCGCTTACTTTCCACATAATTATTATGTGTAGTATCCATTTTAAATATTTGGGGCGGTGGTGGAAGCGGGGGAGGAGTGGGTCCCCTTTGAATTTCCGCCCCAAGTTCACTTCCTTCAGTAGAATTCATTTTCACAGAGGTCCAATAAAATACAATCAACTTGCTACTGGGTTTATTGCGCACTGAAGTTAGAGTGCTGGGAATTTCACAGCTTGTGAAATCGCCTTTTCTCAGTTCGCAGATTATTTTCTTGCAAATAAATTGTAAATAGTATTAGTCATCTTTCAAATGTATGTAAACTTGAGTACTCTACGCAACATTAAAAAGAGAACTGGACGATTCTGCAACATATGAACCTATCTTATTCAGCATGTTGCTAAGACCTGTATCAATTCTGTTGATTTGTTTGCAATTGACTAGACACAACTGTTTATAAAAGGTACATATCAAATCGACAGGCGTAAGCAATTCTTTGAACCTATTTACAGCGGTCTGTCTTCGGTTTTCACTGTTTATATGATTATAATTAAGAATTATCAAAGTGCCTGGTCAAAAGTCAACTGTCGGTAATCTCGAGTTCCGAGAATCCCAGCTTAGTTGATAAGCAGAGTTTATTAAAATGCGAAGACAATAACGTAATGCAAAAACTATGTATGTGGAAATAATAAATGGGCACGATTTTAGTTTCCGGGGCGCCAAGATTTGAGGACATATTTTGGGTAATTGGCCCAAAATAAACACTTTTTAATAAACAAAATTTTTTGATATCTCGCACAGTTTACGAGATATCGAGCCTTAAATATCGGCTTGTAGTGCGGCCGTTACACTGGCAAAAAATTTTTTTTTTAAGAAATTATCTCAAAAATAAATATAGCATATGTATCAATGCATAAGTGCGCGCGCACTATATTATTTTTTGAGGTAATTGTTATAAAAAAAACTAAGCTAAAAACTGAAAATTGGCCAAAATTTTATTTTTATAAAAATTATCTCAAAAAAATAATATAGCATATGTATCAATGCATAAGTGCGCGCGCACTTATGCATTGATACATATGATATATTATTTTTTGAGGCAATTGTTATAAAAAAAAAACTAAGCTAAAAACTGAACAAATAAATTTAAGTGTTCGTCTTCGACCGAAAGTACCGCAAATCTTGAAAGTTCCAGGAAAAATATGTGCAATAAGTAATTTCGCCTGCTACCAGCCCTCACTATAATCCGAAATTTAGGGGTCGATATCTCGTAAACGGTGCGAGAAATCGAAAAATTTTATTTATTAAAAAGTGTTTATTTTGGGCCAATTACCCAAAATATGTCCTCAAATCTTGGCGCCCCGGAAACTAAAATCTCCCCAATAAATGTAAATGATATAATTCATATAATTTTTTGCACATATAAGAGAACATATTACTATTTTTTATATTATATACATACATATATGTCGGAAACAAGGTTCTTTCTTCCATTTTCACTAAACTTTTACTACTGATGCGCCAGCACAGCGAGTTCCGCTCACTTTCGTTACCAAAACTAGATTGCCCCGATCTCATCTCATATACATGGTAGAATTATATGAGGTAGTCCCGTCGGCTTCAAAATCGTTCGGGTTTTTTCCCCCTATCGACCCGAACCCATAGGAAAACACTCTCGCTCTAATTGTAGTGTCGATAGGGGGAAAGAAAAGCCGACGGGACTACCTTATATAATTGTACCATGGACGGGACTACCTTATATAATTGTACCATGGTCCATGGTAGAATTATACAAGGTAGTCTCTATTATACCATGCCATGGTCTTATATATTGTCGGCCTACATATCTTGTCATCTCCTTCTATCTCAGTACCTTTGGTAACCCGTCAACGGACCTCACTCCTCAGCAGAGACCGCCAGTGTCTCTGCTGATATGCTTTACGCGTAAATTCTTGTACTTCCCCGAATTATCATCTCGTCAACTCACCAGCAGAGACTGACAGCGTCTCTGCTGCTATGCCTTTCGCAAGAATCCTTATTCTTCCCCGAATTGCGACCCGACAACTCGCCAGTAGAGACTGCTACCGTCTCTGCTACTATGCCTTTAGCATAAATTCTGTGATTCCTCGAATCTATTTCCGACATATATGTACATATATGTATGTCTTCTTAAGATAGCGCCAACAATAGACTTGTCATATTAGTTCTTTATTTGAATATAAAAGCTTATATATTTTTTAATTTAAAATGTATAACACGCGCCAATAAAATTTTTCGAACATTTATGAAAATTAAGTGTTTGATCTATGAGATCAGCCCAGGATAAGTTAATGAAAATGGTCAATATTAATAAGGTCAACTTATTTAAAAGAATGTGTGTGATCAGAGGCAATTCCAAATTTAATAGTCAAATATAGCAGTCAGCCTGCTCATATATTAAGTCTGAGATTTGCTTTCCATTTTGATAAAAAAAAAACATTGCTTGATAAATTGAATTTGAGAAACTCATTCGCTTTTTATTCACATTCCGGCAGCATGATATGGCAAACATTATTTCCTATCAAGAGCAAATTTGTACGTCGGTGGCTGAGTAGCCATTTTAGGTTTGGATTTAAAGTGCAATCAACAGAACACGATTGTATAACTTTTAATATTTAAAATAATCTTCTACTTGGCAACCCAATTGGAGACTCTATAAAACACTGCTGATAACATCGTTCATTTTTTTGTATTTATGTGTTTTATTGAATAGTACGTGTACGAATATACATTTTATACAACATAAACTGGTATAAATGCCAGAGGTCCAAATATAGGTATTTCAATTTACTGCATCTTCAAAAACCACTTTGACGTCGTAGCATATTTTCCTTTTAGGGTGACGTAATTTCCTTGAGGTATGTATACATATATTTACATATATTTAATCAAATTCAAGATGCTGCTTGGGAATCCATCTGCGAAAAGGCATGTTTCAGAAACATGCCAGTGAGATTTCGTTTGGGGACAGGGGATGTTTTTGAAAGGAACTTAGTTCTTGTATGTTCCCACATAGGCTCCACAGCTGCTGCAAGTGTGTTTGGCCGACTGGCAGGAGTCGGTGCAGTATGGAATGCAACAGCAGCAAATGCCACTAAAAAAACAAAATTCACACAATTATCTTAAAATTGTTAAAAGTTAGTAACATACCCAAGCATGCAGATCAGAAGAGCCAACAAGTGGGTTTTGGTGCTTGGCTCAAACTCGACTTTCGTTTGCCGACGGACTCCGCAACTCGGGCAAGTTGCCATCGATGGAACGCCTCCCAAAACATTCGGTGGTGCTAAAAAAAAACCAAACCCAAATTGTTTACATTTCACCTCAACAGCCACTTTAAACTAAAAAAATTGTTTAAAAAAGAATCTCTAGCACCTCTGCATATTTATAGATTTTATTAAAATAACTTTTATTTGCAAAATTTTGGCCAGCATATTTGCATAATCAAGTTTATAAGAGAGAACCAAATTCATGTTTGAAAATTTTTTTTAGTGTTTCTGATTAACGTTTGAAGAACAAATTAAACCAATTTTTTCCTTAATTTTTAAATATTCGGTTGGCTAATTACCCTGCATAATTTGAGGTTGGGCCAAAATCACCGGCTGCTGTTGATTGTAGTAACCCTGGGTGTTGGTATCATAACTGGGCGGTGCCTGGGGCACGGGCTGATGTCGGTCGTAGGGGATATTCTTCTCCATTCTTAACTTTTATTTATTTAGTTTTTTATTCCGACCGATGTGCGACGCGTTCGAGTTCAGACTGGCAACTGAAGGGCGCCTCGCAGACGGGGCCTCCAGTTCGCTCGGCTTTCCGTTTTGTGTACACTTGGCAATTTTTGTTAGCCTTTGCGATGCCTTACTTTTCGAATTCCATTGAACTTGTGTATTTAGATTACCGCTCTTCGGAGATAAGAGTATTTGATTTGTTTTTTTCTGATTTTAGGTTCATCCTGTTCACAAGCTAGATGCAGCTCTTAGAAGTATGACTCATGTTTTGCACTAAAATTTACTGATATCATATAAATATGTCATATATAAAAAATGGTTTATTCCCAACACTTTTGACATGTGTATCTACATACATAAATATTTTTATTTTAAAAGGAAACATGACTGTACTTATGTACATATGTATGTTTATATGCATACATATAGTACATATTTTTATTGTTATTATATATTGCTATTTCCCCAGGCAACTATCTTTTATCTGTAGATGACAGATATAAATGCTCTGACGTTTCAGCTAAGTTCCAACCATTATCCTGCACTTGAAATTATTAAAATTAAGCGAAGTTATTTTGATGACGCAAAATAGGCGGGTTCGTTCTACACTGCAAAAGACACTTAAAAAGACGCAATAATTTTCTTCCTTGAATCTTTTTATTGGTGTGCTGAGGATACAAAAGCTTAAGTAGGTATGGGCACTACAATGTTTTTTGCCTTATACAAAAAATTGCGTCATATCGTTTTAAATGTGAGAGAGGTAAACAACGGAATTCGAGTGAAGCTCTCGACTACATTTCGCACTGGCTGCTGGCTGCAGATAAGTGAAAAGCAATCACCTTCTCAAAGGACCTTCAACGCTCGTAGGTGCCAACGTAGGCGTTGCAGGATGGGCAATGATGATCGGCGTTCCGGCAACATTGAGTGCAGTAGAGGCAGCAGGCACATGGCCAAAGGCTTTGAATTAAAAGAGGTTACCCATTAAAGGATCTAATAATTTCAGTTATCTCACCAAGTGAGGCACATAATCAGCGCTATGAGATGAGTTTTGGTGGTTGCCTTGGGTTCAATACGGGTGGTAACCTGCTGACGGCAGCTGGGACAAACGACGTTGCACGGCTCGGGACCAACGGGTGTGGACATCTTTCAGCTTGTACTGTTGAATAGGAATTAAAAAAGCAGCAAACCAAAGAGCTTTAGTTACTCCAATTGCAGCAGAGACCTTGAAAACTTCGCGTGCCATCAGTGCATAAGCATTGAATGACTCGTGTGTTCAAAGAAATTAATTGCACACCCGACCCGCCATGTAAACAAGCTCCGATCAGCCTTATCTCCACTAATTGTTTGACTATGGCTATGTACTAATAATCCCCCTCAGTGCTCCAGAAAGTGTGAGGTCATCTTTGCGGGCCACCGAAACCGAAAGTGTGGAACATCATGTGTCTGCCGATGTCGTCATCGCATAATCGCAAGTGAGACGGTATCCATGGTTAATTCAACCCCCATTTCATCTATCATCTCCGCAGCCGGCTTGCTGCCCAATTTGACTGCTCGTGCGGCCAGAAACAACGCATTCTATTTATATTCACACTAGGTCCGAGCACACATAGCGTAGTATCGTCGTTAAGTTCTTGGGAGTGTCCGGCGCCAGTGAATAGCACTCCCCCTGGAATCCACCTGGCGTCCTGCGTGCTTTCCTCCAGTTATCACTGTACGAAATTTCAAGGAGCGGCAATCATCTCAAAGGCGTTGTCCTGTTTGCTTAGCAACATAAATAATTTCACCCGACTCTATAGGAACTCAATTAACCTTGGCTTTGAACGTTACCCATATTTATAACAATTGTACGTGGCTTGCATTTTTTATTTTGTTATTATTTTTACTTACTGTGTGTATTGTACGAAGCCAAAAAAAATGTTTGGAAGTACAAGTTTTAAGAGCACACCAAACTGCGTGCTGTTTGAGTGGCGAATGAGTTGTGCGAAACAAAATTTTGCCCAAGAAACGAGAGTGCCTGAAACTATACATATGTATATGTATGTATGACGTTTTAATAGAATGTTGCCAAACAGTGTTCCTGCCACATGTTGCAGCAGCATGTTTGTTAAGATCACGGCCACATATTGCTCTTAAATTTTAATTCCACTATATTAAGAATTTTTGGTTTTAAATTTACCGGATAGTTACTTTGAATTTTATTACAACAAAAAATTACTGTAGTTCTGCAAAATATATTTATAACCCAAATTCTATTCCACAATGTTTAAAGTCAATGTAGCAGCTACAATGTTGCCAGACCTGCAGAATGTGAGAGGCAATACAAACAAAATTTTTAGTAAATGGGAATCCCAGAAAATGATTCGCTTTGCAAAGCTTTATTTCTTTATCTTCTTTCGTTTACCGTTTGGCATACAGTAAACAGTGTTGTATAAGACTGTTGTATATACATATATATATACTTAAGTTTTAAGTGTTGGTATGATAAATGCACCACTTCAAGTCGGCTTACATACATAACGAAATACAAATACAAACTTATTTATTCGAATATGAATATGTTTTTGTGTAAGTATGAAATTGGCGAGTGTTTTCGCTGGCGTCTTCAGAAAGATCCCAAACAGGCATTGCAATTGGGGCAGAATTGGGAGGTCTTATAGCAACAGTTGCAGCAACAAGGGAGGCAGACGCAGGGCCAACAACTGGAGGATGAAACGGAGAGATACTTTAGAACTGTTTACCAGGCGCGATCGGCTATTAGTCATCGCATAACAAATTTCCTGTGTACACAGAACAGTTGCAGTCAGAAAAATAGCATTCAGATAACTTTTAGTTTTTATAATTAAAGGTACATATTTTTAGTTAGCTTTTTAACGTTTTTAATGGACAAATAAGTTAAACTTATTAAATGTAAATATATTTATATTTTCAGAAATATAACCTGTAGTTTAAAAATATTTTTATTAAGCAGTTTGATATTTAATAGTCTTCTTTGAATGATTAAATCAAAATTAATTTTTGTAAGAATAAAGCTTTAAAATACTGGTTGTGTAAAAATGTTTTGCCGTTTTGTTGGCATTTTTAATTAGCCAATTATTAAAGATTAAAAACGATAATTGTACACTTCTAAGCCGGTAAAAAAATGTTGACACTAGTAGGTAAACCTTTGCTATTAATCTGTCCCTCCTGTTTCTTATCTCCATATGTATGTATGTATGCATGCAAGTCCGTACTTAAATACTTACAAGAATAAGCAGAGAACCGCCGCCAAACAGTAGGTTTTTCCAGTGGCGTGGTGCTCCACACGCATTCGAACCCGAGCGTTGCAATGGGGACAAATCATTCCTTGGCCGGGAGTGTCCACCAAGACGGTGGTCTGGTGGTGAACCACACTCACGGGAGGTGGAGCCATCGGCGTTACCTGAGCCATTTGGGGTACCGGCGGATAAAGATGCTGGACCGGCGACACCTGGTATTGGTTCATGTCCATTTCTGCTGGTGGAGCACTGGCAATCTCATCGGAATAAGCCGGTGGGGAGTCAACTCGCTTGTAGTCCATTTTAGACAACGTGGTACATCAAAATCTGTGGCTTGGCTAAAGAGAAACCTCAGTTGTTTACGGTCGAATGCAAACCAATGAACACTGCAAACGGAAAAACGCTACTGAAAGCTCAAAATGCATGTGCTTCGCAGAAAAAATCAAACAAAAACAAAGCGTTCGGTATCATGGAGCGAGCGAGACGACTATAAGATCGTGCCAGCTTGCACACATCGATTAGATATCGCTAAATGGATTACATCGATAGAATTTAAAAAAAAGGAACGGTAGTTGCTTAATAGTTTACAGTAGAGCCTGCAAAAAAAAATCTTGGTACTTACTATAAAAAAGCACGGTTATTTATTTTGTTAACTAGTCTAGCAAAAATTTTAAATTGTTTTGAAAAAACTAAAAAAATCAATATTAAACAAAGAAATAAACATTTTAGGGCACGTTCAACATGTGTAAAGCCCGTAAGAACCAAATATGTATGTATATCCCTTATAACACCAAATGCGTATTGTAACAATACTATTGTTCAACGAGTTCAGGATAGTGTTTCTGTTTCTCGATGTTGCTAACAGATGTTGCACAACCAAAGTTGCTAGCTGTAAAAGATGTTTAGAAACAACGAAATCCTTTAACAGCTTTAGCTGAGATTCAAAAGTCCGCCCAAAATACAACACTACAATGTATATATACTTTATATAAGAGGTCAATTAAAATATATATATGGCGTTAGTTTTATGGTTTTGAAAAAAAAATTAAATTAAAATAAATGCATAGCGGCAGAACACTGTGTTGTAACAATCTTAAGCGACTTAAATTGTATAGCTCCCAATCTGGCATCCACAATTAGGGCAGTAGTGCTTGACTCTTTTGCAGTAATTGATGAAGTAGGGCAAGCATACGAAGGGCCAGCAGCTGAGAGATCAACGATAAGTCAGTTAATTTCATATCCGAAGGCGGAACACTTGGGACTCTCCAACTCACCAGCAGATGTACAAGGTCAGGGCACACAGGTGGGTTTTCCGGGTGGCGGAGGTTACCAGACTGGTGGTGACCTCACCCTTGCAGGACGGACACCTCACCCTCATCGACTTCCATCCGACAGTCAATGGAAGTGCACCCACCCCAACTCCGTTCAGCGTGTAAACGGGTATTTGGGTCACCACCACACCGTAGTCTGCATGTGGTTGGGTCACCACTTCCGTGTCTGGAGCTGCGCCCACCCATGTGCTGTTCATGTTAGCGGTGGCACATGCACTGAAAGCGTCGCCACTTAATGACAACGTTGCTCTATCGCAGTCGTTATCTTTTCTGACTAATCGACAGGTACTTTTTAAGTGAACCAGAACAACCATATCATCAAAAGGTTGGGTATAAAAGAGTTGGCATTGGCATTTGCAGCACTTAATCGCTTGACATTGGTTCCAGTAACTCCAAACCATTTAATGGTTAACAACATTACAACTTAACTGCTAGATGTTATAGGGTTTGCAGTATTTTTGGTAAACATTTTTTTTTCGTTCATAAAGGCATAAAAAGCGTAGGCCAGTTCAGCAAAACCACTCAGAAGAGTCATAAAAGAATTGATTCTTTTGCAAGAACAATAATTCATTTATTTACGGGTAAACATGGCTACGCGTTATAAATATACTGATTATCACATTATCATAATTCTTATAGATTGAATTAAATTAAAAAATGTTAAATAAAATATTATAAATTCTATTTTATGCGATAAATAATAATATAATATTACCCTATCGCATTTCCTGTTTTAATCTCTCATTTTTACAATTAAATTCTTTGTGGTAGATATAAATAAGTAGTTAATTAGTTCTCGTAGGTGCCGATATAGGCACTGCAGTTGGGACAGTAGTGGTTGTCATTTTGGCAGGAATTCATGCAGTACGGAAGGCAAACGCATGGCCAGCAGCTGTAAATGGAGATTAACAGAGATCGATTAGATAAGATTGGGGAATTATTTTGTTAGTCAGAAAGTAAAATCCAATTCAAGTACAAGGTCTACAAATTGTTTCATTGCCCTAAAAAATTTTACTTTCAAAATGGAACACGCCATTAAATTGATTTATAGAAAATAAAAATATAACAAAATATTCTTCGTTTTCGTTATTTAAAATATTTCTAATATTTTGAAACTAGGAGATTCTTTTAACCCCTCTAATAGATAAACACCCCTATAATTTTATAATCGATCAGTCAATGTACATAGATAATGTAGATAATGACTTTGAAAGGGAAACTGTCGAATTAAACGACTAAGGAACTCACAGGAACAGACACAGCATGAGGGCCCAAAAGTGTGTCCTTCCGGACGGAGTACTCCGTACCGTGGTCAATACTTCGGCGTGGCAGGATGGACAACGGATGCGGCTGGGTCCACAGCCGATAGGCACCAGATTGGAGGTCGTCGTGGTCTGGATGATCACCGTGGAAGTCTGGGGTGGTCGTGGCATCGGTGGGTATAGTGGTGGTTGGGTGGGTCCTCCTGGTTGATAGGTTTGTGCGGGCGTGAATCCGGCTTGCTCACTGTACGGCGGAGGCTGCTTGCTGTCCATAATTCTGGATCTTCACTCCTTTAAATTCTCTGGGTTCTCGGGTTTCCAAACGAATTCAAACGATCGCCTTGCTGGCCGGCTTTGCACTAAATACCCAAAAGGAAATGGAGCTACGGCAATTCCTTTAACTAAGGTTCTTATCTTATCTTATCGTACATAACGTAGGGGGTTTCTGCGAAAGTCATAAACGGATATCTGTTTTATTGTGTACTTGATTTAGTAGCCTATAGCGATGCCCTTTCAAACTGGTAATACATGAGTCATTTATTTGATAACTCATTAAATATAGAACCAGGTGATTGTTAGGCTCTGAACGATCTGAAAAATTAATTTACGTGTATTTGGCAGGGTATTAATAAACAAAGGTTGTTGGTTCTCACTTTCTCATATTAACATTTGTAATACATATATCCTTTTCAGCACGAGCGTGTCTGGATCGGAAAACCATTTCTTCAGCCGACATTAAAATTTGAAATGATTCTTCTGTTTTACGCCATATATGTTACTTACATTTAATTGTGTTTATAATGGAGTAGGTTTAATACATTTATTGGCTAACATGACAACTTTACCATTTTTGCTAGGCATTTCAGATTTTATATTGCGTTCATAAGGCATTAAAACATAGGTTTTTAAGTCAGCTCTACAGCATAACCACTTAGAAGTGTCATAAAAAATTTATTTCTTTGCAAGATCAATTAATTTGTTTACCCTTGTATAACAATTTCAGTCAGAAGTTTGCCACGCAGTGAAGAAAACACCTCGGACCTCATAAAGTATGTATATTCTGGATCAGCTTCACGATATGAATTGTGTTTGTCTGTCCGACTGTCCCTTTCCCTTCGGAATTTCCAATTGTTTTGCTAAAAATTAATCAAAGTTCCCTAATTCTAATTCTTTTTCCACATTTATTTAGAGTAATCAATAAAGTCTTACTTAGGAGTGTCAGTTGGACTTCCTGCAGCATTTTTGTGGCAAGCATGAAGTGCTTTCGAACAATCTCAAGGCTCGCTTGAGGCCAACCCCATTGGCACAATTCTGAAATATTTTCAAGAAAGATAGCAATCCGTTTCTGTACTTTCCGATTTCCTGTGCAGTACTCCAAACTCAAATACACGTTCAACACATAATATTTTTTGTGAAAAATGCCTCTCATTCAGGAGAAAACTTTGGTCGTAACAGCGGGTATTCGGGATCAACAGCGCTTAGAAGATCTCTATGAGACCAAGAATACGTGGCATTTTGGGGTGAAGGACACCCCACCACTGGATACCCTGTTCACCAGGAACCAGGCCCAAAGGCTGTTGGTCTACAACAAACAGGAGTTTCACATTGTGTTGGCATACGCTGAATTCGCCATCCATCCAAATATTCCGGTGCTTTCTAATGAGCTATGGTTGCATTGGCTCAATGCTCGTTTTTGGTAGGATAAATAAGAAATATTATTTAATAAATATTATATAATTTTCTCTACCTAAAGCATAGAACATACCATCACGTTGCTCAACTCAATATTCTTCAACTTCTTCATCTGCAAAACAGCACAACCTGATGCTCTTAGATTAACTATATTTGAAGTCTTTTACAACGAGCACAAAGTCAACTATGTGCTAGTGGTTAGGCCCCCGGATGCTTTACCAGGCCAATATGATGCCGTTGAAAAATTTGGTAAGGCCTATTACCCCAAATACTCAAAAGTTTCCGAGCAGAAATATCTTCCTGCGGTCATCATAATCCAAAGAAAGGATGTAATGCCTGTACTCTCTTTTCGAAAAGCATTGTAAGTTTGAAACTAGTGAACTTGTCACAGTTGTTTCCTTTATTTTTAATTTAAGGCCCGAGGATAATGACGACATAGTCGAGATGATAGATTCCGAGGATCCTGAGCTGCGAAGAAAGCATGGTGACTTTTATATAGCAGAGCATTTACTTGAGGCGGAAGGAACCAGTGATAATGATAAAATTATAATTGCTGAGGTGCGTCTGTTTATAATTTTTCCTTGAGCTTTTAATTCAGCGTAAAGATTTATAGTTTGAAGAAGAGATTGCGGAAAATGTCAAGGGAGCTGGCTTAATGTGGCTATCGGAATCAATAGGTATTGAAAACCTTGTTAAAAACTTTCACTTGGAGCGTTTGGGCAATTTGGCGCGATATACACAGGGAGCTAAGCATGCCCGCGTGCTAATTGAAGTTTTGTAAGATATACATTAAATTTAGTAATGTTAACTTTTACCCTTTAATAATTGTATTTTTAAAGCTCTGTCGATCAAAAATCACACCGGGAGTTATACACTAAAACACAAATGGACGAAATCTTAAGAACACGTGAAGAAACAATTAGCAAAGACGGAAAATTTGAAGGAAAGGCAGTTCTCTTCAGCAAGTTCAAATACATTTACGATGGTGAGCAAACTTGGTCATCCTATTATGCAATACGAGTTAGGAATAGAATTGTAAATTTAATACTATTTTTTATTTTTAAGAACTACGCAAGGGAACCTACTACATGAAGGCGTATAGGGAAAAACTGGAAGTTGCTTTCGATTTGCCACCTGGCGAACATTCGCACAGTGAAAATCGATTGCAGTTCTTGGGAAAGGCGTCCAATGGATTTCTGCTGAAAATGTTCCAATTGCATCCACTGGTTCGCTTTGAGTACACATACTTTTCATTGTCAGCCATGTTCAGTGCCTTTCCGGATCACGATTACTGTGTCACTTTAGTGCCATCCACCGCAAACTCGAGTCCTTGCCAAAGGGAACTGCTGCGATTCTTTTTGGTAAGTGGAATATGGCTTAGAAATTCCTCTGGAATTTGTAATGATATATCCCAATTTGCAGCCGGTTGCCCATCGACCGAATAGCTCCGTGGCGGAAAACGTCTTCGTGGCCCATCGAAGTACTTTGTTTGGGGAGCTGCGAGTTCAACGCTTCGAAAGCCAGGAGCTTGATGAAGTTAGAGCCCTGATAAGTCCGTCGTCCAGTGGAAGAAGGACCTTTGTCGACGGCCTCGAAGCTGATGATGAAAATAAAGACGAACATGCTAAGGAGGTTCTCAGAATTTTTGAGCAGATCGTCGAGAGCATCCTTGAGAATCCCTTGACCGATCTGAGTTGCTTTACCATTCGATGTGGTCAATCCAAAAAGCACACCGACTGTCCCCTGGTGGGATTTTTGGTTCTCTGGTGGGTTTGAATACTTCAGTACTAAATAAATTTTATCCATGTGTTATTACAGTCCATTTAAGGCTTATGACGATCTAAGCAAGGTATTCATGATGCCAAGGGATCAGTACAATTTGACCCACAATCGTGGAGAGATTGTCATGTTTCGGCTGCATCCCTTTTTCCAAGTGTGGTGCACTACGATTTTGCGCACGGTGGCTCTCTATGAAAACTTCAAGGAACTGTACTACATACACTACTACAGTGTTTGTTGATCTTGGGTTTGGCTAATCTAGTCTAAAGTAATAACAATCTCCTACTTTATAGGGCACTTCCCTTCCCAACGATCTGACCTACAACATGATGCCCGTTGAACCGCGTCGCATGAAGAAGAACCTATTTAACTACAAGTGCTTCGCTTCGCACCAAAATAGTCTTAACCAGGTTCCTCGTGCCTCCAACTTGGACATCTGCTCCAGTCGAATGCATGTCTTCTGCCACAATCTACAGCCCACCAAGTTTTTTACTGTGAAGCATTCGGTGCTCATCGTGGGAGTTGCGCAGGTCTGCCTCGCCTTCTTGCGTGTCGTCATTTTTAGCTGGAACTCCAAAGAGTAAGATTCATCAAAAATAAAATAAGGATAAACGCTTTTAAAATTGTTATACGTCTTCTGACCATTACGATTATATTTCAGGGATTAGACATTTAACTGTATAAAAATGTATTTAGGGTAAAAGTTTTCAAATTGTTTTTATTAGTTTCAATACCTGTTTTGAGTAAGCTAGTAAAATGCAAATTGGGTACAATTACTTAGTGGTGAAAAATTATGCTGAGTCTTCAGAATTCTATAAAACCTATATAAACCAAGAAAACTAACATACAATTTTTCCATAAATGTATTCCTTTTAGCTTGCTAAATTACAAAAAGTACAACTGCCTCCCGATGGTGGACATCACCGTGTTGGTTCCCCATGGACTCGTGGAAGCGGCCTACGACTCCGAATTTGCATGCGGTTTCTGCGGAACCGGAAGAAACTGTTTTGTGCACATCGGAAACCTGAATCCCTTTGTGAGGAATGTGCAACATCGCATGGATGTAAGGCACTGGGTGCGATTTGTTCCCGGAACCCTTAAGAGTATAAATAGGTGAGTGACGATTGTTATAATACAAAAAAAATTACTTTTGAGTAGAACACAACTTTTTTGTGGATAAAATGTTTCAGAAACCAAAAACATTTTTGTATTTTGTATTACTCATTTTTTTGGAAAACATTCAAGAATTCCAAGTTGCAAGTATAAGACATGAAATTATCAAGATGATATTCTTTCGTTGCTTGATTTTTTTCTTTTTAAACATTTTTTTTTTCAGGCAAGAAAAAGTGATACATTTAGAGGACGGTTGTTCCCTTCACTACGAAAAGCTCGTCCTATTAGCTGCACCAAGATTTGGTTTTGAGGATAAGGTATTCCAGGGAAATTCGGTGCCGTTGAACTATGTAATCACCAGTTATCGCCTGGACAGGATTATTTTCTACCGCAAGCTGACAGAGATGACCGAATCCGAGGAATCTTACAACATTATAGTCTATGGATATGGATTGGCAGTCTACGAGTGCCTTAACTTCCTGGTCACTCATGGGTGTAAGGCCCAGAATATCACTTATGTACAGCCTCATGTGCCTGTGGTTGTCGAGGAACAGGGAAATCCCGAAGTGGATGCAGGACTGGATCCTATCATCCTCGAAATGGTGGCCGATCTTGGGATCACGATTTACCTGTCGACCAACTTCAGTAGTTTCGTTTTCAGCCCAAGTAAAGAGTACATCGAAAAGGTGGAGTTCTTATCGTTTCCCCGTAAAGAAAAGATTGTGTTGGCGTGCGACCTCTTTGTGAACTACAATCGGAGTTCAATGACTACGGCAATGGAAGTTGGTGAGGAAATAAAGAAAACCCCTCTTCCGTATTTTCATTTACTTTTCCCTTTTTGAAGTTCTGGCCAAAGCAGGAATTGAGGTGATCGATAGGCAGATCGTAGTTAATTCACGTTATTGCACCAATGATCGTAATATATTCGCAGCTGGTAGTTATATAATCATGCAGCCCAAGCCCAACTTCCAATACACAGCAACAAGTCCGCAAGAATGTGCTGAAAAAGTAAGTAGCTCCTTAAAGATGTATTTTTAAAAGGTTCTTACTATTTTTTCTTAGTTGGCCTACGAACTGAATATGGTAAAGATTGTGATGCAGTCGAGGTTTTCGCGTCCATCCATGTTCACAGGATTGCTGCCAATGGGCTATCAGATCGTAAAGTTCATTCAGCCAAAGGCAGTGCTTATTGGCCAACTTCCCGTAACTTATTCAGCGGTTATGACCACCTACGAAGATGGAGACTTTTGTCGTATTCGTCTGAACAAGAAGATGATTGTGATTGAGATGGTCTTCGTCACCAAAAAGGTTAGAACTTATTCATATTTTTGTTATTATATCTTTTGCATATATCATTTTTTTTAGCCAAAGAGACTGTACTTTATGGAATACTTTTGTGGAAAGCACTCTATGCTCTTGAATGATTTGCACGGTCGCTTTCAATCGGGGTGGATTACAAACTTCTTGGATTTCTTTCAACAACCTTGGACTGAACTTTTAATGCACGATCGCTTCGAAGATTTGCAGTTGAAGAATCGCAGACTTCTGCTCTCCATGTTGCTGATGAACAATAAGGATGCAAATGTCGCCAGGGGAAGTTTGGAAGCCAGTCAGAGGCAGAGACTCGAAGAGAATGTTATCGACTTTGTAAGAACCTATCGCAAAGATTTCACACATGAATTCGCTTTGCCAGAAGATTGGGGAGTCTTTAATCTGTAATTCAAATTTACTTTAATTTTTGTATATTTTAATACGTCGAATTAGAAGACCAAATGAATTCTAAATTTACCAAATAATAATATTGAATGAAGATATTTATTGAAATGTGTTTAAATTTTCTAACAAACAAGTTAATTTTTTTGGCTTTAGCCCTTATGCATTTTTGTGATGACTGCAAGGGTATATCTATCTTGTTTCTCTGCGGATATACGTCGCTAAGCGTTATAAATATACAGATTGTATAATAGTCGAAAAGCGTTTGCTAGTGGTTTATTATTCCCATTAAATCTTTAAATTTTCCGTTGTGTTTAGTTCCTTTTTCATAATCTGATGGATTAAATTAAAAAAGGTAGCATAAAGTGTTTTAATAATATTTTGGTGTGACGACCAAGTAAAGTAATAAGACAATGTTGGCATACCATGTAACCTATCGCAATTCTTATTTCCTTTTATAAAGACTCATTTGTTTAGAGTGTGACGAATGTATTTACAGTTTAATGCTTAGAGGTCTTTAAAGGTAGATATATAGATAAGTAATTAGTTAGTTCTCGTAGGTGCCGATATAAGCACTGCAGTTGGGACAGTAATGGTTGGCATTTTGGCAGGAATCCATACAGTAAGGCAGACATACGCATGGCCAGCAGCTGTAAATGCAGATTAAGAAAGATCGATTAGATAAGATCGGGGAATTAATTCGTAAGTCAAAAGGCTAATTCCAATTGGCCTATACACGCCCTATAACAGTTGCCTTCAGTTTCATTCACCCAGTCATTTCATCCAGTTTGCTTGATTTCTGCTTTGTTATCTGACTCAACTTCAGTTCCAGTTGAGATAACATTGTATTCATGTATGGTTTAAATACCTACCTACCTATATATGTACATCTGTTGTACTTTGCAGGCGATAAGAGGCCGCAAGTATTGCATGGGCGTAGCTACTTTACTTTCTGTCAAGAAACTCCATGAGAACATGTTACTAAATTCATATGATTGCTGATTCTTAAGATTTGTATATAGGTATCTTAGATATATCTCTGCATTATAAATTTGTTCATCTCTATTTGTTTTTTTTGCTACTTTGTTACTTTATATATTAAATTTTTAAATTCTTTATAATAATTTTTGTAGATAAGTATCGTACTTGATAACTTGCGATTAAACTGGGAGATTTCTCTTAATCCACTTTTCTAGACCTACGGCCCTGCCATTCTAAATAAGATCATTCTAGGTAAATTGTGACGTTGAGCGAACTGTCTTTCCAGACTTTTGAGGAACTTACATAAACAGGCACAGGATTAGAGCCCAGCAATGTGTCCTGCTGGAGGGAGTGCTCTTCACGGTGGTCAGGACCTCGGCTTGGCAGGATGGACAGCGGATGCGGGTGGGTCCACTGCCGATGGGCACCAGATTGGAGGTCGTCGTGGTCTGGATGATCACCGTGGAAGTCTGGGGTGGTCGTGGCATCGGTGGGTACAGTGGTGGCTGGGTGGGACCTCCGGGTTGATAGGTTTGCGCTGGCGTGAATCCGGGCTGCTCACTGTACGGCGGAGGCTGCTTGCTGTCCATGATTCTGTAGTTTTAGTTTTATGGATTCTCTGGGTTCTCGGGTTTTCAGAACGAATTCAACCGATCGCTTTGCTGGCTCGCAGTGCACTGAAGACTCAACTGGAAATGGAGCTACGGCAATGCCTTTACCTCAGGTTCTTTATCTTATCGCTACATAGGGATGGGGGTTCCTGTCAAACTAATAAACGGATATCTGTTTTATTGTGCACTTGATTTAGTGCGCTATAGCGATGCTCTTCTGAATTGGTAATAGATGAGTCACCTGTTTGATAACACCTTTAATATAGAACCAAACGATGATTAACGCTTTGACAAGTCGGCCTGTATGAAAAATTCAATTACGTGTATTTGGGTAAGAGACATATTGTCGGGAGAGGGTATAAACAAACAAAGGTTCTTGGCTCTCACTCTCCCATCTTAATATTTGTAATATAATCATTTTAGCGAGTGCGTGACTAAATTATATATAATTTTGTACCGGTTTTAGCATTTCCACACCATTTCTCCAGCCTACATTTAAAATGTTAAATGGTGCACCTGTTTTTTGCCTTATATGAATGTTTTATTGTATGTATAATATATTAATTTAAGGGGGTTTTTACCTTTTTAGATAGTTATCTTTTTTACCTAAAACTTTTTTTGTTTTCTGCATGTACAACTTTTTGAGCACTTCGAAAATCTTAAAACTTCATTTAAGTATCTAATTATATTACTTTTTTGTAAATAATTGCAAATGTAATATAATTTATTTTATTTATACATAATTAATTATTAAAATGTATTATTTATTAATTTATTTTATTTATATCGTAAAATGATTTTAAGGACTACGTTATAAGACGTTAAAATAAAATAAATTGAATGTTTTTAATAAAATTATTCAAATTAGTTTTTTGTTGAAATATTTGATAATGGTCTTCGTTCTTTAATGGGTTAAGTTAACTACATTTAAACCGTTGTTTTTTATGGGAAAAGCTCCGTTAGCCACCCACTCGCCGGAAGCTTGCGGAAGCTTTTCCTCGCAGACCCAAAGTTCAAGTGCAGCCGTTAACACCGCAGCCATGAAAATAGTGTTAGGCAAATACAGTAAATACGCGGCTTGTCGGAGGCTTGACAAAACAGATGAACAACTGGTTTGTTCAGCACCCCTCACAGCCCCAAAAGATCCCCCTCTGCCGTTCCTTACTTGCCAAACGCTAACTGTTTGACTTATGTTTTTTATGGTTTCAATGTTTCAATTGTAAAATAACCCAATTTATAGGCAAATAGAAAACCCGACTCGAGTCAGTTCAACAACATGAGTCGCACGCTGAAGTTCCATCTGCAAGCTCCCGACGAGGAGGAGTTCCCGCCGGATCTGGTGGAGATTAATCTGAATCCCAACTGCGGTCAGGTCAAGCAGAAATCGGCACAGGCTCTGGACCAGTTGCTCCTGGCCACGCCCCCTCACCGGGGTTATCCTTATGGCTATGCCGAGGACTCGGAGCCGGAGACGTACTTCTGCCGGAAGAGTAACTCCACGGGTCAGCTGGCCGAGAAGGTATCGCCTCCGCCGCCGACGGCCACCAACATCAGTTGCCTGAGGCAAATGTACTGCCCGGAGTGCCACGAGCGGTTGCACGAACAGGGAGTCCGGCTGGAACGACTCCTGACCATGTGGTGAGTGTCAACAACAAAGTCAGATAATTACATTGCTAACATAAATATTTTTTTTTTTGATTGTGTTACCGTTTATATATCCTTTTATTTTTTATGCATTTTCCTTATTGAAGTAAACAACAATTACTAAACAAAGTTCTAATTTTAATAAGTGGAGTGGCTAGAAAAAGATTCTGCATAGAAATGTTTACCAGGACTGTAATTATTGACCAACTAGGTTGTTTAAATTCAATATAATACAAGCCTTATTTTAACGAGAAAGAAGAAATTATTATTTTATTTATTTATTTATTTATTTTAAGAAAACGGTAAATTGAGATTAAATTTAATTGTTAATGTAATGTAAATAATTTAAATTGGTAACTTTTTCAAGGAATGTTTTAAAGCTTTAACCTGTTAACCTTCTAAGAGACTTTGTCTGTGATATATGCAAATAAAATCGTTTTTATTTTTCCTTATGACAACCAGAAACAAAACACATTTTTATATTGTTTTAAATATGTATTACCCTTAAGATTTTTGTTGTATTTTTCTTTAATTCTGATTATATTTTGCCATTACTTTCAGTTGTTTTGCCTTCCTGCCCTTGTATCCCTGCTGCCCCAGGCGCTCCGCCAACGATTGCAAGGTCATCTGTGGCAAGTGCGGCTACCTCTTGGGGGCATGGAAGAGACAATGAGGAGGGGAGAGGGGAAAGGGGAGCCGTGGGAAGGGGGCAATCGGAGTGGGTGCTCCGCATTTAATTATTTGTTTTGTTTAGTTTTTAAGCACTTTTTGTTGACCTTGCGGCGAGTGATGAGCGCAGAAACTGGAAGAGCTGTTTGCCAAATATCGAAATTGTTGATTTCTGCAATATACTCTCGGTCATTCTCTTAGATCAGATCTCTTTGTTTAGACATTTCTCTTTGTTTATAATTTCACTGCTTGGGGGATTTGCCAAAATGTTTGGCAATTATCGCTGGCCAGTCGCAATGTCTCGCGGAAACGACTTGGATGCGGATCTGGAGGTGGATCTCCCAGGCGGGGATAGCCACTCGGCGGCCACCACAGTGGAATTGGAGGAGCGTCCTGGGAAGCCGAAGGTGCGATTCTTTAGCATTGGTCCAAGTAGCTACCAGGTGCGGTGTCCTTTGTGCCAGCAAGATTCCAAAACGGAAACGGTGGAGATGACAGGAGCATTGGGGCAACTAAGTTGCCTTCTATCTGCTTTATCCTGGTAGGATTTTCCACTTTTTTTAAATGGTTAATGTATATTAATATATTTTTGAAATTTCAGTTGCTTTCCCATCTTCGCCCTGACTTTTGTTTACTCCTGTTTGCAAAGTCGCCTCAAGTCGAAGCGTGTTTTCTGCAGCCGATGCGGTGGTCACTTGGGCTTCCACTGGCGTCCCACTTAGACTTAGTTGGCTCTCTAGAACCCGCAAAAGTGATCTATAAATAAACCGACAGCTGTTGTCAAATTTTTTAATAAGTTACTTGAATTTATTCGATCAGCACTCAGGCGTTGCCTCCAAAAGCGTATCTCTCCCACTCTCAGATTCGCTCTTAGTTTCGATTGTGATGTAGACACCGACAGATTGCAGATACTTGGATACATTATGCGAATGCTTTTGGCTCTTCGGTCAGTTGCTCTGTCGCCTCGAAATGGCCAGCACCGAAAGTCTGGATGGCAGTGCCTTCGAGGGTGACATCTCGGCGGTGCCGCAGGTGGGTCATCTGACCACCGAGCCGCAGGAGCTGGAGTGCCCCGCCTGCCACCAGTTGCAGACCACCCGCGTGGAATCGGAGGCGGTGACCATTCTGCAGAAGATTACCTGCTCCATAAATGTGCTGCTCTGCTGGTAGGTTGAATACTTATTCTGTCATCAAATATACATATATAAAATGATAAATAACATACCCATGTCAATAGATTTGTATAGTATCCACATTTTTTTATTGCTTGAAGATTTATGTATCAAATCAATATTAATTTTATAAATATATTAAAACAGATTAAAGATTTATTTTATTATAATTATTTTTAGTGTTTTCAATACATTTTTATGATATCATAATTATTAGTATTATTTGAAGACTTATGCAGTTTATTTAACAAATGAAATCAATATCTTAAAACAAATGACAGTTTTTTTTAATAGAATACCCACCTTGATCCGAATTGTAATAAACATTTTTCATACCCTGCAGCAACCCCATTCGCTGGAAGGGTCGTCACGATGTCAATCACTACTGCAGTTCCTGTGGCTGTTTCATAGGACGCGACATCACTCTAAGTTGGTACAAGAGGACTCTGTTCCGGCTCCAAAGGGGCGAGGTGGAGGATAATGGACGCTTCCAAAAGTTTCGCAAGGTGGAAAAGGAGCAGCTGGACGAAAAGAAATTAGGAAGACAGCGCAAGGCTCTAGAATCATGACGTTCTAATGAGATCAAATAAATAAATAATTTAAGCAAACAATGAAACCTTTCAAACCTTACAGTCAGTCACAAAAGTATTCGTTGCGAGGCACCCTACAACTAAATACATGTTTTTTTTAATGAATATGTAACAAATTAATATTTTTATTTATTGTTTGGGGTAACGCACTTATTAAACATACAAAAAATAACAAAATTTTTTTAGAAAATTAGCTTCATTGCTTTTTTTTCCTTTAGAAAATAAGAGAACTTCAAAATATCGTCTCACAAAAGTATTCGTTTTTTTGTTTCGGCATTAAATATTTATGTTTTTTTTTAAATTTAGTATTTTGTGTGCAAGCCGTTGTTTTCTTTAATAGGTTGTAAGCGCCTCGGCTTTGACTCCAGTAGTTTTCGGCACCTCACTTCGGGTATATTCGACCATTCCTTCAGCAATATCTCTTTTAGCTCATTTTTGGAGGAAATCTTATGTTCCTGGACTTTTAGCTTAAGATGGGCCCAAAGATTTTCAATAGGGTTGACGTCTGGGCTTTGTGGAGGAGTGTGGATCTGCTTGGTATTAAACAACAGCCATTTCTTGACTTTCCAAGCCGTATGTTTGGGATCATTGTCCTGTTGGAAAATGAACTTGCCGCCTTCTAGACCCATTTTGGTGGCACTGGAGTGTAAATTTTCCTTTAATATTTTGAGATATCCTTCAGCATTCATAATTCCGTCTATGAAAGCCAACTCTCCAACTCCTTGAGCGGACATGCAGCCCCAAACTAATACGGAACCGCCGCCATGCTTCACCGTTGGTTTAACATTTTTCAGTTTAAGCTCTTCACAGGGCTTTCGCCACACTTTTCCTTTTCCATCAGATCCGAATATATTGAATTTGGTTTCAACGCTAAATATTACTTGTCCCAGTACTCCAAATTCCGGTCTAAATACGTTTTAGCAAAAGAAAGCCGCTTTGATATATTTATGGCTGAGAGCAAGGGTTTCTTTCTAGGGCATCTCCCATGCAGATCTTGGCTCCTGAGCACTCTTCGGACGGTTTCAGTGGATACGTTAGTTCCCAGGGATGTGGTTAGGACACTATTAATTTTCGGAGCCGAAAGGTGCGGATTTTTCTTGTTTTCTTCGAGGATTTTCCGCTCTTCTCTGCAGGTTAATGCTTTCGGACGGCCGCAACGGGGAAGATTTTCCAGGGAATTCCTGGATTTCAGTCGAGAAATGAGACTCCTTATGGTTAAAGGACTTCTATCGAACATCCCACAAATATATTTAATGGATCGACCTTCATTATGTAGGTGCAAAATAATTTTTTTTTGTAAAAAGTTTAACTCTGTTCCCTTCGGCATTTTGCTAGAGATTTACACCAAGAATGACGCCAAAAAATGGTGTTTTTCCCCGAATTCAGTCTTTAAAATAGAAACGCAACCAAAATGACAAAAAAAAAAATAATTCGCTAACTTAAAAAATACTAAAATATAAAAAATTCGTAAGGCAACGAATACTTTTGTGACCCTGCAACACGGCTTATATTTGTATTTTCGTCCATATCTTTTTATGGAAAGCGTTTTCTGTTTGGTTTTTTTTTCCACATACTTCACAAAATATATATCTTTGGAAACGTAAACCATTTTTTACCATTTTAAAACTGTTTCTTATTTAAAATTTGCATTTTTCTCTTAACCCTCTTTGCAACGAATACTTTTGTGACTGACTGTATATCCTAAAATATTTTTTATTCGTGCTTTATGTTATAGAATTTGTATTAGCTTATTGGATCAACAGGTAAGTCGTTTCTCTCGTTTTTTTCAGCCCTGTTCCCAGAAGAGTCGAAAGCTTCTTCCAGCTGAGAAATCACTTGATTAGCTGGAAGAGAACGGGAATGGCAGCAAAAAGCACCGAAATCGCAGTTCGCCGTTTGCTTTCGTCGTTTGTTCGCATTACTTATCGGGAGACTTTATGTCTATATAAAAACAAATAGCAGCCAGTACAATTCTGCAGTTTGAAAAGTGTACATTGAAGAGTTTCGCTAGATTTCATCACTATTAGAAATTGAATTTTTTTCTATTTTGAAAGTGGTACATTTAATAAACCATCCATTAATATGTGGGTTTTAGTATTGCTGATCCTTTGCCTGGGATTGCTATATAAATATGTGAGGCATCACTATACTTACTGGCAAAGATTGGGAGTGGACGAGGAGCCGGCCAAAATTCCCTTTGGAGTAATGGACACTGTGATGAAACAGGAACGCAGTTTGGGAATGGCTTTGGGAGATATTTACGCCCGGCATGAGGGAAAAATCGTAGGAATTTATATGATGAACAAAAGGAGTATCCTGGTACGGGATGCTCAACTGGCTCGTCAAATAATGACCAGTGATTTCGGAAGCTTTCACGATCGTGGAGTTTACGTGGATGAGGATAAGGATCCGCTATCCGCCAATCTTTTCAACCTGCGAGGAGCCTCCTGGAGGAATCTTCGGCAGAAACTTACTCCCTCGTTCTCCTCCGGAAAAATAAAGGGAATGTTCGGCACAATCGATGATGTGGGTGATAAACTGGTGCAACATCTCGAAGGAGTTTTGGACCAGAGTGATGAAGTGGAGATCAAAGATGTTATGACCACCTATGCAGTGGACATAATTGGATCGGTGATTTTCGGCTTGGAAATCGATAGTTTCAGCAATCCGGAAAACGAGTTCCGTGAAATAAGTAGTTCGGCGAATAGGGATAAATCTCTGCTGCTCAAGATCCACAATATGTCCATGTTCATATGCCCACCGTGAGTACAAAACCAAGTGCATTGCAAAATGAAATGTTTTGCACATTTATTTTTAGATGCGCGATACTTAAAGTTTTCTATTTTATTTCCCAACCATAAAGCATTGCTAAAAGTAAAGTGCATTTCTTCATTAATTTTGTAAAACATTTTGCTTTTTTCTTTTGTAAATTGGATGTATTGAGTGATTTTTAACAAAGTGTTTTATAAATTTGAAGGTTAATTATATTTTTAAAATAAATCTTAAAAATATTGAGAAAATACATACATACTTTATATGATAACCTTATTAAGTTTTATTAAAATTTTAAGGATTGCCAAGCTGATGAACCGTTTGGGTTATGAGAGTCATATTTTGACTTCCCTACGTGACATGATGCAGCGAACCATAGAATTTAGGGAGCTCCACAACGTTGTACGCAAGGACATGTTGCAATTGCTTATTCGGCTGCGAAACACGGGTAAGATCGGCGAGGACGATGATCAAGTTTGGGACATCGAAACTCCACGGGAAGAGCTCAAGTCGATGTCCATCGAGAAGATTGCGGCACAGGCATTTCTGTTCTACGTGGCTGGATCGGAATCCACTGCTGCAGCCTCCGCTTTTACTCTTTACGAATTATCCATGTATCCTGAGCTTTTGAAGGAAGCTCGCGAGGAGGTGGATGCAGTGCTGCGAAAGCACAACCTGAAGCCAAAGGATAAGTTCACCTACGAGGCGGTGCAGGATTTTAAGTTCTTGGACCTCTGCATCATGGGTGGGTTTATTAAAACTCATTAAGTTTGAACCTTTTCTAAAAACATGTTTACAGAAACCATTCGTAAATATCCTGGTCTTCCCTTCCTGAATCGCGAGTGCACTGAGGATTATCGAGTTCCCGGGACCGATCACATTATAACCAAGGGAACACCCATACTGATTTCTCTCTTTGGTTTGCAACGTGATCCTGCGTATTTCCCCAATCCCAATGGCTACGATCCCCATCGTTTTGATGCGGATAACATGAACTATGTTCAGGCAGCTTATATGCCATTTGGAGAGGGTCCCAGGCACTGCATAGGTTGGTATTTCTTTTACTGAAGATGTTTTTAACTATATTTATTTAAATTTATTTAGCTCTTCGAATGGGAAAGGTAAACTCCAAGGTGGCAGTGGCCAAAGTTTTAGCCAATTTCGATATCAAGCAGTCTCCCCGCAAGGAAGTTGAGTTCCGCTTCGATGCTGCTCCGGTTTTGGTGACCAAGGATGCTCTGAAAATTCGTTTGACCAAGAGAAAGTAATAATTGAAGTAGCATACTATATCCTTTAAAGCCATAAAAACATTTATTTAAAATTTTAATTACAAATAAACTAAAACTATATCGTATGTCGCACTTATTCAAAAACAAAAATTGAGATCTTTGAAGTTTTGTTAAAAAAAGGATTCGCGAAAAATAATGTATGTATGTAGATGCATTAACAAAAAAAACAGTGTAGTTATTTTATATGTTGTTTCTTTAGATCAGGGGTGCTCAACGCCTATACACTGAGTGCACTTTTGTTTTTGTAGACGCTCTGTGCTTATGGGTAGTGCGCGCATAAGCACCGTGCATATGGGCTTCGATTTGCATGCGAAACAAAAACAATTTTGCTTGTTTCTTCATTACATCTCTATCCGTCGTCACGCTTCGCTGAACGCAATGTATTTTGTTTTTGTTTTTTCCTCGAGCACATGCACTTGAACTTATTTTTCTGTCTGCGTTGGCTTTTGATTTATTTCGTGGTGGACCATCGTAATTGTTATGTTAAATTTTTTGGCAGATCAAAATGAGTGATGAATTAGAGAGCAGTTTTTTTTAGCATAAACTTTAAATGCGAAGTACAATGCGTAATATGCTTCGTATTTCTGGAGGTAAACACCAAATACAATCGTAATAGGCATTTTTCTCTTAGTGCACAGCTGCGCCCCAACACAAACGCGCCGCTACATATGTACACGTTTTCTTGTGGGTGTGTTAGTAAACGCACTCCCAGCGGGAAAAGAGATGTGGAAGATATGCTATTTTCCAGAGATTTCTTCATACAAGCGGAAGGGCAAAAACCTCCTTCACCCCTTACATTTTTGCCGTCTCTCCTTTCAAAATACACGCGGGTGACACACAAAAGGAAGGGGTAAAGGAGGTTTCTATGTAAAAATCCACAGGTTTCAGAAACCCACCCTTATTTAGCGGACCGAAATTTTCAACTCCTACCCCTACGCCTGCTAAAAGAAGCAGGATTTCCAGTAGACTTTAAACCGAAAACCTACTTCTAAAAACGTACTTCTCACTTTCCCGCTGGGCTGCCATAAGACGAATTTGAGCACCCCTGCTTTAGATCACTATACATTTACTTGATCTCATCCGACTTTTCACAAAGCTTTAAGCTCTCTCTTAATATAATTTAATTGAGCTCAGATTTGAGTCATAAATAAACACAAACAAAGCGAAGCAAACATAAACAAAAACCATAAACATAAACAGTTATCAGCTGTTTTACCGGTAAATCTTGTTACTACTTACAATAATAACACACTGATCAGCAAAAGTATTGAGCAACCTAACATGTAAAACAATAACTGTTTTTTTTAAATAAATGTATTGATAATATTGAATAATATAGGAATCATTCCTATGAACAAATTCCATATTGAAATTTTCAAAACAAAGAAGTGTCTGTAGAAATGTCGAAACGTTGTCCATGTTTTTCATAATTGTTTTGGAACTGTGCTATATATATTGGCTAAACAAATATTCGCCAAATGTTTGGCTGTCGATCTGGTTCTGGTTGAGGGGGCAACACACCGAATATTTATACCCCGAATAGCTGCTGATGACATCATGGGCTCCATGGCCATACAAATTCTTCTCAATAGGAGAATCTCTCTTCGAAATTCTCTTTATTGTCATGTTGCTCTCGCGGATGGGCTTCTGTATCTCTGGTGGAGATCGGATAAATCAGTTACCATGGAGCAGCACCAGAAGGTGGAGAGGTTGCGGGTGAGATTGGTGCCCGCTGGAACGGCGGATGAGCGTGCCAGGAACATCATCGCGAATGTGGTGCTCGAGGAGGGAGTGGTGCCCTTCATCGATGAGCAGGCGGCGGAGAAGGTGACCCTGCTCCCCCAGGAGTCCACTGCTCCACTTTCCAGTGCCGCCCAGCAACCTCGCATCCGATACTACGCCGTAGGACCCTCAACCTATAAGATACTATGTCCTCTTTGCCGGGAGAGAAGCCAAGCGGCTGTGATGAGAGCAGCCAGTTGCAAGGACGCCAGCTTCTGTCTCAGTTTGCTTTCCTGGTAAGCTCATCTAGGATATTCAAGGAACCTAACATTCTAAGCATCTAATCCTTTATAGCATCTTCCCACTCTTTTGGATCTGCTGCGTGTGCACCTGGTGCGGATGCAACCGGGAATGGACCACCAAGGGGATCTATTGCAGCTCATGTGGCGGCAAGGTTGGAATTCAGCGCAAGGCCAAGTAGGCTGATCAACGAACCAATTAAAATACAAATTAATGCCAAATATTTTATCGCTCTATAATTCTATTACGCATCTAACTCAATTAAAGACGCACTGTAAATCAATTATGAAGGTGCTCTTAATTTGCTCTTTTAGATCAGATGTTCTCTTGGAAAGTAAAAGTTTGCTAATGTATTCAGGGTATTTTAACAAAAAGGGTAAACATTTTTTAAAAATCTACAAATTAAAAAAAATGTATGAATACGCGTAATTTGATTAATATTTAAGGGATTAATTTTAAAGGGAATAGTAAATATTTCAAAAACGAAAAGAGAGTTTTGTTAAGTGAGATATTCTATATTCATTTGAACAATTCTCTTGTGGTTATGGACCCTCTATTTTCTCTGAGTGCAGTGTGGCTCTCTTCAAATAATCCAAACAGGTTGTCCGGTTGTTTGGCAGCGTTTCGCTTTCAGTTTGATTGTGGAGCGATCATGACGACGACGCTGCCGGAGAAGGAAACGGAGCAGGAGGCCCGGGAGCGGGAAGCCAAAGCTCAGGAAGATCGCAAGGAGCGTAAGATCTACGAGAATTTTGCCACGCCCCTCGCTGGAACTTTTCTCAACCTCCCACGCGAACCGGTGGAGATCAAGTGCCCCGCCTGCGGAATCAAGGATCTCAGTGTGGTGCAGAATGATCTCAAGTGGTGGGCCAGTGAAATTAACCGCATTGTTGGATGTCTTTTTGTGTAGGTGAAAACAGCACTTACATTTTTTATAAGAAATCTAATTCAAATTTCCTTACAGGACCTTTTGTTGTTGCTGTTGCTTTAATTACTATGTGCCCTGCAAGCAAACTGACAGAAGTCATTATTGTGGAAATTGTGGCTGCTACTTTGGACGCTCTATGAAGAGGAGGCAGCCACTCAAATTGAAGGCAACCACCGCCTAGTTCCCACACATTTTGAAATTTCTGAACACCACCCACCCACTGCAAAGCCATCAAAACAAAAATAAAACTAAAAAGATCACACTCTCTCTTTCACTTGTTCTCTGGGTTATTCTCTTTGGGGAATATTTGATAATTTTATACCTCCAATTACTCTTCGACTGCCTCAGTCGTCGTTCGTTTTCGAAACAGTCAACATCTTTCAGTCCGACATGGCTCAGGATCCGAAGCCACTTTACTTTGCCGTGGGTCCCAGTCCCAACGAGATCACCTGTCCCTATTGCCGGACCAAGGCCAAAACCCGGGTGATGCGATCCTGGCTGCGGTGTTGCACAAAAAGGCACCACTGTGGTGCCTGTGGAGAGTACTTGGGTGTCTACCGCCGTCCACAGCTTTAAATCACAACAAGATGTCATACTACTGGGATACCACTTCTACAATAAACTCTTTAAACCCATTTTATTTTAGTTATTTTAAAACAATAAAATCATATTTAATTTAAATGGTAAAAAAGGCGTTTAAATTATATACCTATTTATTTAAATTATAAGAATAAATGGGAAAATGTCAAAAAAATATAAATATGTTTTAGTATGTAGTTTTAAAATTTGGCCATCTTATACATAAATCAACAATTAAAGAACATATTTTTTTCTCTGTAAATCAAATGGAATTTTGTAATAGTGAGAATAATTTATATGTTTTGCATGCGTTAACTTAATTACCAGACCAACGCCTCATAGAAGAGACAAATCGGAAAAGAGAGGTATCATCGGTAGCTGGAGAACTCAGATTCTAATTTTCCCTCGAATGATCTCTTTAGATTTGGTTTACTTTCAGTCGCCGATCGCTCTCGCTAGAGTTCACATCATGACCGTAGACGAGCCGCAAATTGTGGCCATCAGTGTGGGCCACAAGCAACCAGTGGGTTACCTGAAAGAGGAGTCAACATGGATCCATTGTCCTGCGTGCGAAAAGTTTGGAACGAGTGTGGTCATATTGGAGGTGGTTACCTGTCTGCAGAGATTTCTGGGACTCACGAAACTTTGGTTTGAAATTGGATTTTTGTCGCTTAATACTTAAAAAAGAACTCTTCAACTTTATATCTAGTAAAAAATGGCAAGGACGTCAGGATATCAATCACTATTGTTCACACTGCGGCTGCTTTATTGGAAGATTTGTGCCCATCAGCTGCATGGAACGCTGTCTTTCGAGATCAGCTCGCAAACAGGCTGCTGTGGATGACATGACTCTGAAGACTCGTCCAAAGGATTGTGCTGAAAGGGCCCAGAAGTCCAGGGAGAAAGTTCTGGCCAACAGAGAAAAGAAAAGAGCAGAGAAGGCAGCTAAGGAACTGAGCAGACAAACACAAATAGCAGTACACCAATGATCGAGTTTTTGTTTGTACTCACTATGCAAAAGCTTCATATAATATTCTAGCCATATACACAAATGTTTACGCAAGGTATATTTTGATGATTGTAAAGGTTCTAATAAAGAATCTTGGTAATACGGATTTGCTGAAAATTTATACGTTTTGATTATCAAGTATCTATTAGACAAGTATCATTAGAAAGCGCCTCCAGCGGACGAAAGACGAAATCGCTTGGGTTCAGGTTCAGTCCGTAAAATTCGGGTGGCGCTCTCACTTATTGTAATTTTAAACCCACTATATGGCTTTTCCTTTCGTACTTACAAGAAACACCCTTTTACTCGCTCTAGTGCCCTATAAGACTACCTTATACGTATTGTACCATGTTACTAGGGCTGTCAAATATATTTAAAATATCGTATCGAAGCTAAGTTCTTTTTAAATAAATAATTTTATAATATACGAATATATCAAATTCCTTGTGATATATTTCTTACAGGTTCGACTTGATAATTTGAAACTATTAAACAACTTTGAATTTACATAACAGCCCTTCCTATTCCATACATGTTTTGGCCGTATTTTCTTAGCAAATCACGTAAATTTAAAAATCGGTTTAATCGGTTATTATAGCCTTTAGTGGAACTTCATTTTTCTTTTAATATTCTCTGAAAGACTTATGAAAAAGTTGTATTATAAGATGATTGCTTTTTATCAATTTTACAAAATTAATCGATACATCGATATTTTGATATATTTTCGACATCCCTAACTTGTTCTACCACAGTTCAACAGAAAATTTATTTCAATCGCTGAGAAATTCTGGAGCCATGAAGTTGTTTTTATCCGTGTTCGTGGTGGCCCTGGTGGCCGGCATCGTCGTCGCCGACGACAGCAAAGGACCAAAAGTGACCGAGAAGGTAGGTGATAATCCATTTTCGTCCTGTCTGAAACCATTATTTGTTTACCAATACATGCACATCCGCTGGGCAATAAATCAAGTGAGATGATTGTTAATAATAAACATATTCCGGTTGCGTAGGTTTTCTTTGACATCACCATTGGCGGCGAGCCCGCGGGCCGCATCGAAATCGGTCTGTTCGGCAAGACTGTTCCGAAAACGGTGGAGAACTTCAAGGAGCTGGCGCAGAAGCCCCAAGGCGAAGGGTGAGTACGGGAAGGGTATACCAGGTACCGTTGGGGTACCGTAAATACTGCCGCTGATTAACGGCACTCGCACACCACAGCTATAGTGCTTATAGGTTATAGCGGGCTCTCAGATTGAAGCAATTACGTGGCGTTTAAGCGACCAATCATAAGTTGACAAAGCGAATCTCGGGAATAGATGGTGCTAATGGGCTTACAAAGAACGCTTTCAAAACCAAGATACGCAGTTTTTCTTTTAATTCTCTTGGAAATAAAAACTATTATTAGGACATATCTGTAAACTCTTTTAAACAGCCAAACTTTCAATTAAAAAAATACTTATAATCTAATATTAAGCATTTCTTATCTTGGTTAAAATCTAATCAATTATTTATTTATTTTCTTTGTGCAGCTACAAGGGCAGCAAGTTCCACCGCATCATCAAGGACTTCATGATCCAGGGCGGCGACTTCACCAAGGGTGACGGAACCGGTGGACGCTCCATCTACGGCGAGCGCTTCGAGGATGAGAACTTCAAGCTGAAGCACTACGGTGCCGGCTGGTTGAGCATGGCCAATGCTGGCAAGGACACCAACGGCTCCCAGTTCTTCATCACCACCAAGCAGACCAGTTGGCTGGATGGCCGCCATGTTGTCTTCGGCAAGATCCTGTCCGGCATGAATGTGGTGCGCCAGATCGAGAACTCGGCCACCGATGCCCGCGATCGTCCCGTCAAGGATGTGGTCATCGCCAACAGCGGCAGCATCCCAGTTGCGGAGCCCTTCTCCGTGGCCAAGGCCGATGCCACTGACTAAAGTGGTTCAGATGAGGCACCTATCATCCATCAGCAAACATAACCGATTTGATTTAAGCATAAAGGCATAATCGATTTTTCCAGACATCTGCATTTACCATAAATAGTTCGCCATGTTTACATACATTTTGTTCCGTAAGCAAGTAGCTCTGCTCAACTAAAGAAATAGTAATGGCATAAATAAAGAACATTGTTTGTGATAAACGAGATACAGAGTCATTCTTTTTCCAGCTCTTTTGTGTGTCTACACCATAGTGCCGGTGGTGTTTCAGGTTCAATGAACCGGTTTTGGAACCCCTTCCGCCGCTTTCTTTTGGCGACTTCCCTTAGCGGCAACCGGTTTCTGCTTCTTCGCCAATTTGTTTGTCTCTGTGTGTCTGCTGTTCTCGATTTAGACTCTCCATGTTTTGCCCTTTGTTGTTGGTAAACAACGTTCGGTCTGTCACATTTTCGTGATTTGCACACTTGCGTCAATTTAAAGTGCACACAGCCGAATTCATGCTTGTATTTATTCAGTTTGTTTGGGTTTGCTGGGAACTAATTGGATATGATTGGAAGAACAGGTGTGGGGCGATGGAGCAGCTGGATGGGACTTGTCACTTTAATTGGGTCGAAAAACAATTAAATCCGAGCGCGAGTTTTAAACCGTCCATGTTACTTTAAAATATGTTTGTTGTAGATTAAGACTAACATCATTTACTATACACGATTTGTTTCCTATTTAGTCTTTGTTATCAGCAAAAACAAGTTAAACCCACCAAGTTTTGATTTTAATTTAAAACAAATCACAACAGTTTTGATGAGATTGCAGTTTTCACAATTGGCAAATGCACTCAAACATAAGAACATTGTACAATTATGCATATGTGAACAATTAGTAAGACTTCGCTCCCCTAACTTTGCATTTTTCCACAGCCAGAGAAACAATAAACTCAAGAGACGATCTCATATCGCTCAACTGGGGGCAATGTATATATGTGTCTATATGTTGGTGCAATTGTACCCCTTTCCCACAATCCCCACAATCGCTTTGTATACGTTAATGAAAGCAATAGAATCTATATACAAGGCATATGTGTTGGGGTCTGGTGGCAATCTCATGTGCCACACATGTTCCAGTGACCACAGAAGTTCTGGACGTATTTCTAAGATTATATTCCCGAGAGCAATCAGTTGAGTGTTTTTGTTTTTGCCGGGAGTCAAACCCCAAGGAGAGATAAGTTCAGTTCGATTCGTTTACTCACTGGAACCGGAAGAGTTTACCCGGCGAATGCAATTGGATTACGTCCGGAACTAAAATATAATTCCTAGCTGATCCTAAAAAAAAATATGGTATGTATAATAATGCAATACGTTCAATTAGAGTCATCTTTACAGCCTGGCAACCGTTTAATTGATAAGAAATGTCAAAATCTTTTGATTCGATGATGTGTACTTTTGGAAATGACCTAAATTGTTCTGAATTTCGTTTTACAGGAGTCTGAATGGAATCGTTTGATTTTATTGGCTCTACTTGGTCTAGCTGTGGGTAGGAATTCGGAGGCTGCCAAGATCCTAGTACTGTTTCCCCATGCCAACGAGGGTCATTTTGCGGTGATGAGAACTCTGGTCACGGAATTAGCCAGCCGACAGCACATAGTAAGTAGAAATTTGGGTTAAGTACGGTGCACTAAATTGGAAAACAATTTCTTAAAGGTTGAAGTCTATACGGGTCATGGCTTAGGAGAAACTCTGGACAATGTGACGGAAACAGTGACTGCAGAATATCCTTTTTGGAGCGAATGTAAGTATTTTTTATTTATTATATCAATAACAATTATTAATTCAGGTTTACCCTAAAACAGTGCAAAAACATGCGGCACCCAAGGGAAACCTAGCCGATCTTGGTCGGTTACCCACTGAAAAGCTTCGCCAGTCGTTGGCCGTTGTGGGAGCCCAAGCACTGGATAAATTCCTCGCCCAAGAACCCATTCAAAAACTGCTCAAGATGAGTTATCTGGAGTTTGATTTCGATGTGATTTTAGTGGACTACTTCTACACGGAGGCTTTGTTGGCATTGGGAGCTCTCCACCAGCGTCCTGTTATTGGAATAATTTCCACAGATTTTGCCAGCTATATGGATGCAGTGCACGAAACATTGGTTCCTGCGGCCTGTTCCCCCATCGATTTTAATAGCGATTTTTCCCAGCTGGGATTCTCCGAGAGACTTGGCAACATCCGGGAGTGCATCGCCCGCAGAAAACAGTTTACCAAGAATCATTATGGAAGTCAGGAGCAACTGGTGGCCAAGTACTTTAAGTTGCAACAATCGATAGAAGAATTGCAGGCCAATCAGTTATCCCTCCTTCTGCTCAATAGTCACGTACCCTTAATGACTCCCAGAGTTAGTATCCAGCAGATAGTTCCCGCTGGAGGTCTGCATATCCGGGGTCCCAAGGAACTTCCCTGGAATGTGAAGCGCTTCCTGGACGAGGCGCGTCCTGCAGTTATTTACGTTCAGCTGGGAAATGAGCAGCCTTGTGGGCAGTTAGCCAAGGATAAGTTGGATGCACTCTTGACCTTCTTCTCGGCCAGAAAAGAGAGCGTTATTTGGACCTGCCATGATGTCAAGACCTTGGAGGGTTTACCCAAGAATGTGATGATCCAGCACGCAGTGCCACAGATCGACATCTTGGCACATCCAAGGGTGAAGGTTTTCCTGACCAATGGAGATCTATTGAACCTACAAGAGGGAATTGTGAGGAATGTGCCCATTTTGGGATTGCCCCTTTTCCAGCACGAAAAGAGGAATGTGGAATTGGCAGTGCGATTGGGAGTTGGTTTGCAACTAGAAGAGGGAAATGTGACTAGTAGTTCGCTCAACTGGGCAGTGGATAGGCTGATCGGGGAGTCACATTACCATCTGACCATCCGTGATGTGTCGCTGGAGTTCAGAGATCGTCCTCTTGGCGCTCTCGCCAGTGCCCTCTTCTGGGTGAACTACGTGGCTCGGCACAAAGGAGGAGCGGCTGTGAAGACTAGAGGAATTGGCATCTCCTCCTGCCAATTGCACCTGTTCGACCTGTTTGTGTTCTACGCTGGAGTAGCTTCTCTGGTTGTGACCTTGCTGGCGGCACTCAGTTATGGCGGCTATTATGTTTGGAATAAGAAAAACAATTCCAAGTCCACGAAAGTAAACTAAGATTTATGTATGAACATTAAGTGCATCTTAAGCATTTTCAATGAAATATGAATCAGAGTTCATTAAAGCTGAGTCAGTAACATTTTTTGTGGATATTTAAACATGTCTTTAATTTACCTCTTTATCAGGCACACGACTATATCGTTCTATGTGGTTTTGATCTTAAAGTCAAGTGAAGATAATAATAAACTTTATTCTTGTTAGTACATAAGAACTTATTTTAAATAAAAAAAGTTAGATATATTCTTTCCTAAACTTTTTTCCTGAGGTCAATTGCCTTCTTAAATTTCGCGCCAAGCCAATGTTATCAGCATACAAAGTGTCTGTTAATTTTTAAGCACTGGTTTGAGTATGCGCTAAACTCTAAAAAGTCTTAAATACTTGTCAACATTTTTTCGGAGTATTTCATAAGTTGTTTTTTTAATGGCCATTAACTTGAACGACAATTTATGGGAAAAAACAATTTTAACTGCTAAAATGTTCGATGGTTTCGATTGCGCTGCCACATTTCTTCAAACACCGATAGTATCGGTGCTGCCACTTTGATTTTTGTTCCACCTCTAACGTGGTGGCCATCTTCCTTTCTAAAGAATCGCGTTTGCAAAACGACGTGTTTAAAACCTTTTCAAGTGTTTTAAAAGGTAACAAGCCCCCGAAAACAATTAAATATGCAGCCAAAGACGGCCAGCTGAATGCCCCTAGCCTCAAGCATGAAAATCACGCGCTTGGCGGTCAGATAAACCCAGCAGCGTGTCACACGTGGGAGACCTGGGAAACATGGAGCACCAATGACCAGTGAGGTTATGTTGATTCGCTCGGAGGCGACCACAACAATCCAAACTGCGGGGATTAAATTTGAATGAAACTCCTGATCTAATCCTGAACATTCTTTTGCAGCTCCGTCAAAATGTCCGGTACAACCGCCACCATCCGCACCCGCAAGTTCATGACCAACCGCCTGCTCGCCAGGAAACAGATGGTCTGCGATGTCCTGCACCCGGGATTGTCGTCGGTGAACAAGACCGAGATCCGCGAGAAGCTCGCCGCCATGTACAAGGTCACCCCCGACGTGGTCTTCGTCTTTGGATTCCGCACCAACTTCGGTGGCGGCCGCTCCACCGGCTTTGCCCTTATCTACGACACCCTGGACTTCGCCAAGAAGTTCGAGCCCAAATACCGCCTTGCCCGCCACGGCCTCTTCGAGCAGAAGAAGCAGACGCGTAAGCAGCGCAAGGAGCGTCGCAACAGGATGAAGAAGGTGCGCGGTACCGCCAAGGCCAAGATCGGTACTGGCAAGAAGTAAACCTGAGAAGATGTCTCTGGGATGGGAGTCCTCCTTCAGACTATTCCCAAAAGCTGCTGGTTATGCGTTAGTGAACGTTAGTCTTTTTAACAACCATCCAACAAACGACAAAACAAAATCAGTGTTTACTTTTGGAGCGGCTTTTGTTTGTAAACTAAGGAAATAAAACTCTAAAAGTATACAAGTTGTTGTCGTTCATGGTGTGGGGAGTGGGTAAGTGCTAGTGCGAACGGTGACAGTGAAAAATAAGGTTTGGCAAATTTAAGTTTCCAAAAAGGAACCTGATCAAAACAAAAGATCAACTAGTCCTTTTAACAAACCTTTTTCTAATTGGTTGTTACAAGCATTTTTTTTGTAGTTTAAGTTTATTTGCAAATAAAAACCGTGTTATTTTTATATCCAAGCAGAAGATTTCAGAGAACATCAAAAACCTATTAAATTTTATTTTATTTTGAATAACTAATCTTAGTCTAGAAGGTAAACATACAATTTCATAAAATAGTTTATTCAAAAAGTGTGTGCAAGCTGCTTGTTTGTTTATAAAGCTAAAATGTCATTGATTAGTTAATTTAATTTTAAATATTTTTTTCTATCTTGTTAAAAAGTCATTTGGTTTTTTTGTTAAATCGCAACTAGTTTAAAGTTATAAGTCAGCCAGAGATAATTTATTACATTAAAAGATGCTTATGTTAACAAACATAAATTGCAGTTTGTTTAAAGATTAAAACAAAATAATTTTTAATCTCAACAGAGCAGAATACCCCACATCAACATTAAAATTTGCGCCTTATCGAACATTTCTATCGATATTGCCGGCCACAACTGCAGTATCGGTGCTGCCATCGATGTTTTGACAGCTCTAATTCGTATCGTATACAGAATATTGGCAAAGAAAATCTCGGTTTAGATGCTTCTCCAAAGGCCTGTAAAGGATTGCTCGGACGCCCAGTAAACCTATTCCTTGGCAGAGGCCAAAGCCAACGCCCAGACATGTCCAGTTCTAACGGAGGCGTGGCGTCGGGGGGCGCTGGAAGCAGCAGCGGAGGAAGCGTCGCTTCGCCTGGCGATTGGATTTGCCCAGATTACGAGTGAGTGCGCGTAAAGATGCAGGGATAGCCGCCACCAGGCGGACCAAACGAGCTGGGCGAGGAGTCCTGCGAATCTGACCCCACCTTTCCCACGATTTTGCAGCTGTCGCCATCTGAATTTCGCCCGCCGTTTGCAGTGTAATAAATGCGATCGCGACCGTGATGGTAGTGATAAGCCGGAGCGGGATAGGGATCGAGAGCGGGACCGAGAACGGGATCGTGGCAACGGGAGCAGCAGCAGTAGCAGCAGCTCCAGCAAGAAGAAGCTGGGCACAGAGATTGGCAAGGCGGCGGCGGACAAGTCGCGGGGTTTGTTCAGCGCCGAGGATTGGCAATGCAGCAAATGTGCCAACGTGAATTGGGCCCGTCGCCAGACCTGCAATATGTGCAATGCGCCCAAGTTCTCCGACGTTGAAGAGCGGACTGGTGAGTTTGGAGCAGCCACATTATTTTTTATAAGTTTTAAACATCTATTGTTTCAGGATTTGGCGGTGGCTATAACGACCGCGGTGTGGTGGAGTACAAGGATCGCCAGGATTCGGACAGCGAGTACGATGAGTTTGGAAGGCGAAAGAAGCGGAAGCACGGCGAGCATCGAGAAGACTCCAAGCGGGCCAGGAGGTCAAGTCGAGATGAGGAACGTAACGAGGAAGAAGAGGATGACGATGACGATGAGGGAGGCGACGAGGATTTGTCCAAGTACGATCTCTGGGGCGACGAGGAGGTCACTTCCACTGATGGCAAAAGTAAAGAGGCCTCTGGCAATGGCGAAAAAGAGCGCAAGCGTGCTTCTCGCGACTCCACTTCTTCCGTGTCCTCCTCGTCGTCGTCCAGTTCGTCCAGCTCTAGTGACTCGTCGTCAAGCAGCTCCAGTAGCTCCAGCAGTGAAGGAAAGCGAAAAAACAGTTCGCCATGCAGACGTTAACTGCAATCCATACCCTTTAAGATTTTCTCTCTTATCGCATCTGTTTTCACACATTTATTAATGGCAAATCAACCTTGCCTGCTTATTTATTTACCAGTCTGCGCTGCTATCGATCATGACATTGCGGTACGATGTCCCGTCTACTCTAAAAGTAAAATAAAACTTATCATTTAAGAACATCAGCATTTACATTTATTGTAAGACTCCGTTACATTAAAGAATCGGGCCTAATTAAAGCCATCCTCGTTTTGTTTTTGGCTGCTGGCCGCTGCCTCTGCCTGTTGCAGCTCCTTGAGCTGGGCTAGTTGCATTTTCGAGTCGGCGATCTGCTCTTCGGTCACGGTAACGGGTACATCGCAGGATATCTGCTCCTGCCGCACGAACTGCATCTTCTTGATGGCCTCCTCTAGGAAGGGGATCTGCTGGGCCTGCAGCTGCTTGTGGTAGGCCTCGAGTCGCTCTGCCTTGAGGTTTTCGCAATAGGTGTCGGTCAGCTTTTGCAGAGACTCCTTGCGGGTGATCCAATGGAAATGTGCGGGCGGAGGCTTGTACACCAGTTCAAGTTTCTCGAGGATCCACTCGAAGCGGGGATAGTCCCAGCGTCTTAGGAATTTCAGGTACTTCTTGCGCTTGTCGATAAGCTCCTTGAGTCGCACCTTAATCATCTTGTCGCGAGGGTGCGATTCCATGTGCTCCTGGTACCGGCGAATCACAGCGGTCATCTTGGCCACTAAAAATTGTATTAATTAACGACAAAGTAAAGGTTTGTGTATTATTTTAGGCACTTACATTTGGCTTCCATTGATCCGAAATCCTGAGCATGCCTCTGTACCTCCTTCACCAACTCATCGCGATAGAACCTTGTGGTCAGGTAACTTGCGTTGTTGCTTAGCTGGAACTGCGATTTGACCAGCTCGTCGGCGCTAAGTACATTTACAAATTTGGTGATGATTATGTTATAACTAGGTATCTTTAATTTCTTACTTTTGCAGCACCGGGCAGTCCTTAAATTCCGGAAGCAATTCTTCGGGATTCAACGGAGGCAGTTTGCCCAGGTCGCCGCTCTTCTCTGGCTTGAAGCAAGCGATCTTCTCGGGACGCACCCATTTGATTTTAAGATCCGATTTAAATGCATATTCCCGGACAAACTGGCGCGGCGCCGCCTGCGCTACATTTAATAGTTTATTCATTGTTTTATTTTGCGGCCAATTCTTCGCTAGGTTATATCATTGGGCCAGTGTGTACCAACAAACGGAAAATTATAACTACTGACACAGCTGTTTAGTATCGATAAGTATCGATTTTGCCATCGATACAGCTACAGTGTGTCCACACCATTTTCTTTTGGCCAACAGCTGTAGCAACACCAATTGTTGCTGATTTTTCTTTTTCTTTTCGTCTGTCGGCTTGTTTCCTGGAATTGTACAATTTTAAGGATTTTTCACCATGGCGCACATGTCCCACATGCTCCAGCAGCCGTCGGCATCGACGCCATCGAATGTGGGCTCCAGCTCCTCGCGCACAATGTCCCTGATGGAGAAACAGAAGTACATCGAGGACTATGACTTTCCCTACTGCGATGAGAGCAACAAATACGAGAAGGTGGCCAAAATTGGGCAGGGTACCTTTGGGTAAGTCCCTAAAGTGCACACCGCTGGCTATGGATGCTTAAACTCCACGTCATTTGCAGAGAGGTTTTCAAGGCTCGCGAGAAGAAGGGCAACAAGAAGTTCGTGGCCATGAAGAAGGTGCTGATGGACAACGAAAAAGAGGGCGTGCGTGAAAAGCCACATTTTCAAACATAAAACATCTTAATTACGTATGATTCTTTAGTTTCCCATCACGGCCCTGCGAGAAATCCGCATCCTACAGCTGTTGAAGCACGAGAACGTGGTGAATCTGATCGAGATCTGCCGCACCAAGGCCACAGCCACAAATGGCTATAGATCAACCTTCTATTTGGTCTTTGATTTCTGCGAGCACGACTTGGCCGGTCTTCTATCCAACATGAATGTTAAGTTCAGTCTGGGAGAGATCAAAAAGGTTATGCAGCAGCTGCTCAATGGTTTGTATTACATACACAGCAACAAGGTGAGTCGTAACGTAAAGCATTTGTTCATTATTATGAATTGGTTTATTTTCCATTCTTAGATCCTGCATCGTGACATGAAGGCCGCCAATGTGCTGATTACTAAGCATGGAATCCTGAAACTCGCCGATTTCGGTCTGGCCCGCGCCTTTAGCATTCCAAAGAACGAGAGCAAGAATCGTTATACCAATCGTGTGGTCACTTTGTGGTACCGTCCGCCAGAGCTACTGCTAGGCGATCGCAACTATGGACCGCCCGTGGACATGTGGGGCGCTGGTTGCATCATGGCCGAGATGTGGACCCGATCGCCCATTATGCAGGGCAACACGGAGCAGCAGCAGTTGACCTTCATCTCCCAGCTGTGTGGCTCGTTTACGCCGGATGTGTGGCCCGGTGTGGAGGAGCTAGAGCTATACAAATCTATTGAGCTGCCAAAGAACCAGAAACGTCGCGTTAAGGAGCGACTGCGTCCCTATGTAAAGGATCAAACCGGTTGTGATCTGCTGGACAAGCTTCTGACCCTTGATCCCAAGAAACGCATCGATGCGGATACGGCACTCAATCACGACTTCTTCTGGACGGATCCCATGCCCAGCGATCTCAGCAAAATGCTGTCGCAGCATTTGCAGAGCATGTTCGAGTATTTGGCACAGCCACGCCGCAGCAACCAGATGCGCAACTATCACCAGCAACTGACCACCATGAACCAGAAGCCCCAGGACAACAGCATGATTGACCGAGTCTGGTAGACTGTTAGAGGTGTACGCACCCATATATAACCTATAAGTTTCTCACTTTCATCTAGCGTAGGAATTATATATAAGACTATAAAGTGTTTTATAAAAAACGTTTGGATGTGCGTTAGCGCTTGCCATAAAAACCCTTCAACAATTATTTTTTTGTTTGATATCGTTGGAGTTTCTTAAATGAAAATGGTTTAAAATTGTACTTAATACAATTTAAGGCTTAATTAAAGATATATCTAAAAAACATTTGTTTTTGACGATATTTTGAATCGAAGTTGTTTAATAAAGTGTATTCATTAACTCGGCTAACTTTTGTTTTTTTTTTCTTAGGTGTGTACACACTGGTTGCAAAATGCACGTTGAAGAGAAACAGCAAAAGGTAAACAATGCCAAAAAGGCAGAAAAAAAACAGCGCAGATGTCTGGCAATAATTAAAAGTGACTGTGATGTGAGTCCCAGTGATGATCCCACCAAATACCTGGCGATCCTCAACGTGGGACTTACCAATGGACTCACGGAGGAGTGCTTGCTCCAAGCGGCGGCCACAACAGGTGGAAAAGTCACCCAGGTGGTGATGTTGCCAGGAAAATCATATTGTTTTCTGGTCTGTGCTAGCCTGGAGGATTCCCAGCGTATATATCTGGGCATGCACAACATATCCACCATAGGACAACAGGGAGCAGTGGCCTACTTGAGTTATGTAAAGGAATTGCCGGCTGTTGCGGGAAAAAGTCAATGGAATCGACCTCTTCCCAGTGGACTCCTGGTAATTCCGGACTTTGTCAGCGAAGAAGAGGAATCTACGCTGCTAAAAGCCATTGCTGTGGACGGAAAAGCCTCCGAGGCCACTGGCACCCTGAAGCATCGAAAAGTCAAGCACTTTGGTTATGATTTTCTTTACGGCAGCAATAATGTGGATCCCTCTAAGCCTCTGGAGCAGTCAATACCCTCAGCCTGTGACATTTTGTGGCCACGGTTGGAGAGCTCTTCTTCCACTTGGGACTGGAGCACTCCCGACCAGCTAACGGTGAATGAATACGAGCCGGGTCACGGAATTCCTCCTCATGTAGATACTCATAGTGCGTTTTTGGATCCTATTCTCTCGCTTTCCCTGCAATCTGATGTGGTAATGGATTTTCGGCGAGGAGATGAACAGGTTCAAGTCATTCTGCCGCGACGATCCTTGCTGATCATGGCTGGTGAGGCTCGCTACGATTGGACGCATGGCATCAGGCCGAAGCACATCGATGTGGTGCCTAGTTTATCCGGAGGCTTAACCACACAAGCACGTGGCAAAAGGACCTCCTTGACTTTCCGACGCCTGCGAAGAGGACCCTGTAATTGCTCCTTTCCCATGCTATGCGACACACGACAAACCAAAGCACCACAGGAGTTATCCGCATCGCTGGCTTTTCAAGCCGTCAGCTTGGAACAACAGAATGTCCACGAAGTGTACGATAAAATTGCGGATCACTTCAGTGAAACACGTCACTCGCCCTGGCCACAAGTGGCCGGATTTCTGGATTCTTTTGAGCCACAGTCCGTGGTGCTCGACATTGGCTGCGGCAATGGAAAATACCTTGCTTGCAATCCGCAAATTTTAGCCATTGGTTGTGATCGAGCGCAAGGATTACTCGCTGTGGGTCGTCGAAAAGGACAGAATGTCTTTCGATGCGACTGTCTCAGTGTGCCAGTGCGCTCGTCCAGCATTGATGGCTGCATCAGCATAGCGGTCGTTCATCACCTTGCCACTGGAGAGCGTCGATTGGCGGCACTTAGGGAGATGGCACGAGTTCTCCGACCTAAGGGTCGTGCCTTGGTTTACGTGTGGGCCAAGGATCAGCGAAAGAATGATAAGAAGTCCACTTATCTGCGCCAGAATAAAGCAGTGAATAAGGAACGAACCACTGAACAAGAGCAACGGCAGAAACAGCAAAAGGAACTGGAGCAGGAGCTGCCCAACAACACACCACTTCCCGTGCACACTAATCGCACCGAGTTCCAGCAGCAGGACGTACTTGTTCCTTGGAAGACTAAGGATGAGCAGAAGACCACTTACTTGCGCTACTATCACGTCTTTGAAGAACAAGAACTGGAGGAATTGGTGGCCCAACTGCCAGAGGTTCAATTAATAAAAAGCTACTACGACCAAGGAAATCATTGCGTGATCTTTGAGAAGATCTCTGAAAAGTCTTTATAAAATTACATGTAATTCGTTTATTTGATTTCAAAAATACACATTCACACAGTTTTACTTTTGGTTTTGCGTTAGCGAATTAAACGTAAACTAGAACTTAGTTAAGCTTACTGCTGACCCATCCAAACGATGGTCTATTTATTGTAGCTTTGGACCATAAATTGACAATTCCTTAATAACAACATTTGTGTTTCACTGAATAGTATTTCAGCTTACGTAGGTACAAGTGCGGTGTGTATTTACATTTGTTGTAATTCATTACATAAACGAACTGGATAGGATAGATTGAAAGGATCTAACGCGTATGAGGATAGATAAAATTTGGAGTATCATAACTAAAATGTATAGAGTCTACCTAAATCAGTGAGCGGGAGCAAATGGTTTCTGGTGCTAGCTGGAGATTCCTATAGTAACGTTTCCTATATAAACTTCTATAAATCCATCAATATGTCAGATATACTCATTTGTATAGGGTAAAGTTCGAGCTACAGAAACAACTACACGGAGTACATGTACGAATCTGGTTTTAAAAACACACTCAGAAGTCATCCAGGGCACTTACTCGACAAAAAACACTACATCTAGTTAATATAATAATTTTGTAATAGGATGCTTACAGCTAATTATGGACTAGTTTACAGTTTCAAACGTTTCGCTTTGGTCGTGGGTACAGTAGAGTATTTGATATGTTAGCAAGTAACATTTGGACTATGTGATTTTATCATCTTAACGATAATAGCTAAGTGTATATAGCGGGTGTCCGAATACCTCTAAGATACGTCGTAGAGCCCTGCAGCAATCAACAGCGATCACATAGTTTCTCAGACTATATCGATCTGAATCACCGTATCCTGAAACATTCTGAGGGCAAGGATTTCAACCTCCTGTTAAATGCTGCAGGGCTCAAGACGCAGGTACGTAAATTTACGGGGTGTATAAATATATATATATTCAGTAAACCTATATAGATCGCGTGTATAACAGTTGTGGTGCCCAAATGGTTGGTTTGTTTTGTTTTTTGGCTATATGTATAGGAGAACAATTAAAGAGAATTGATTTATACGTTTCAACAGCTAGGTGAGTCTACAGACTAGGTTAAACCAGAAATTCATCATCGTCGTAATATTAAAGCCTGATAGTTTACTTGTTTGTTGTTAAAGCTGATTTATCAGTTAATAGGTATGTATACACACATACGCAATTATCGACTTAAAAAGTTCTACAGGTTACCATTGTTTTTCGTTTATAATGTACATATGTGTATACTTCAGTCGTTGTTGAATATACAAAGCTTTCTTTGCATGGTGATGACCACTGGTACAATATCCTTTTTGTCGCATCCTTATTTCTACTTTTCGTCCTTCACTTCACATTCTACTTTTTAAAGCCTCTCACCGAAACACTTATTTGAGCAGCTGGCATACTTTCTCCATCTCAACTATCTCGTCTTAGATTATTTAATTAGGATTTGGATTAGGGTTGATTTTTTTGTTTGTCTGGGACTTTTGGTTTCTTAGGGCTATAAAGGATCCAGGGTCCAGTTGCCTTGAGCGCGAGCTTAGATAAATGTTTCGGCTGCCATTTGTTACAAGCACTCGGCCAGCGGCGGTTTTTCGATGGGCGGCGAAGGACCCGAAACGGAAACCATTGGCACGGCACTGATCTTCGGCTTGACGATCTTGAGTCCCAGGTTGCTCAGGTTCTTGGGGCTACTGTGCGGCGACGAGGACGCCGTCGAGGATCGCTGATGCACGAGGACTCGCGGTTTGGCCTCGATGGCAATGCTCGGCGAGGAGGAGGCCGAAACACTCGCCGTGGCTGTGGCGCTGGCCAAAAGGGGCACATGGACGAGTTCCTCCACCGTTTCCGCCGAGTCCTGGGATTCGTGGACCACGGCAGCGGCATCGCTGTGAATCAGTGCCGCCGTGGACATCGTGTCGCCCTCATCATCCTGCATGTAAGGTGGCGGTGCCTCCAGCGAGATGCTGCCCACAATCATATTGGCCGTGGTTATGGCCGCCGATCGAGCCAGCAAACTGGTCACTGCCGAAGGTGATTGCTTGCCATCGTGGATGACCGGCAGCCTCAGTAGTTCTCCTCCTCCGCCGCCGCACTCCTTCAGCTCGATATCGTTGCTGTCCTGCGAGAGGTGCTGCTGCTTGCAGGACTCGTCGTCGGTGCGCCAAGGTCGCAGGCTCTTCTGCGAAATCGAAAAAGTTTTTATAGACCTTTAATGTTATAACTCATACTCGCAAAGTAAAAGCGTTTAGGTAAACACGTAAAAGAAGGAATTTCAAAGTTTAAGGGTCAAACAAAAAAACAAAGAAGAAGTAATGCCAAATTATTTGGTAGATATTTCTTACACTTAAAATAATGTTTTTAAAAGTAGAGGTAACATTTTCCAATTGTATATTAATCTTAAGAAACAATGACAAAAAGAAATGAGCATTCAATGTAACATAAAAATTTTAGAAAAATACTTAAGCATTTTCAAGGCTTTAAATGAAAATACAACTTGTTAATCGATTAATATCTTCTTGAACACCACGAAAAAACTTCAAATACTTTTCTTGAGTAATTTTTTTTATGTTTTTCACTCACCCTTCGGCCGTTGTCCGTGATGTTCTCGGCACTCTTGGCCTTCCGGCAAAGGACACTCTGGGATCCGTGGCGGCGCAAGAACTCGATGGAGTCGAAGCCCCGCCCCTCCGAGGACACGAAGATGGCCGAGTTGATCCGGCTGCGCGTGCAGCGCTCCGAGATGGAGGTGGAGTGCTCCTCGGCCAGCATGTGGATGTGCTGCAAGTAAGAGGATGTCAGTAAGGATCTCTGCTGTCTGAAGTGTCCTGCCAGTTGTTGTTGGCTTACGCGGCTATTGCAGTGCAACGGTGGGTGGGCACATTCACTGCTGTCGAACTGCGTTCCGCAACGAGCAGAGCAAGAGAGCGAGCAGGGGAGCAATAGAGAGAGAGAGAGAGAGAGGGAAGAGAGATAGAAAGAGATAGAGAGGAGACGGTAGAGCGGACAGTTCCAAGGGGGAATCACACGCACAACACACAAAAGCCCGCACAAGGACCTCCCGCCAAAAACGCCTGACGAAGGCCACAGGAACAACAAGAACGAACAGGAGCAAGCGAACAAGCGTGGGACAAACACACTACCTGGCTACGAACAAACTAAAAGGACTTAAAAGGACTCGAAGCCGGGTCTCAAGCGGATGCGAATTTGCGAATTGCGATTTGTGATAGATTTTTGTTTTTTTTTTCTATTTGTTTTTTTTTTTTTTTTGCTGTGAGAGAAGTGAGCGGTGCTGGCCATTATTCCATCCAGTGAAGGTAGGTTTGCTGCAAAGTTCTGTACAAGGTGATTGATTGATTGATGGGTGATTTGGTGCGATTTTGGTGCTCCGTTCTGCAATCTGAAGTGGAACTCGTAATCGAAATCGAAAGCGAACTCGAACAGGAACTCGAACTCCAAGCAAAACCATGTGCACGTGCACCACAAGCTGCAAGTGCTTTTTGGGGGGCCAGTGTGGGGAACACCCAACTCACTTCTAAGTGGACAGAGTCAGTGGCTCAATCTTTGGCAAGGGAATAGAGCTGGTTTGCATATTTCCTGTTTTTGCATACTCATCTGGGAGTATTTTTCTGCTGCACCTCAAACAAGTGTATTGGTTTACCTCTCGTTTACTGTTTTTTTTCAGACAAGACAAACAGATCAAAAACAATAATAAACAAGTTAAAAGACCGTCAGAAAAAATAAACAATAAAGTTTAACATTTGTGGGAAATAATCGATGCTATAACAATGCTAAATGATTGTCGGAACGAATGTCGGAAAAAAGAAACAATATGTTTTACAATTTATATAATAAACAATATGATATGCAAATAAATTAAATAAATGAATAAACATGAGTTACACGTTTCCGTGAGCCGCCAATTATGGAAATTATTTTCACTGCATTAAGCCCTTAATGACTTCATAAATAATTCAAAAATATGGAAATTATTTTACGGAAAAAAGAAAGAAAGGTAGTAAGGAAAGAATTGTAGTATGAGCGATTTTTCTTCTTTGGCAAGACCATTCAATTTAAACTTTGTTGGCTAACGCTCTTTTTTTGTCATTCTAGATAATCTACTATCTCATGATTAATGCTTTTAGGAATGCATGGCTCAAAAGTTCCTTAAAGAAGGCCAACATTGCGTATGAGTGATTTATGTTAATCCTACTTCTCAGGCAGTAAAATGTTTAGAAAATCTTTACATATAAGTTATATGAGATATATAATTTAATGCTACTATTCAGGCCGTAATATGTTTAGAAAACCTTTTAATTTAATCTTAAAACTGTGTGTAGAACCTTACCAAAGTAAGGAGGCTAAACTGATCAGTTCCCATTCCCTTGCCCAAGTGAGCCACTCTGTTTCTTGGTTCGTTCCAACCGACACTAGCTGGCGGACTTACGCTGGCCGGCTCGCTGTAGTTGCTGTGGTTGAGCACCGACGACTCGGTGTGGATGGTGTCGCTGGCCACCATGCTGTGGTACTTCTGCATCGGCAGCTGCATCGTCGACGAGCCGCGACTCTCGCGCGATCCCTCCCGCGATCGATCCGCGCAGGAGTACTGCCTTCGATACTGGCGCCTCCTTCGGCCGGCGTTCGCCGAGGAGGATGCCACCGATGAGGCATCCCCGGTGGCGCCCATATGGTGATCAGCGCATGCCAGCGCTCGAGGTTGCAGCGGAGGCGGGCGAAAGTAACTGGGATCGTAGCTGAATTGCCTCCGCCGCCACTGGTCGTACTGCCTATAGTGGCTGAAGAGTCGCCTTCGTCGCAGGATGAGCTGCTTCTTGGCCTCCAGCACCTCGTCCTCCTCGACAAAGGTGCGCTCCTGCGAGTTCTTAAGGATTCCACGCTGCTGCGCAAACTTACGCTGCTTAATGGCGCCCGCTTGCAGCGGCAGAATGCGATGCACCGGCTCCTTTTCCCGCTGCAACAGCTGCTGATCCTCCTGATCCTTGTCGGCGACCTCGTCCGCCTCCACTTCGATGTCCTCGCCATTGGCCGCCTCCAGACTATCGACATTCTCCAGCACATTGGCGCCCACAATCGACTGATTATCGACGCTGGGACCCCGAACATAGGTGTTCACCGGAGTTCCATGGCTGTGACCATGTCCATGGCTGGATGCCGCACTCACGGCCGCCGAGGAGGCTTCGCGGTGCGCTGGTTGCTAGCTCTCCACGTCCGCCTTGTGCAGCAGGGCAAACTGGCAGCCGCAGTCGCGTTCCAGTTCCCTACGCGGATACTGAAAGCACCGGTCGAATATTCCGCAGCCCTCGCACCGCGGCAAACACTGTTTTTTTTGTCCACCAACCAAAACCAAACAGAGAGAGATCGCAAGCGGTTCGAGCGGCAGGAGCAGGATCAAGTTCAGCAGGCGAGAGAGCGAAGTGAAAGTAGGGAACGTTTGGTCAGTGAGATCTCGGGAAAGCGCCAACCTGAACAGCAAAGCTCGAAACCAAAACGGCTAAATGCACTTAGAATACAAGCGAACTTCTCTAACTCAAACTACTTGTTGGGGATATCAAATTAAATAAAACAGAAAAACTATTCAAAGTTTGTTTGCTTTTATAAATAAAATGATTTTAAGATTTAGTTTTAATAGAAACAATTTTATTTTTAAAATTCAAATTTTTTAAATTGATTTAATTTGACCAGAACAATAATGAAATGCTTTAAATACTATATAAAAATATTATTTTTTTAAATGTCTCAAAGAAACTTTTTTGTGATATTTACCCAATTAAAATAGATTTCATATCTGTTATTATTTAAATTTTTATGTTTAATCTCAGATTGCTCAATTCAAGTTTATTTTAGAATAGTTCGACTGTATGTCTATGGAATGTGGATAGTACGAGTTATAAATTATATAGAGGTGCTCTCATATGCATTACGCATCCTGAGCTCAAAGGAACTAGGTGGAATCGCTAGTTAACTTCGGCTGACCGAAGACCTTATACTCTTTAGAAAAGCTAAAGCTTAGATCCAAAGAGTATAGCCCAAAACTAGTGCCATAAGCCTACGGAAAAGAAAGCTGAAATAAATGCGAAACTAGCACGTGCTATCTTAGTAAGCAAATCATAAGAAGAAACAGTCCAAAACGTCTGATTTCTACAGGGAATATGCATTAAAAAAATACATTTTGCTGCTATAACCCCCAATTAAAACATTTGGAAACGGACCACGAAGTATTTGGGGTAAGAAGAATTTAATTGAAAGCAGAGTGTTGTCAAGAAAGTTTCAGAATAGAGTCATTCTCGGAAAGTTTTAGGAAGTATCAGTTTTTATAGTCTACAATTGAGGAGTTGGATGGGGTTGTGCACGGCTTAAAAGAGGAAATAGTGGGTGTACTTTGTTCAATAATAGTCGAATATTTACTTGAATTGATGCATAGAAAAAGCGAATAAAATGCAAAGATATATATATTTTTTTGGTTTTGTATATAAGTAGTTGGAAGAATTTGTTATTTTTGAATACCTTGACAAAGAAATCGGGGTGTAGGTTCTAAAAATGAAGCATAACAAAAACGAAACAGAGATAAGTTCCTTCGCGAAAATCCAAACGCTCAGCGCTCCGAGTAATCCTAGAAACCCGCACAACCATCATCCCCGCCTCCCCGATCGGGATTTCGGGTTCTCCAGGGGAACTCACCTGGTGGGAATGCTGGCCATTGCATCCGCTGGCACTGCAGACTCCCGTTCCCGGAACCTTCAGCTGTTCGTGTTTGTAATCCGGTTGGTAGGGCAGCAACATCCGGATTTTACCCCATCGGTTGAAGAACAGCGCGATGGCTCCGGCCCAAACCATCAGTACAATCAGGACGATGCCAATCTCCACGCCGCGAATCTGAACGGGGAGCATAACACAATTAAGTCAGTAAATATTGGCATTTCTTATCAGGAATTAAATATAAAATCAGGTTAATAATATCAAGGTTTGCCCGTCAACTTTGAAAAGTCATGAATAAAATAATTGTGGAAAAAAACACAGGGAACTTTATAAAATTTAAAAGAAAATTTTTTAAAATAATTTATTAGTTTAATCCACAACTGTACAATAGTGTAAAGGCTTCCTAAAGATTAACCTTCAGAAAACTCTAATAATTCTAGTATCTTAAAAGCACAATATTAATGCTTATTACTAAAACCTGTTTTCTTAGCATTAAATCAGAAAATCGCTTTGTTTTGTTTGATTCGAAAACATTTTTGCTTACATTTAATGCGATTTGCTTGGCATTTGATCTGTAGTTATTTAGTAGACTCACCGTGGGCAATTCCCTGGTTGTGCCATGAGTCAGGGTGTTGGTGGCCGTGGAGGTCACATCGTCGCCGAAGATGCTGGCGTTGGAGCTGCCATTACGGCCATTGTTGCTGCCATTGCCATAGATACCCGGTGGAAAGTCCTGCTGGGAGGTGTTTTTGGGCAGATCTTTGGGGATGGAAGTCACATAATGAAAGCCTTTTTCTGGGAACCGAATCCATGGGGTATGGGATACTCACCCAGCGTCTTAAACTTGATCTGCCCCCGACTGCGGTACTTTTTGCCCTGCCAAATGGCCGTCACAACGAGCGAGTACTGTGTACTGGGCAGCAGGCGATCCAGGACAATGGCCTCGCTGCTGCCGGCGACGTCCTGTACAACCCTGTAACTTAAATTAATTCAATTACCACTCTCGAACGGCAGCTAAGGGGTCGCAGGGGGTTTTCGAGTGGAGGATTGTGCAATCGCATGAGTGTGTGTGTTTTAGAGTGTGTGTGTGTGTGTGTAAGAGTATCTTAGTGTGTGTGCTAATTGAGCAAACTACAATATTCCCTTCGTGAAATATGAGGCCAGACCGTGTTGGTAATTACAGCATTGGCCAATATTTCACTTTGTCACTTTCGCCAGAACGCTTACCAAACATGTCCTAGATTTGCCAATTGAGCTCACATTACCCACCCAGCGATCCTGTTTCTTGTAGCGATGTAGCAGTGTAGCAATGTAGTGAAAGCACCGAACACCGAGCACCGAGTGCGTGGCAGCAAATGTGGCCCAGACTTGCGGCCTTTTGTGCACTGGCTTCTATTACCACCGGCTGTAGCAACAACAAGCGCCTGACAAATGATTCATTATTCATACATGTAGCACACACACACACACACACACACAGACACAGCCCCTCGCTCACATTGCGATACGGACAACCCAATGGCCCCCAGTGGAACACAAGTCCAAACAGACAACAAAAGTGTCCCGCATTTCACCAGCAGACGGAGCAAAAACAACGCCGAACAAGCGAACGTAAATGTTGGAAAAACAAAACACAGGTAAACACTGACGGTTGGCCGATTTAATAATGCTCTTCAGCTAACGGGAATTCCAAAAATGTCATTTACATTTTTGTAGCAACGGTAAATGAAAAGGAGGAATTTTGACATAAATATGAGCATTCGAGAATGCATTTAAATGTCAAGCGATTATACATCTGTGGCTAGTAATTCAGATGTTAACAATGAACAACGAAACCCTATAAATTATCGTAAAAAAATATATTTTCTATGTTCTTATTTTTTTTATTTGTGCCACCATCGAATTTCATAAATACAAATAAATTAAAATTTAGCTTTTTATTTCGTACATTGGCCCACTGTTAATGATTATAATTACTGATCTAATCAATATTCTTTTAATTAGGTATGCATTGTTCTTCGTTGGAAAAACATCTCAAACAAAAGGTGAAATAAATAAAGAAAGGTCAACAGTTCTTGTTTTTGTTGTAAGAAATTATTTTTATAATTATAAAACAAAACGTAAACTATATGTCTAATAAATGCCTTGAGTCCTCAGTTCAACAAATCGAATTTTCTATCTCGTTTCCTTTGATTGTACTTTTTAAACAGTTTCCCACCTAAACTTTTAAAACGTGTTTAAACAATGCAATGTAAGTGAGTACCCGTAACTTTTTCCACCTGCCAATTGATACGATTTAAGGACATAAGCAGGCTTTTACAGTTCATTGTGAATTTACATCTGGCTGGTCGGCAACAACTCTTCTCGATTCACCCGCGCCGGCGGCTAAATAATTGATTAGCCGCATGTGTCACATCCATTTGCATGGAGCGAATAGACCCGCGGCCGCAGGGCAACTGGAATTGGGACGACTTGGGCAAACACATGAGCCATCCGCCGGGTGATCTGATCCGTACTATATACGGTATGCCATATGTGACACGAGCAGCAGCAGGCGCTGTCTAAAGTTTTCGCCGTTAAAGTTTTCATCATGTGGCAACGCCTGGGGAAAATCAAATTTAATCCATGTTCCTCCAACTGCTTTTTTGGCTGTTTGGCATTTAATTCGAAGAGGAACCCGCTTATTATTACTCACGCCATGGCTTTAAATTTTACTGCTGTTTTACGGGGTGGATCCTTTGGCCTTTCTGGCCATAAGAAATGCAAGCAAATTTCCTCGAGAAAAGGCGGGCAGGAAGTTTCTAATTTTCTCGCCGGTTTTTCTTCTCCCTTTACGGCTTGATTGTGGGCTTTTGAGTCATTTCCTATTCAGAAATATTGCTAAATATGCATTTCGGCCAACGTTTTACAACTTTTTTTTTGTAATGTCCCCCTTTTGTGAGTGTTATCCGGATCGTTCCGGTTTTTGATAAATAAACAATTACCATGCTGGGCAGCAGAAGTTTCGCATTCGCTACTCAAACTTCGCTGTATGCATACAATATATGGTACGTATGTCGTACAAAATATACAAATGTGTACTCGCACGAAACCGGCGACCGGGGCTTCTGATGTTATTTAATAACTTATGACATTCATGGGCTGGTCTCAACAAACTTTACTTTTAAGCCAGCCAGGATGTGTGCCATGTGCCAGGATGTGACGTATATTTTTCGATTTTGATCGGCAGTCAAACGGAGAAATACGTGACAATCGTCCTGCATTTGCGTTAAGTTAAAAATTCAATTAAAAATACGTATACGCCCCGTTGGACAGGATAGTTCCATCAATGTTCGATGAGGGACTTATTTGGGCGGTATAGATAAGTTTCAAGGAGAAAGCGAGTGCGAGCACTCGAATTCCTCGGAAATATCAAAGCAAAGCCTGCTTATGTGATTGTATATATCAAGTACAAATCAGGTTTGCCTTATGCTCTCCATTGGCCTTATGCTCTCCATTTCGCTGTTTGCTGTTACTGCGACCTGTGCACTTTTATGGCTTGTACTGGAAAATTTATGTTGTCATCACAGAGCAACCGACGAAGCACAGCTGGAAGCACTCTCAAATCTCATCCGCTTAGCCATCGCACAGAAAATAAAGCTATTCGTATGTATATGTGTTCTTGGGGCCTTGACATTTCCATTTTAATAATGTCAAATTGGCTCTAAAAACGCAGATAAAAATAATGAATAAAATCTAGCACACGACTACTGTATTGATCGGGATTTTCCATCTACTCCGCCTTTGTCCTCCTTCCACTTTTCCACTTCCTTCTTGAACCGTTCACATGTCCTGTCAGCCCCGCCCCTTTTACGCCTCTTGCTTCACCTCCCCTCACTTCTCCTCCTTCGCTGGGACAGTAATTGTTATTAATTATTATTGTTATTGATGGTGCTTGACATGCTTGGACGTATTGAACTCCAACCCTCTACAACGTCCACTCATTGTTCGTCAAGAATTTCATAAATCCACTTAGCAATTTGGAGCATGCATAGTGCATTGAAAGAAATTACGGAACGTTAAGAAATTATATGTTTTGAAGTGGACTATTGATCAATTAGTGCCTTTGTGTTTATTAAAAAGATTTTAGGCAAGATAATACTGTTTAAGAATTGGTGTTGTTATTAATTTAAAAAAATACATATATTCAAAATGATGTTGTTTGTCAATGTTTGTTTCCTCATATATTTATAGTTTGTGTTAACATTAGTTGAAAAAAGTTCATTAAAATTTGAATGATAAATATTATTATGAAAACTTAAAAGGGACTGTGCATTGCCTCGTGCAAATCGATGTGAGTGAAGGCAAACGTATCTGTGTACCTGTCTGAAACGTCCAGGACAAAAGTCTATTTCACTTGGGGAGCCCAAGGAGCCCAACGAGCCCAGGCCCAAGCTAATGCCAAAGCCAAATCCAAAGCTCGAGCCGACTCACCTACAACGTGTCTATGTACAAATCATACATTATTCACCGGCACAATTTACTCGAAAAACGGCAGGAAGATAGGACCCACCGAAACCACCGCCATCGCCATCGCCATCGCCAAACCGCCCACCATAATGACTGGCAGTCGGAAGTATGTAATACAACAAAAAATCGATAGGAAAGTAACACAAAAATTAAAAACAAACTGACTAATAAATAATGACCAACCGAACGAAGCAACTACCGAAAAAAAAATACAGAAAACCACAAGCCAGCGACCAAGTTTTGTAATAAAAATTTTGACATAGGCGTGAACTTTATAGAAGAACCAAGGGCCAAGAGCAAAAAAACAAAAAGCAACAAAGCGACGGCTTAGCATTGGAATGGCGGGCAGTAAAAGACAAAACACGCTCATGCAGCCAAAAGCCAACTGAAAACGGCCAGCACACACACACACACATACATACACAAGCACACACTTACACTCACACGCAATAAGAGCCATTAAATTGAAAAACACCTTGGCCAGCAGTCGGCAGCGGACTGCAGTCAAAAGGCACAAAAGCCGAGCACTTAACTTATTACACGGACGGCATTCCACGGCATCGTGAACGGGCTAAAAGACCCGGCTAAGAGACCTGGCCCTAGCTGCCACTTGGACTTGGCCAACACGGAGCGGAAGTGCTTAGTTTGTTGGCGAAATATGCAGGCCATTCCCATCAGTACACGGCGCAAACATGCATCGAGCATTTGCATAAAAAACGGATTTTTCAAATGCTAAACTTCAAGGAAGTTTCGTAATTAATCTTAAAAGTTTCAAGCATTGAAATTATTTTACCATTTGGAAATTCTTGTATTTTGAACAATGGCAAACACGTTTTGCAAATAGAGCAATACATTTTCAAAAGCTTAAGGATCATCATTTCGAATAACATTTAAAGATCAATAATAATTTTGGGTCGCTTTAAAATTTAATGCTTGAAGAGAGATGTACTATGACTTTGAAAGGTTCTTTAATACTAAAAACAAGATTCCAAATGTCATTAAATATCTACTTTAAAAAGCTTTCTTTAAAAATGAAAATGTTTGTAGAACAATACAAACTAAACAAATTTACCAAAAACATACATTTTTTTAACCTTTTATAATTGTATACTATTTTTGCAACAAATTCACGCAAATTAAACAATAAGATATTGCAGTAAAGGTGAAAATAACAAATCTTCAGATTCTTAATTTAAGTAACAAATTAAATTTAGATTTATTTTTCTTAGTGTACGGCTAGTTGCTTCTCTTCCGGTTTCCACGCAGCAAACACGGCGATGAGAAATAGCAATCAGCGGCAATGGGACGTGTGGAGCTGTGGAGGTGGCAATGCAAATGGGAACGGCAAGATGGTAAATTGCCGGCAAGACAGCTGCAGCTGGGCTGCAACATTTCGGTAAATCATCAAGAGTATTGCCAAGAGAGTAAGCCAAAACTAGCACGGTCGCAAAGTCCCTGACATATGTGCGCACATAAGCTCGCTACTCATAAATATGGCTAAGAACCCAACGTTCCTATGCAGGCAAACTTGGCCAACTTGAACACTTCAACAGCTCGAATTCTTCGCAAATCGAAGCTAATTGAGTGGTAATAACGTTCAACGCATAAGTTTCTTAAACTTTTAGCGTTTTTGTGTTTACTTCCGTTTTTCTTACTCTGGCAAACTTTATTGCGATACTTTAAAATTTGTTATAACTCTTTCACCATACAGAGAGTCAATCAATTTCTATAAACATATTTGCTTTAAGATTGATACCCTTAATTTCAAAGAAATTTTAATACAATTTGTTACGGCGTATTTCTATTCATTTATATTTATGTTTTGGCAGAAAATTGATTAATGTTTTCATTAATTAAATTTGAATCTGCTTTGCTTTAAAAGGCTTGCTTTCGGCTTGCTCAAGTTTTTTCAATTTTACCAAAGTTTGTTGATAAAATAATTTTTATATGTGTCAAAAAGTTTCCAACAAACATGTAAAAAAACTTGTGATATCTAGCCTAATTAGGATATCTTTTTTGGTAGCTCAGTGTTAGGGAAATTTTGCTGTATTTTCCGGGAAGTTGGCCACGCTTTGTGTACAAAACTTGCAATTCGCCTTTGTTTTAAATAACTTGACTCGAAGTACACGCGGCTTTTGTTTTTCTTTTGGCCTGCACTCGCGGTCAATTTGGCCTCAAGTTTCCCCATTTTCGTGTTGTTGGGGTTTTCCCGCCCACCACCACCACGGTTTACTTTAACTTGGCCAGTTATTTAGCTCATGGCCAAGCAAACACACACACACACACACACACACTTACACAAACACAAACTCGCACTCGCACAGAACCACAAGTTACAAGCAGGCGCACACACACTATTCAAAGCATAGACAGTGCTCTTGACTGACCGCTGCCACGCCCCCAGGCCCATTGACGCCTCCCAGCCCCTGGCTTTTGGCCACAAACTCAAACCCATGGGCCGTCAATTGCAGGCAGAGTTTTTTCACTCGCTTGGTCTCTGCATAAATGCAATTGCAAATGCCTTACACGGAGGGAAATATAAAACGAACTATCTTGTATATAATGGCAATGGGTTTTATATCTTGAATAGGAATGAAGTGGTTTTGTTTAAGTATCAGAATATGAAGAGCTCTTAGGTTGGATCTGAATCTAGTGTTGGTAACTTTATATAGGATGGTCAATACCTTACGGGCCATGAAATTATTTCATTATAAATTTCCATAAAACTATATTTTTCATTTACTAGAAATATTTATTTTGTTATTTATTTCGTGGGCTTAACAATATAAGTCATGGTTCTGCTTTTTCGTTAAATAGTTACCTATATATTTCCTTTAAATAAATGTTGTTTATAACAAAAATTGATTATATTGATTAAACGCGTTTTAAATGTAGATGCTTTAAAGAAAATATAAAGCCGCTTTTGATGAGCTTAAAGGCTACCCTTTCTTAATTTTTTCCCCGTGCACTTTGAACCCCCACCCCCCTCCACCAAAGACCCCTTTGAAGGCCCGTCAGTTGAATGGTAAGTAAGTGTGCTTTACCGTCATTTAGACAGTCAAGTGGCCCGGCGGATTGAGTTTTAGCTTTGTTAGTGGTACCTACCTGTCATCCGTCGGCTTGTACGTCACGATGTACTTCTCGATGGGATGTGCCTTCAGATCGATTTGCGTCTGCCACGAAACCCGGACCGCCGTGGGCGTCAAGAACGTAACGGTTATGTTCTCCGGCGTAGCCGGAATGGTGCCTATTATAACAATAATTGCTTGTTATTATGCCATTATCCTTGTAAATGCTTATAGTATACACATAATAACTCTCAGCCACAAACAAGCGTAAGTTTATGCGTCTGGGGGATTAGTTGGATTTGGTTTCAGCCGTATCGTAAAGACATCCGACCCTAAGTTGGGTCATAAAATTATAAGCTCTGCGGATTTTCCTCAAGTTATCACGGTCCAATAAAAAGCTTACCACTGATTTAGCTGTCATTCGTTTATCAATTGACCATATGGAGCAGTCCCTTTTTATTTATGCCTTTATATCTTTATGCCTTCACATCTTTACTTCATATAACATTGATTTATTTGTATTTACTTTTTCAGACAAAAGCACTCTTATTTAGCTGTTGATTATTAAACAACATAATTTAATGATGAAAGCCTGGGGAATTATTTATGACTTTATTAGCCTTACGAATATCAACTATTTATAACTATGAAAATGTTCTCTCAATTTTAAATTCTAATTTATTTTAAATGCGACTAAAATTTCCCAAGAGATTAATCAATTTCAAAGCTGAATGGGTTAAAAACATTAAGTTGGTTTATGTTTTGGCTTGCCGTTTGACCTGAATTGCGTTCGACTGCAATTTTTTCATGGAAAATATATTTTTAATCTTTGTGTTACCTAATATATTTTGGCAATGGGTTCCAGAAATAAATTAAAGTTTGATATACATAAATCTCGTAGATTTTGCTACCAGCCTATTTTTAAAAACTTTTTCGGCTACGTGGCAATTTAAAGTTTCACAATTCAAATAAGTTTGTTAGTCAATAATTTTAACTGTCCAATCGAGCGACCTGAATTGCTTTTCAATTTTTATACCGTACCTCAGGCAATAGAAACGACAACTTGATATTGTTAGACATATCTAAAAATAAACTAAAGTTTGAATTAGACTACCGATAAATTCTGTTGTCTAACTATTCTGCACTGAGGAAAATCCGCTATTCAGAAAAATAAATGGGTTCATTAACGGCAACAGTTGAAGCTGCTTTTGGCCAAAGTGCCACATAACATTGTTGCTGCAAATTATTACGACTTGTTGAAGGGGCGCTTAGGACCCTAAATTTTTGGGGACTTGGGATGTGGTACTTACCCGCTAGGCAAGCGTTAACAAACAGCACAGCTATGAAAACAAACATGCTTTCGTATGAGCCCGGTCGCCTTTTGTTGGTAATGTGGTTGCTGTTGTTGTCTTAGCCGGATTTTAGCTGCTCTCCCTATTTGGTTCTCTCTTTGGGCGGGTTTCTCTTTGCTAGGGTTTCCGCTTGGCTAATTCGTTGTTGCAGTTTTGGTTCGCCGTCACAAAATGTAGTTGCTTTAAAAATAATCTAACTAAACTTAAAATCAGTCTTGCTTTTGTCCCGCCTTTCGTTTTGTATTTTCTTTTCCTTTTTGTTTTGTTTGTGTGACCCTTGATGAATTTTTGTTGAATTTTCAATTGTGCAGCTACAGCATTTCCGTTCGTTTGTTTGCTTCTTTGCTCCTAATTGACTTTGTCAATGACATTTGCATTAAAATTCCCCCAGCCAGGCTCTGATATATATGTATATTTATGTCCTTGTGAAGGAAAGGGGAGGGGAAATTTATGCGTGTATATTTTTATAACACATTTTTATGGGGCTCCGTGTGCGTCCGTCTCTCCGGTGTCTCCTGTTTGAATCGTCATCGAATCGAATCGCATTTGATGAACGTTACGATAGTATGGTATTATATAGTGGGTGATCCCAAGGGGGTTCGTGGTGTGGCAGGGGGAGGTTATAGGTTATAGGGGTTATAGGGGGTCTGAGGAATATTCCAACAGTTTTTCTGTTTCGTGCTCACTTCGGTTCAACTGGGGAATTATTCACATTGCGTTCGCTTTTTGTTTTTATTTTTATTTGGTTTCTGGTTCTGCGGCTTGTGTTATTATTCTTTGCTGTTCATTGCTTTTTGGTGTTGCTGGGCTGCCTGGCTGCTTGGCTTTATAAAAATCAATAAAAAGCGACTCTTTGTCTGACAGCCGTTGATTTGGATGGCAGCCTAAGTGAGTTTTTTTTTTCTGCTTCCGTTTGTATTTCTATTGAGGTTTCAATTTTGTGTGCTAGGGTTTGGGGTTCTTTCAGTTTCTCGCTCTCGGTATTGGATTGTGTTGGCTCTGTTGCTTTTCCGGCCAATCGAAGGGTATGTTTTTGGGGGGATAAAAACGAAGCGAATTCAAGGAGAAGGACCCGACGACCACCTGCCACCTGTCGTCGCCTATCCCTTGGTCCTTTTGTAATGCCTGCGGCTTCCTGCTGTCGCTTTTATTTAGTTTGATACTTTTCGTATTTTGTTAACAATTTTGGCATAATTGCCAAAGCATTTAGGCCGCATTTTACGCCACCCTTGCTCTTTCCCCGTGCGTTCTTCTCTCCTTTCGGCGGCGGTAACTGATTTTTTTTGTTTTGATTTTCGTTGTTTTGTTTTTGCTCGTTGCGGCTTGTGGCATGCGGTTAATTATGACCCAGTGTTTTTGGCTGAGAGGAGGCTGCAATAAATCAGAATGGCATTAATGGCCTGTGGCAAATTATGCGCATACATTTGTGCAATAACTATAAGGCTAACTATACGATATGTGTGTGTGTGTTATAATACATTTACATTAATTATAATGAGCTGTGTTCTCAACTCAATCACAATTAAGCGAACACGGCTCATTCGTTATTCATTAACCAGATCGAAGCGAAAGAAAACAGAAACGAAAGCCAATTACATTATGTGCTGCATACTTTTTGGGGCCCGGCTTTCGATTTTAATTGGCATTGCGCATACGCCATGTGGCCACCCATACCAATATATACGCAACCAAAACTAAGTCCCCACTCATACACACGCACACATGATGCATACCTAATGTGTTATACATAATCCCCTAGTCAGCCCGTGTTTCATCTGCAGCAGACAATTCAATTTGTGGATTGCCTCGATCATGCGTGTATTTTTGTGGGAATTTTCCCTTTGTGTTTTCGGATTTTTGATTAGCACGCACGACTGGAAACTATGCGGTTAACATGTGCGGTCCGTGTTTTTGCAATTCTCTAAATAGTTTTCTCTTTTCTGTTTTCTCCCTCAACCTGTTGTCTCTGTACATTTTTGACTTGTTTATTGGCATCCTTTACTTTGATTTTGCGCTTTACACGAAAGTGAACCAATAACATGAAACAATCGTCTGCAGCATTTTCTTTTATTGCCATTGTAAAAGAATGTGGCTCACAGAGGACCGTTGCCGTTTTCACTTTTTCGGAAAAGCAATTGGAAAAGTAACCATCAAACGCCTCTAAAAAAAAGGACCAATGTTTTATGGCCAACTTTGAAGAGCAAATGTTCTGATGGGACCAGCACTTAATGTAGGCTACAAATCATTTCAATTACTTTTAAAGTGTTTATTATGGCCTTACGAAGTTAAACTTCTTTAGCAAACTAACATTATTAAATTCTTGTAAGTTATTGCAAACAAAATATTGAAAAATGATAAAGTTAAGGGAATTCAAAAGTCGTTTAATCTCAAAGGTATTAGCTTGAGGAGCAGATAATGCTTTAATACATCAAATATATCTCGAGTCTCTGTCATCGTTTAACCTTGTCCGAGAATTATGACCATTTCCACTTAAGTAAATAAGTGTTTTTAACAGCTTTCCATTGTCCAGAGATAATTGAGATTACTCTTACTTGCTGGACACTTTTGTTCTCATCTTAATGGTTGAATCTGACCACGCCCCCTCTTTTATTTCCGCCTCTTGACCGTCGGGGGGCAACCGCTCGATACTCATTAAATTTATGCATTTTTGCCTCATTTTTTTTGGTTGAGAGACCCTTAAAAGTTTTATGAACTTTTGGCATACACTTTGGCATGCTTGAGGCTTTTGGGACAAGATAGCAAAAGCCATGAGAGAATGTGTAATGAGTAAGCACACGCTTTGCAATTTAAATGATATTTTTATTTTGAACGCAAGACGAAGTAAATAAGAAATTAAATTTAAAAATGCCAAGGAGAGTATTTTATTTAAGGGAGGCAAACGTAAAATTATGAAATATGGTGAGCAGATAAAGGGGATAATGCCAACACAGTTGCATAAAAAGGAAATGACAGCATTTTGAATAAGAAATTAAATTAAATTTAAAAATTCCAAGGAAGGAATTTCATCAAAGGACGGAAATAAAGTCGCAGCTGAAGAGGTGGAATTTGTTGAGATATTAAAGGGCAAATTGTTGGAACATGTGAATGTAATAAGTGAGTACAAGATAATGAAATTTTCAAGAAAAATGGAAAATATAATGCATTACGAACAAATGTTAAAAGTATAAAAGGGAAAATAAATTGAAAGAAGAACAAATAAATCAGAAATGGGAATCTCAAATTAGATTAACAGAAGGTGATGGGAAACTAAATCAGAAACAACAACTTTTCACGCCATGAAGCTAAGCATGAAATTAAATTTAAAAATTCAAGCAGGAACTTTTTAATTGAGCAGGGGAGACACATAAAACAGAAGCCCGAGAAGGTGACGCATGGTCGGTGGGCAGACAGGTGGGTAGGTGGGCAGGTGGGTGGGTTGAAATGGGTTTGGAATTGTGTGTGAAAATTAGGAAGCGAGTGCATGCATTCCCGCAGTGGCAAATAAGTAGGTGAAAGCAGTTATCGTAAAATGAAAATGGCGGCTAGTACGCGTTGTCGCTTTCGCTTTCGCCAACGCTCTTAATTATAGCGACGTCACATGCACACAGTCACTCACACACACACTCACACACACTAACAGCCACATAAACACACAGGTAAGCACACTCACGCAGACAGGCACATACACCTGGCTTCAGTTGATAATTTTTTTTTATTGCATACAGTGCCGCGCGGAGACTCCTTTGGCATTTTGCGGCTCTGTGTGTTTGGCTTAGCTGCCAACTGGCGGACTCGGGATTGTCAGCCGGGCAGACAATAAATCAATCAGCTGTGCCAACATCAAATTCCTGCGCAGACAATGCTCCCTCGCCCTCATATATTCCAGCATATTGGTATTCGCGTGTAGCCGTGTGTGTGTGTGTGTGCGCTATTAACAAAAAGGTCAACTTAGCCGCTACAATTGAAGCCGAGCCGAAAGCCAAAAGCGCTGGGCGTGGGGAAAAGTGGGGAAAACCGGGGAAAGGCTTGTGCGCTGCGCTCAAGCTTTTACACCGGTGCACACTGCTCGAAATTCAGTATCGGACAGCTAAACTGTGGAGTGAAATTGCAAGCCAACAGGGCGTATGAGTGACATACCGTTTTGTTTGTTCGTAAATGTAATTTAATGGTTCCCTCATAATATTTCTTTTATTATTTTAAGAAATTTAGAATAAATGGGCGTTGCCCTAAAATAAAATCCTTTAAGATGTCTTTAATAAAGAAGCATTAAAAAATATTTAAAAATACTATAAATTATTTTCTAAAAATGCTATTTATATAAATAACCTTTGACCGTAAAAAAAGAAACCTTTAGCGGTTACAAATATTCTTAGAAAATTATAAGACTTGCTATTTTTAAGTTAAGCCACTCATTTAAAATCCCTCATTCAGAAAATAGATTTAAACTTTCTTGTGATACTAAAAACCAGTAATTTCGTCTGGTACACATTTTGTATTTGTATATGTCAGCATTTTTGTGTGTGTGTGCAAGCCATTGTGAAGAAGAAAATGGAAAGGGCGGGAGCTTGCTATTATGTCCTGGCTGTAAAAACAAAAAAAAAAGGAAAGGCTAGAGAAAATAAGGGAAAACACTTGACTCCAATTTTTGGCGAGATTTTCCGCAGCTCTGCTGGAAGGAAACGAAGGAAGAAAGGTCGACGTTGAAAGGAGCAAAATAATGAAAGGGGAAGAGAAAGGATGCAGGCTGCCATGTATGATGATAAAAAATTAAGCGCGAAACGGCGGGCTAAAGTTGGCTTTAATTGAGTACTACTTTCAGCTTAAAGCTCGTGAAGATGGAAGCTGATAAAAAGTAATTGCACCAATGAAAGCTTAACAAGAAGAATTTTCTGATTCAGTTCAGGAATTTTCAACCTTTTCTTTTGTTGCCTGTGCAGGATTGGAAAGTTGAAAAGTTAAAGACCAAGAACAAACTCTCAACAGCCTCAGGAAATGTTAAAGTTCTTAATTAAAGGAAAAATATATAAGAAGTACAACTATGCTAGACACAAAATGATATTAATTAATTTGCCAAGAAAAGTAAGATATATGCATTAAATTGTTTGAGCTTTATTTTGATGGACTTCGAATGTAGCTACACATGTTACTGCACCGTAAATTGTGATATTAGGATATCAAATTGTCAAGCAAGAAAATGTATGTATTAATTTATTCTTGCTCAACTTTGATGCACTTTTGAATATAGCTACAATTTTATATTCACTTTAAGTAGACTTTGTTTACTGCAAACAAAACGAACATAATTTACACTATAAACACTATTCCAAATAATTATAAAATGTAATAAAATTGGTTTATAATGATTAAGTCACAAAAGCTAAATTCCATGAATCCATAATTATTTTGTATTTTTGGGAGTAATCAATTAACCAAGAAAAAACACTAAATTAATTTAAGGTATGGTTCTATAAACGGTTTGGGTGAGTTATTTACAGATCTGGAATGTTTTCGTGCCTTTTCCCTTATTGCATATTTTTATTTGTAATTCCATTTTGTTTATTTACAGAAAGCTTAATGAGCGCAAACAACTTTCAGCGATGTCGAAATTTCCATTTTTAATCGGTCAAACTCTGCGGCATTTTTCCCGACTTCGTGCTAGTCCAAAAATACCAGGAGCCAGTAGTGAAAATATATATAGAAAGTGGTGCATATATGTCTAGAGACACTGCCACATGGTGGTGCAATGCACGCAATGCGGCGACTGTGTGGTTGCGACGGATTTAAATTTAAATTGAACATTTGCGCTTTCCGGGCATTTTGCCGCCGATCCGATTTTCATTTGACCTGTTCTAGTTGCGGTGAATGTGCGCGGATATATATCTACATATATGTTTTTGACTGAATGTTTTTACTCCCCCGTGGGATTCTTTGTTGAAAACGATTTGTTTATAATAACGTGGAACGTGCGACTTGCTATGCTTCGAATGGACAAATAAAACGAGACGAGAATTGAGAGACGAAAGATGAAAAAGATTTACAGAGGTGCAAGGGCGTTGAATTAACCCACACAAAAAGTCAAACAAGGGGCAGGTTAATTGTAAATTTCGTTGCTTGTTTTTCGCAAAACAAACGGAACGGGAGCATTAAAATTGCTGTTTAATTGCCACAGCTGCGCTGCTTTTCAGGTTGAATTGAAATACTGACAGAGTCCATTAGGCCATTTTCCATTTCATTTGCGTTTTCATCTCACTCAGAGTTTCCCTTCTCGTTTTTGGTTTTCGCAATTTAATTGGCTTAAAATTCAGTCGCCTTCTTCAGAAAAGCCGCAAAGGACTCTGGGATTTTCCTTGTTAATTGAGCGACTGTGACAAAAACAGAAACAAATGTACATACTTTCACGGAAAATAAAGCCACAAGAAGCAATTAGATGGAAATTTCTGAATTATTTATATCTTTTAATATAAACACATTTGGGTATGACAATAAATCATTTTTAGGGCAATTAAACTTAAGGAAAATAAAGAGATGTAAATTTAAATTTACTCTTCGTAAAGTTATCCTCAAATAAATGCTCAAGTTATGTCTATCTTTTAACTACAAATTAACTTGTAAAATAAGAGAAATAACTATAATGAACACCATTTAATGAATCAAAACTTCAAACAGTTGTTCTATGATTTTTTTTGCTGTGTACAAAGAACAGTTAAACCGCTCGCGGCACACTCAGAACTCTCAAAAACAAACAGACACAATCCAGCTTTTAAAGGCTCTACACTGTCACACAATTTACAAGTGGGGTGTTATTTACTTTTTGCCGTCGGACTCTGGTTAACCGGCTCAGCCACCTGCTAGTGACACGCCTCTCCGGCTCGCCGCCTCCTCCGTCCGTCCGTGGTTACTGAGTCCGAATCCGAATCCGAATCTGATTGTGAATATGGATATTAATCCCAGTCCCGATCCCCACTCGCATCAGAAACGCTTGGAAACGTGTGCATCCACTGATAACGATGAAAACAAACAAACAAACACTTCACTGCGCTCAGTTCTCAGTTGTTGTTTTTGTCACTTGTCTGTTTTCGGTTCTCTGTCCGAATTACAGTTGCTCACTAGCCACTGCCTTTTTTCAACTTCCGTTTCCGGTTTCCGGTTTCCGTTTGCTCGTTGTGCTGCGGCCGACGCGAAAACTACTACTGAAATGGACAGCCGCGAATGAAAACGAAACTGAACTGACTTGAACCGAAACGCCACAAGAGAGAGAAAGCTTTTCCTGTCGGCGGTGCACAGATTAGAGATGCCTATTCTGATATTTTAAGGCTGAATGTGAGGCGGGAATTTAAGTAAACTCTCTTAGAAGTGCAATTAAAATTCTTACAAGATAATTAAAAAAAAAAAAAAGTTTTTGATACTTAGTAAAAGTTTAACTTTCAAGCATCTATTGCAGGATCTAACTATTTGTTTAATAAACAAGAATTAGGTGAAATTTTAACAATATTATTTAAGTAGCTTATTCCAAACGTTTAAAATTTATTATTTTAGTATTATTTTTAGACCAATATTATTTTTGATTAAAAGAAAAAAAAAATTTATAAAGAAGATAAAACAAACAAACAAACAATTAACTTAAAACTGTAAAATTAGTTCATTTACGTCTTAAACGTTTAAACCATGTGTTTTCCAAAATCAGAACAATAATTCGACTCGACAAATCGGGCATTTTAAATGTATGCAAATATTCATGGGAAATCCCTCCACTTGATTATTGTATCCAGCAAAAATGATATCGTCGAACAGGAAACCATTAATCAAGCCAATTCCCTTACCAAGTTAATCCCCACTTGGGAGGGCTCAGCCCAATTTTCGCATCTCCAACTTGTAGGATTGTGGACACAAAAGCTTTCCCTCCTTTTAAAGAGTGCTTGAGTTGAAGAGAGGCCGAGCAGCTTTTCTTTAACTAACAATTCCTTGCGTTAGGTCGTGTTCGGGGTTCCAAGGAAACGATGGCCGCTAACTATTCGGAGGCATTTTTGGGGGATGGCACAATATTTGGGGACCTGACTAACTGACTGACTGACTGACCGACTGACTGACAGAGTGACAGAGAAACCCATATTCGGTGAAAAAGCGCATTGGCAGAGTTCAAGTGCGGCGGAATGGCTTTTGTTATTGTTGGCCAGGAAACGAGCGCCAATTTCAGCGGGAATTTCAATGTTGTTTTTATCAAGCGCTTAGCCTGCCACCACTCCTTTTTCCTTTCTCATTTAAGGGGCCTAAATTAAAAGCATACTTAGCAGCGTTTAATTACTTATTCATGGTCGCCGGCGGCTCTGTTCAGATTGAAATGGAGTCTGCGTTCCCCAGCCCCAACAGGAAAAAACTTGGTGTTGTTAGACTCTCATTTTCTGGATGCCATGGAGTTTGCTGTCGCTGAGAGTTCCCTAACGATTCCCTCCCTCGTTGTTTGATCGAATTTCAGTTCCTCCTATTTGTCTGCCAGCTAAAATTGTTATCCCGACCCGCGTGCATATATTTTGTATGAAAAACCATTCAAGATGGACGAAGTGAAGCGAACCTCGCTGAACAGCAGCACGGTGACGATAAGGCCACGGCTTATCTACGGACTGCGGTCGGATGTGATTGGCAATATCCACTTCAACCTCACCAAGGAGGTCATTTATCCCGTGGAGGGAGTCCTGGCCTTTCACGACTACGTCCAGAACAAACAGAGGTTTCTCAGGTGGGTTTTTGGCCTTCATTGCTGTTAAAGGATATTTCAAACTTTGTAATCCTGCAGATTACCGGAGGATACGCGACCTGAAGTGATAGCCATAAGTTCGCACCGCAAGCTGCTGGCTGTGCTGGAAAGGCATTCCAAAAAGTAAGAACTCATGATGATTAACATAGTATTTGTTTCATAAGAGCAAGAGATAATTTAAAAATAGTGAACATTTTATGTTGCTTAAAACAGGTAAAATTTTGAATTTGTTATCTTACTTATCATATTTAATGTAAGTAATGTTTTATTCAATAGAAAGAAAGTATGAATTTAGATTTTCCTTGAATTTTAAAACAACACTTTTTTGGTAGATTAAATAATAATGATTTCGGGATAACTCTGGTTGTATTGTTCTGATTCTTTTCCTTTTTTAAACTGTCAAACATTAATTCGTTAAATTCTATACTCTTCTTTAGTGGTCGCTATATATCCATTTATGAATTGGCCACCTTGAAGAAGCGTCGTCACCTGGAGCTCCCAAGCAACCATCGCAATGACGAAATACAGCAGATGATCTTCACCAATGACTCGAGATCGTTGGCTTTAATTACCCGACCGCCAGAAGAAACTGTAATAATGCTCGTTTTGGATAAAACCAGCACAGTGATCGAAGGAAGAGCCACGATCCCTGGATCTCATGGAGGAGCCGAGTGCATTGCTGGTAATCCAAATGATTGCAGTTTTTTGGCCGTCGGTGGAGAAAGAACCCTTTTGCTAATGAGTAAATCGGAGCGAGGATTCAGCATTAGCAATAATTTAAAGGTCAAATACAGGGTCACCTCGATGGCCTTTCTCTCGCTGGATCTTTTGATGGTTGGAACTTCGGATGATCAGTTGATTTTGGTGGAGAACGGCGAACAGAAGTTGGCGCAAAAGGCGAGCGATGCGGACACCGTTGACTTGATGATCGATCAGGAGGTATTCGATCGGGATAAGGAATTGCAGGATCAGCGGTTCTTGCCCACACAGGCGGTTAGTCTTCCGGACAGAAGAGTCCTTTGCATGACCGCCTTTCCCAAGGGTTTCGCCTACATCATATTTAATCGGGCCTTTGTCTTCGAGCGAGTATCAAAGTTTAAGTTCGAGAGAAAAACCATTCTGACGGTGCCCACGAATCTCTATGCAGAACATATGTACCAAATCCAAAATCTAGCCATCGATCACAAACAGGAGACTGTAATAGTGACCACATCCCATTGTCAGATCTATGTGGGTATACTTATAGTTCCCGAGACTTTGAAAACCAAGCAGCTTAAGTTTGAACCACTCGGAGTGCTAATTCATACTGGTGAAATCATCGCCATGTCCGTGTGCGCCTGGAAACCCATTATCATGACTGCCTGTGAGTAGGAATCATCTTAAGATTATTTTTTTAAATCGAATATATAATCTTTTTACAGCCAGGGATCAGACCATCCGGATCTGGAACTATGAAACTGCTCTCGTTGAGCTGGTGCGGAAATTCCAAGTGGACGTTAATATTGTGGAATTGAGTTTAACAGGTCAGATGGCGGCCATTGGCTTTTCGGATCAGTTGCGAATCACCCAAATCTTTATGGACGATCTAAATGTAAGTTTACTTTTTTTATTTCAAACTTGTTCCTTTACTTAAATTTTAAAGATTTCGATTCTGATTTCTATTTAATTTTTTCCTCCCCACCAGATTGTCAAGACTTACAATTTTCCCCACTGCAATGCTGTGCGCTATTCGAATTTCGGGCACCTGATGGCCGCAGCCTATGATAACAATATAGCCATCACATCGGTATACAAACTAGATGTTTTAATTAACCTGAAGGGCCACAATGGCACTGTCCTTTCTGTGGCCTGGTCGAAAACGGACAAGTTCCTGATCTCCGGCGGAGCTGAGGGAGCCATTTATCTGTGGGACATTGAGACTGGCGAACGACTTCAGGAAATTGTTCAGAAGGGCACCGAATATGTGACCATATCCTGCAGCACCAACGATCCTTTGACGATCTTTGCGGGCACCAGCATCGGAACAATCCGTGAGTTCCAGAGCTCAACGCTGGTGAGGGAGATAACGATTCCATCGAGGAACAAGGGATCCGTTTCTGATATCTGCTTGGCCAGATCGGACTTAATTATGTTCGTGGCTGATCACGAGGGCAATCTGTTCAATATGCAACTGCCGTTTTTGGAGGCCGGAGGAGGAACCTTTACCAATTTCCGTTTCTTCGATGGACCAGTAAATAAGTTACGCTTCTCTTATGATGGCACTTTGCTTTTTGCCATTTCGAGCAAAGGAACTCTGGCCATCTGGGCAATGGACAACATAGAAGGCAAGGTGGCCTATATGGATCAGGATTTGATGCGCAGCCAGGAGGTTTTGATACCAAGAAGTCAACTAAATGATAAAATCGAGCAGATTGCCAATCTCGAGTTGCGATTGAAGCAGCAGGCGGAGGAGTTCCAATACCAGTTGAGTCAGAACGAGATCTTTGATGGCCAGCAGTTGCAGGAGGTTCACAGGAGCTACTGTTCGGCGCTGGAGGAGCTCAAGGAATTGAACAATGAAATCGAGGCAAGGCACACGGAAGAGATGAACCATATTACTTTCCAAATTAATTCCATAAGGGAGGATCATCGCATCCAGCTGGACACCCTGGCCACTCAGTATTCGGAGAGAATGCTTATCGAGTATCAGAAGTTTACCAATCTGCGAGAGAATATGCTGGAACTTCGCGAGAGTTACGAGGACAAGCTGAAGAACTCCACGGGAACGCTGCAGGATACGGTTGAAGCCTTAGAAAATAATTACAAACAGCAGTTAAACGAACGCAAAGAGCTAATCCGCGATCTCATGAAGGAAATGCAGGACAAGAAGGCCGAGTTCATTGAGTATTGCCACGAGGTGGAGCTGGAAAACGATCGCAACATGGTGTCCACACAAACCGAGTACGAAAACAAGTTAACCACCGAGCGGAATGAGACACAAATGTGGCGAGGCAAGGCGGGAGTTTTGCAGAAGAAATTCGAGTCGCAGAGCCGGGAGATCGACAATCTTCTGGAAGAAGTGGAAACCCTTAAGGAAGAGCACTATAAGTCCCAGCGGAACATGCAGAAACAGATGCGCAATATCGAGGACCTGCAAAAGGACATTGCCGATCGAGATTACGCCATTAATGGCAAGGAAAAGCGCATCCAGGATCTGCTGCACAAGAACCAGGAGCTGGACAAGTACAAGCAGGTGCTGGGACACAAGATCGCGGAGTTGAAGGCGCAGATTGAGCCCCGTGAGTTCCAAATCAACGATAAGCGCAAGCACATCATCGAAATGGAGGCGGAATTGGAGGGTCTAAACCAGAACAATGTGCAATTGGAGTTGCAGCTCAAGGAAATGCGGGACAAGTACCTCAGCAATGTTGCTGAACTCCGGACGGAGAGGCATCGTGCAAAGGCTTCTCGAGAGTGTCTACATGCCATTTGCTCGGATATTTACTACGTGGCTGGGGAAATCAACACTGCCGAGGGACTTAAGAAAGCCGTGAAGGAGCTGTTCCGCAAACACGCCTCTGATGATGAACTCAAGCGATTCGTGACCCTGGATGCGGAGGTCAGGGACGAGTTTATGCGGCAGCGCAGGCAGATCGAAAATGTGTTGGCGCGCTACAAATCGGTAGCCGAGGATAAATCCGTCCAGAAGAAGTACGACAAGCTGTTCAAGGAGAACTTGGTGCTGGTCGAGGAGATCGAAAAGCTTCACGAGACCAACAAGGTGCTGCGCAGCAAGGTGAAGGAGGACCTGCGCCGATCAACAAGACAAACAAAAACGTAGACAAAACAGGACTCTTTGTTTTCCGTTTCCTGAGGGAAAGCATAGTCTATTAAAATATGTATTTCACATTGGACTTATCAAAAAATTTAGTTTCACGGCAATATATACATACAAAAATGGCATTGGTATCGTTTTAGTTTATGATCTAGGCCTCAACCAGGACTTTCTTGGGTTTGCTGCTGGTTGCTTTGGTCTTCTCAGGCTCCTCGACGGGAATAGGCAGTTCGTCGGTGGGCACCTCGGGCAGCTTCTGTTGCTCCTCTTCCGCCTCGAGGGCATCCAGTTCGGCCAGGACATCCTCCTCGTCTTGCGTGGTCAGTACATCTGTCAGTATGGCGTCTATTTCCTGTTGCTTTTCGATGCCCTCGCGCGTTTCGTCCATGATTCGTTCTACCTCATCGATGTCCAGCATGTCGTGCACCTTCTTTAGAGCCGCATTACCTGCCTTGAGGCCATCTAGCACCTTCATTTCCACCTGGGCAAACTCTAGATCGGAGGCCAGCTTCTCCAGGTTTTCCAGTTGCTTGTCGGCATTGGTCAGCAGACTTTCCTGGTATTTCTTTTTGCGCAGCAACAGTTTTGCACGGCTGAAATAAATTCACTCGGGTTAGGGGTTTTGTGTAGAATTAATATATCTATTTAAACATACTCCTTGCGACCTTGCTGAAGGCACTTCCTGGCCATAAGTCGATCATTCTCCAACTGCGTTTCAATTCGTTTTTGGTACTGCTTGAGCCGATCCCGCTGTTGCTTTAGTTGCTGCAATGGGAACAGGACATGGAGTTTTCAGAAGTCTTCCTGGTTACGCAAAGACTTCCAACTCACCAGCACCGCCTTGTCCTGGTCGGTAATCCGGCTAGGAGCCGTCTTTTTACTACTTTTTCCAAACAAGGCTCCCATGACTAACTACGAGGCAGTGCTGACACCTCGGCTTTGTTATTGCCAGAGAGGCCAACAGCCAGAAGGTGATAAGCATTTCCAGCTGATTTAGCTATAGCCAAACGATTTTCCGGGCAGAAAAAAATGATTTCGTACCAAAAGTTAAGACCGAGATAAATTGATTGCTTAAATGTAAAGTTTATATTTATTAAATCTTTCTTCGGTAAGTTCTGCTTAATTTATTTAAGCTAATAAAGAATTTAGCTCCATTTTAAAGAGGACTGCTGGCATCACTGCAGTGTGGCAGTGCTTGCCTTAAAAAAGGTATACAAAAAAAAAATACCAGAAGTATTAAATATTAAGTTGTGGCAAAAAATGAATAAAAATGTAATGCAAAAATTTAATTCCTGTACAAAATAAAAGATTTTAGACTTAAATAAATGGGAACCAGGCGACTGTCATGTTGTTTTATTATTTACATTTACACAAATAAATTATAACAACGTGAGTTGAATGCATCTAGTGATCAAAAGTTATTTCGTATAAGTTTTACTTGACACAACTACTGATAACATCGTTTCACTATTCACCGAATAACTCTTTAGTTCCACCCAAATTATCAATTATTAAATGCAACAATTCCACTCGATTTGTACAGTTAATTATTCCGTTTTATTCGCACTTGCGTGCAAAGCATTTTCAAGTGGTAAAAAATAGCTCTAATCCAAATTGAAAACCAGACAGAGTAGTTTAACGGTACGACTTCTGGTAGCGGGCACGGGCACCTGGACCGCCAAACTTCTTGGGCTCGCAACGACGCGGGTCGCCGACCAGCAGGGTTCTGTCGTACTGCACCAGAATGTCCTTGATCTCCTTCTTGGAGGCCTCATCGACGTCTGTAAAAAGAAAATAAATTCGAGAATCAGTAAGCTACATCTTTTTTAAACGAATATTCATAGTAGTTTAAGCAGCTAGTGTCGATGAAGCCTCAAATAGCAATGGTCAAATCTGCCAATCGCTCTCTTTGATTGCGACATGCACTTAATCTCCCTTGCTCGAGTCGTTCACTGGAAAAAGCATTAAATTCCAACAAAAATCTGGGAGAAGGTGCCGACGATTTTAATTACATTTAAATGTTCCTGAAGCATCACCCAATCTGCACAATAATCTTGCAGCTTGGTTGGTATATGCTCATAATTAACTTTAATCTGCCTTTCAATAATGATTCGTGGGAAATGGTTAAAAATTCCAACAAAATTCTGGTAAAAGGTACCTAAATTCCAAATGTTCCTGAAGCATCACCCAATCTGCACAATAATATTGCAGCTTGGTTGGTATATGCTCATAATTAGTTTTAATCTGCCTTTCAATAATGATTCGAAGGAAAAGGTTTTAATAATTCCAACAAAAATCTGGTAAAAGGTGTTCCCCCTAATTTTGGTCATTATGCAAAACAGAGTTTGTTATTAAACTTACATTTCTGGTAGAAGGCAACGAGAGCCTTGGAAATAGCCTGGCGGATGGCGTAGATCTGGGCTACATGACCACCACCGCTGACGCGCACGCGGATGTCCACGCCGGCGAATTTCTCCTGAAAAAAGACAATAAAATCTCGTTTAACATTTGTTTCAAACAGTTTATAATTAAGTGCTTTTGGTGGGATTAATCAGATTTAAAAATTAATCTCATTTGGCTTCGAATTCGGGATAAATGTTATCATCATTAGAGTTTTGCAAGCCATGCTTCCGTTTTTGATTGTTTGATCAAAATAAATAAATCACTTCTTCTAAGTATGTAGTACAAACAAAGATTTAAAATCTCGTTGAAAACAAACATTAGGTTTAAAAATTGGTTGCTAGTCTTTTGTAGATCTTGTTACCAGTATAGAAAAACGGAAACATGGCTTTCTTTCAGACTCTTCTTTTGCGATACATACCTTGCCGAGCAACAGGAGAGGCTCCTGCAGTTTGTATTGCAGGACCTTGGGTTCAATCTGCTCCAGGGGACGACCGTTCACCTTCAGGAGGCCGTTACCGCGCTTGCAGTAAGCGACGGCGGTGGCGGTTTTCTGCAATAGTAAGGATTGCCGGCATTATTGAACGTTCCATTGATATTTGCGATGAATCCAAAACTAGTTTCAAACACTCGCAGACACAAACATAACCTCTGCCGTTGAGGCGGCAGCTCTAAATTTTTGCCGCCGCCGACTGACGCGAGTTTCTTTTATCTGCACGTGTCGTACGAGAATTTCGATTGGATTTCAGCGCTTTTATTCACACACACCTTGCGTCCGAAGACCTGGACTGCCTGCACGGGTTCTCTGCGCTGCAAAATAAAAGTATTTGCGACATTTTAGACATTAGTTTGGCACGGAATCTTTGTTTTTCACAGGCACAAATACCTTCTGCTGCATTTTGCTCCGCGAGTTGGGTAGGAAAAGAGCGGAAGTCGCGTTGACAGTTAGAGTGACCGCTTTTTGGCATTCACGTAGCTGTCAGTGAAAAAATACTAAAAAGCGACATCTGACGGGTAGTGTTGTGCAGCAGCTAACTATTGGGTAAAAATTTGTAGGTTTCGTTATAATTCCTTCAAAGAACATATACTTGGTGAAATAGTATCTTAATCATTGTAGTCTATAATTGTTTGTCATATTTAAATAGGAGTTTAAATTAAAACCAAAACGCAAAACACTACTAAATCACATATTGAAAATACAAGGTGTTAATTTCAAATGAATTGTGGGTTAAACTTTAAATATATGTTACTAAAGGAGAAAGAAATAATGAAAGGGTTTTAATGCATACTACGACCCGAAATGTTAAATCTATTATTATTGTTATAAAATTCAATACACCGTCGATGATTCGGTATTTTGGTCTTATCGGTATTTAGAGCCAAAATCTTCACGATACAGTACCATCTCTAGCCTAATCAATAGCCATCACCAGCACAAAGGCAATGAAAAAAAACTAGCGTAATTTTGGTGCATAAGTGTCAGTGATTACCTGAAAAGTGCTAAGCGTGCAGAAACCTGCAGAAAAAATGGTGGTCTGCACAGCCACGGAGCCTCCGGAATCGCGACCGTGTTCCGAGCCCGAGAAGGAACCCCCTGAACTGAATGATAATCGCGTTAGCAAAGAACCTTGTGACCCTGTCGATGATGATGGAGAGGTCGCTGAGGAGGATCGCGAGGAAGGCGAGATTGTCGACGAATTCGAGCTTATCATCTCGTCCGAAGACGAGGAATTCAAACTGCGTGCTCGCATCCAGCAGCTGGAGGAGAATAACAAAGATGTGGAACGCATGGATATTCTGTCCGCAAATTTGGCGCATCAATACAGTAAGCAACATGTTGGGTTTCCCATTTTAGGGGTTGATCTCAAGTAATTGCGTTTTAAACAATGCTAATGATCGGTGATAAATCTTTTTTATTCCAGATTACCCAAAGTCTGCTTATCTGCAAAAGTCGCCTGTTTATATCCTTTCGGATGTTTCCAGTCAGTCGGATGATGAATTTGAAGTACACCGCAGGTATCGTAAGCAGAAACTGCGCCGTATGGAGGCGGGGAAAAAGTGCCATCATTCGATGTCCAGCGATTACCGCAGGAATCCCTTCGCCAGGCGCCATAAACAGTCTTCACCATCGCCATCGCCGCCACCACAGCGCAGAAAACAGGGCTATCATCACCACCAGTCCAATCATCACCAGCATCGCCATCAGTCACTCTATCCACTGCACGATTCCCTGGAAAGCGTTACCGATGGCGAACTGGGTGAATACGATATAAACGATGAAAACGAAGACGACGAGATTGAACTGGAAAGGCTCAAACTCAGCAGGGATAAACTGCGCGTGGCATTGGCGCGTGAGGGTGGGCAAGATGTGATAAGTCAGTACAAAAACAGCTTAAGGGAGCGCCTGCAGTATCGCATACGCAAATCCCCCAGTCCCAAGTTCGAAAAAGAGTACGAACAGGAGGCGGAACTTCAACTGTCACCTCTCCAGCAATTATGCGAAGGCAGGGAAGAGGAACCCGAACAGGAGCAGTCGCAAAACGAAGATCCTCCCGAGCTTAATCTGCGATTGATAGCACTCAAATCTGCCATGTTGCGAAAACATCAGGCCCGCAAGAAGCGCGATGCCGAGCGAGCCTATTCGCCCACTGATATGATCAATCGCGTACATCCCGCCATTTCCAACGACGACGACATCGATGACCTCATGGAGATCAGTCCAGCGACATCGCCCGAACGCGTTCAAAGTCCGCCAAGATACTCAACGGACTATGCCGTGGACACAAAGCCTGTGGACATGGACCTGGCCGAAACGGACAGCGATGATCAGCAGAAGGATGCTTGGAATCCCTGGTTAGGTAACTGGAATTCGATGAACAACGCTGGGGGCAGTTGGCGCTGCTTCATGCCCAACAACCTGCCGCCCGTTTCGATGCCCATTGTGATAGACGAGGATGATGAAGAGGACATGAAGACGGACGATCGGTTAAGGGGAGAGAATGGCGCTTACTTCGACGATGATGACGAAATTCCGCCGCCACCACCGCCATTTCACATTCCACAGATGCATCTGGAGGATGAGGATGCCAGGGATGCCATGCACCTGGTCGACCAGCACTCCAATCAGAGCTCTTTTACGGAGATGCAGTCTGTTTCGATGGAAAACTCGCAAACGCATATGAAGAGTAACGATCAATATCAGGCGGAATCAAGTGACGACGAGGCGGGAGCATTGCGAGCCATATTACTATCCAATTTGCGGACAATCAAGCCTCCTCCGCCTCCACCAAGGTCGCCTCCTCCGTCCAATGAACCCGCTTCAGTTTTTGCTTCTATTGCAACTTCAGTTTCAGCATCTGTACCTGCTCCTGTTCCTGCACCTTTGCCTGCTCCTTCATCAGGTCCTGTGGCTCAAATTAAAGAGGAATCAAACCAGGATAATGACTCCGATGATCCAGAAGAGTTACGCTTACTGCTTCTTTCCAGTATAGCAAGCAAAAAGCGGGCAAGTAAACCAAATTCTAAATCAGCTCTTAATCCAGAGATACTCAAGAATGCAGTGAGGCGCTTTCAATCTTCTTCGGTGCCAGTAAAAGGTGAAGAGGAATCACAGGATCAGCAAACAAGCCAAGAAGAAAGTACTGAATTGGAAACAGAGAAGGAGTTGCCGAATGAGAAAGTTGAGGAACCGATTTTACTGGAAACTCCTTCCATCCCCGTACAAACTGTGAAATCCCCACAGCCAGTCGCCAAGCCAACCATTCAGGCAAAGAATCCAAGCTCGCCCTCCACGAAAATCATAAAAATCGTCAAGCCCAACAAGGTGATTAACAAAAAGACAACAGCCAAGAGGAAAATACCAATCGATGAGCATTCTGGGTCTGGTTTGAGCAATAAGCGGCCAACAACCTTAATGATAAAGGAGCCAAGTGCTCCTCTGCATGGTCCAACTGTGACCTCATCCAGCACCCGCCTCATTACAACCGTTGATCCTGCCAGCATCAAGGTGAATAAGCTGATCATTAGCTTAGCAGAGGAGTCAGCCGCCAGCGATGATGAACTGGAGCTGAGTTCGAGCTTTGCCTATGCAAGCTACACGGACATTGCCAGTCCCTTGAGTTTGGCGATGGGCAGTGGCAGTGGCTCCACGACCAGATCAAATACTCCCATATCCGAGATTGCGGAATCGGCACCTAGCGCCAATAACAATCTCAGGCGAACTGTGATCAGTGAATACTTCGAGAAGAAGATTGATGATTTCCTGAAGCAAGCTAGATCGAAAGCACCCGCCTCTGCATCGCCAGAAGCGCCGCCTGAAAAAGTTTCTGAAACGGACAAGGTTAATGAGAAGCAGCCAACAGTTATTGCTCCCAAGACACAGCCAACCAAGACGACGCCAGTGGTATATCTTATTTTTATCCAGTTTCAAGCGTTTTATATTATTTGTTTTTTCTTTGTAGTCTGTTCGGCATTTGCCAGTGGCATCGCAAAAGGAATACCTCCGTTTGATTGAGCGAATGCAACTGCTGGAACAGAAGAGGGTCCAGGCAACCAAAAGCACAGTTCCTTTGGCTACCAGTAAAGCAGATAAAGTTGAAAGGCCACCGCTTATCAAAATTACCCCGCCAGCTACAACTAAAGTGGTGCAAAATACTACAAAGTTAGCAGTATCAACTGCAATTAGCACCAATAGTAAAGCTAGCACAGCAGCTGGGAAACCACTAGCGAAAACTACAAATGCAAAGACAACTAAACCAAAAGCCAAACTGAATCAACAGTCGAAGGAGAGTCGACTGAAGGCGTTTGAGAATTCGTTTGTCAAGATTGGGTAGATACATGTGTGAACAAAGCCTATAGTTACTTATCTCTGCTTTTTTATTTTTACAGGGGAAGCATGCTAGTTAATCTCGAGAAATCATTGCAATTGGTCGAAGAAGCCAAAAAGTCGAAGGCAATACGTCTGCGTTGCTCGCAACGTCTCAAGGATCTTTACGCCGAAATGCAGACTGTGAAGCAGGCTGTCAGGCAGGAGGAACTCAAGCTGGCGAGGATTCAGCCGGAGATCCAGGCCAGCCATGAGATTATCATATCACTGAAGCAGAAAAGACACAAGCTCCATGCGGCGGCAATGGACTTGGGCCGAGGATTGAAGGGCGATGACTACAGGTACTACTATCATCAAGCGCAACATGATCCAGAACGGCGTGGGAAAGCTGGAACAAAGCGATCACAGAAATCAAATCGAATTAGAGGGAAGAAGAAGAGCTCTATGAGATTATAGGTTTGATTTTCTTGCAGGTTACTCGACGAGGGCAAGGCGGCCATCACCCGTAAATCTACACAACTCACTAAGGAGATACGTCTCTACAATTCCATAATGAAGTTCGAAGACCTCGAGAAGCTGACTGATGTGGCGGTCAGTCAACCAAATGCTGTGATTGAAACGGAATCGAAGACGAATCAACCGGAGATTGTATCGCCTGAGCAGCCAAAGGAATTAGCGGATGCGATACCCCAGAAACCAGCAGCTTTAGAACCTACTCAACCTTCCAGAGTTCCTGAAACGGGGAAAGAGCCTGCGACGGGAAGCCAACCTGAAACGGAGACAGAGCCTCCAGATGTGCGTGGATTTCGATTTGTACAAATTGCTTCAAAACTATTGCTAAGAACTTCATTTTTACGCGGCTACCGCTGTTATTATTGAGTGTATTGAACACTTCATTTCTGAATGTGCTGCCATAAACCCGCCCTAACGAAACGGTTGAGTTTATTTTCAGGATCAGGCGCAGGAGAAACCGGTGGAAGTTTCGGCACCCTATACGGTTACCACAATGCGGGAACTGCGCGAGGAGAAGGACGTGGAGTTCTGTAGGAGAGGCGGCTACCTTCGTACTTATCAAACGCCCATGTCGCGGAATTACAATAGGTAAGTACGAGTTATACGATTCAGCATTCCGGCGAAATGTATTTGCTTCCATTTTCCGTTTTCAAGCCACCTCGATGTTCACGCCACCATCTGCCCCTTTGATCTGATGGGTCGCTGCGAGGACGCGGACTGCTCCTACCTGCATTTAGCCCGTTCCGACTCCCAAAACGAGCTGCCAAAGACAATACCCTCTCTAAATAACTAACAAACACAAAAAAACAACTAACTTAAAAACTAAAATATTTAATAGCGTGCTTGAATTCTGGTAAGTTGAACTCTTCACGCGACTTAATATTTAAATGTTGCTTTCAGTCAACGTAAAAAAGAAAGAAACCCACAAATCAATTGCAAAGCATACGGAGAGAAGCAGCAGCGAGTGCAAAACCATAAAAAATCGAAAAAGAACAAAGAAAAAAAAAAAAAAAAAAAAAAATGAAAAAACAATCGTTACTAGGTTGTACCTTGTTTGTTATATACATTTATATATATATATATATCTCGTGTAGTGCAAGTTCTATGTTCGTCGAGGCTCGCAAACGATGTTTCGGGTTTACGTTGGAACGGATGTGCATCTTACTATCGGCTTTTCATTTTTTACTTTATTATTTTAAACGATTTCTGATCAATCCGCCATCAACAAATGCCCGAGGGCAACCAACAAACAATAAGAAATCGTCAATTTAAACACGCGTACTTAGTTATTAATAAAGGCTTGCTTAAAACCACTCATTCTTAAAACAATTTATTGCCAATTAAAAACAGTTTTCGTATCGCATAAAAGAAGGCCAAATTTATTTTTTCATTTCGAAATCACTTTCCAATGATCTTTAAACATGTACAATTATTATAAAGTTTTCTAAAAATACAAAAAATGATTTTACAAAACACAATACACCAAAAAAAGAAAGAGATGAAATAAATAAATAAAAGAAACGTACAAAATGAAATGAAAAGTTTTTAAGTGGGAAAGGGTAAAGACCACGAATATGCTAATTTAGCCTTGTTTATTCCTAAACATAATTTAAAATAAATACAGTGGGTATATCACAGCCAATCCACACAGGAGTACGACATAATTTACACAGTTTTAATCGCCTCCTGCCCGTCCATTAAACCTAATCTATTCGATGCCATAGAAGACGTACTCCCTGCACCAATCCTTGATGCCGTCCTCATTGCTGCAGCAGGAAGGATACACGATATCCGACTTGGTCACCTTGGCGCATCTCATGCACAACTCCATCGTATTGGAGTCCTTTTCGCACTGTTGCACTTTCAGCACGGTTTCCACCGACAGATTCCCGTGATAATCGCTGGGATCCGCCTTAGGCTCCACCGACGAGGGTCGAGCATCGGCACTGAATACGAGTAGGGTCAACACCAATAAATTGCAGAAGATCTGGAATCAGTCGAAAGGTGAACGATTCGTTAATTGAATTTTCGTGACTGTGACACAATTGAGCGGCAAGTTCTGTTCGATGCGCTTTAGTCTGGTTTTAGCTAATATCATCTTGTTTAATGGTATTATTATTATTATTATTCCAAGGAGTTCCCAGTCTTTGGGCACATTTCAACAAAAGGACTACACATATATCTCAATTAGAGGATGGGGCATTGACACACATTGAGTTTACGCTCCGCATAATATGTTTGCGGACAAACACATGTCAGAATTGTCTTTTATCAATTTAAATAAATCTTTTCACGTTCGCAGAAAGATTCGAATTCGATTTATTAGTTCAATTCACTTCGAGTGTTTTTCTTTTGGCACCTGATATTAATCATTGTGAAGTGTAATTGCTTTATTTGTATCAAGGTTTATTCCGATCGCTGATTACCGCTTGGCATTATTATTGGGTGCTTTGTTAGACTTTGTATTCGGACCACAGAAATCAGGGACAGGTGTTTGTTCGTTCTTACTTTCTTAGCCATTTTGTTGGTTAAACTAATACTTTCTCCGCACCACGACGAAATCGTTTAGTTCTCAATGTATTATTTGCTTTAGACGGGTAGCTCGCAACTGGAAGCCCGCGGGGCTCGAGCATTACTTTTTATACTTGGGATCCACGTATCGCCATCCGAAGCTTACGCACAGATCGTGCTGAGATCGTGCAGCATTCGTGACACATTATGGTTGATAGGCGAATACCAGGTATTGCCCCCTATATCAGACGAACGTGCGAAGGAGTGGGCACTTCCCGTGATTGGGCGGTATTTACAATGGGTTTTGGTAATCGCAACACCCATTTTTGGGTTTGATATGAGAGCAAACAGAACACTACGCACGTTTGCAAAATCATCTTAATTAGGGGTACATTAAAAACAAACTCCAATTTATTCACAAGTCATTATGATCTCAAAAGATTGACAAGCTTGAATAAGAATTTTAAATGTAATAAAAGGTAAGCCTATCTTCATTAATATCAATGGGATTTATGTGAGACTTTTTCGAAAGTTCAAATGCAGAGAAAATTTTTTTCATTTCTTGTTACCTAATATTTTGAAATTACGTTGGAAATGGGTTGTGAAATAAATAATCAAACTGTGACAGAATTACGTAGAATTTATTTTAATGTTTTTTAAAACCCATTTATCAAATCAATTGTTCTTTAAAAATTTTGAAGAGGTAAAGAATTTTTAATTTTAAATTTTAAAAATTGAGTTTCTTCACTAAGAGCATTCTCTTTATTCCTCCGACGATCGTGCGAATATATGTATGTCCGCATACTGCACATTAATGTTGCGTAGACACAGTCAATTAGTGAAACATCATGTTGCTGATAATGGGAATTCATGGTCGCCCAACTGATTACAAACCGATCATTCTGATCCCAATCGAGCCTCACATTTTTATTGTGCAATGTCTCGGTCAGTGTTTACTTCCGGCAATAAATAGGAATCTCCGGGAATGGGGACCTAATGAATCAATCAAAACATCCTTCTCCTCGCATTTATTGAATGATCTCACCCACATTCTTCATCACGCTTTAGCAGACCTGTTGTTTACCCACATGATTAAATTAATTTCCGTTGCGGAAAACTACTAAGCGTTGCATCAGTCTGTAATTGCATATCCAATTCTTGGAATCGACATGTCGGTTTTTCCCCTAAATAGATGCAGGAAATTAATTGGTTTATTTTTCCGTACTTCAAGTGACAATGTAAGTAACAACAAGGTCATGGATGGTAAGACTTATTTCTATAGAGAGAATATTATGAAGGGCTTCGAATAACACAGATTCAATCCTATAAATCTGTGTTTTTCCAAACGAAACTAAGTTGCTTTCCCATTTTTTAACATAAATAAATTATAAATTAGAAAGTGTAAAACAAGAAAATACTACAAACTGATAACATAAAAAAATTCACCCTTAGGGCAACTTTGATCCCACCAGTAAACTATTGATTAAATATAAACAAAATTAATTTCCCCTTATAGTAATCCATTCACAACCAATCACATCAACAAATAATCTACGGGGAATTTGTAGTGGGCTGGTTTGACTTAGATTAGAAGTGGTTGAATTAAAAAATAAGGTGATGCGTAGATTAAAAAGTACTTGTTAGCTCGTTAAGATGTGGAAAAGCATACATTTTAGTCCCGGAAAAGGCGATGAACCGATTTCTGAGTCCATCTTTATTTCTACATTTGAAGACCTAGTTTAAGGTATACTAAGCAAACAAACAATGCATCGCTGATTAGGCTAATCACATCATCGTTATAGTCATTGTATTAATTACTGCAATCGCTCTTAAACCTCTGCATATATTTTTAGCAAATTAAACATTTGTTTATTTCCAGCAGGATGTATCTTTCACTGATGCTCCACTGACATATAATTTTCATATCCAGGGCATTGTCATTTAATTCGAGTATGGAGAAGTCAATAATAAACAATGATTCCTTGGCCCAGACAATGAACTTTGGAGTCGAAGATTAAGGCAATCAGACGGAATTCGTGTTGATTTCTTTCGCTTTTTGAGTTAATTAGTCCAATCGAACGGAGAGGAAAGCACGCTCTCTCCATACGAATATACACATAGTATTTCGCCAGACAAATGATTTCGGTAATCAGATCGACACGAAAAGTGGAAGCATAAATAATGGCACTTAGTGTGCAAATTTTTCCCAATTCATGCAACTGATTTACTACTTGTGGATGGTTATTGATCGGCGGCACTGTTGCCAAGTGGATCTTCCGCGCATGAGGAAACTGGTGTCTCTGTATTTTTAAGTGCGGAGTTGATGGTGATTTCCGATTGGCGGCTATTAATAATGTTAAGACTGTTTACATTTGGCACCGCCTACAGACTTCTTATCAAAAGGGAGGTCACCCACCGCCATCGTTTGTTTGTTTCGGTCTCGGTCCCAGTCCTAGATGAGTAATGAGTAATGTCATCAGCCAAATTCTGTATAAAGTAATCTCCTTTTGCCGACCCCATAAATCATGCCCTGTTTTTCCACCCACACAGTCTGCGAATGGCACGCCCAAAGTCCATCGTCTATAATCTTGATCGCGTTTAATGATCTTAACATGAGCCTGAAGAGTGCCACCGATTGAAGGATATAAAATTATTGACGGCGCTGCTTTCTTATCGGTCGAAAGCGGCATCGTTAAAGCAATTGATCCAGTTAAACGATTTTGGTAAAAACCGGTTGACTTCCCAACGTGTCTGCCAGTTTAATAGATTGATAGTTAATTAAGTCAAAATTAAGATTACGGTTGTCGTATTTTCTTTTGCAATACCTTAATGCTACTTAATTGTTGCTTTAGACATGAATCTCTTGAAGTTGATTTTGTAATATTGATAATAGTATGTATTATTGATATTTAAATATAGTGCATAACGCTTAAAGTCCATAGTATTATTTATAATTTTAATCTACGTTTTAAAGATCAATTTTAATACCTTAAATATTTATTTTTCACATATTTTAAATTCTTCTGAATTCCAAATCATTATTCGAATTTTTTCAGAATACTTTACATATTTCTTTCATTTCTACGTATTTTACTTGACAGCGTAAAATATCTTTTCGGTGGAAGAATAAATAAAAGATTAGAAAGCTTCTCGTGTCGATAAATATTATGGTCTATGTAGAGGAAATGTAAGATTATTTGTTCTACTCAGAAAAATTATACAAAATACAAAAATAAATATTTTTTAATTCGTTTTCAAAGAATGTATTTTAAAACATTAAAAAATAAAGCTTTAACATTTTACGTTTTAAGAACATTTTTATGTTCAAGAACAGAATGATAAATTTTGGATTGGCAAATAAAAATAAAAGCTGTACATCTTTGTGAAAGTCTTGTACACAACGAAAATACGCATACTTATTGCATCTTACCTAACTAAATTGAGCCAAACAAACTGTTTACTCGGAGATTACACAAATGTTTGCCTGCCAACTAATTAAATTGGTTGGCAGAATATAGTCGACATTTTGCGAATGGGAAATGTCCCTTGGGAGACGCCAGATTTGCATAGTTTATGGCAGAAGTTGTACAAATGCCATTCCGATGTGGGCCAGACACTGGGCCCCATTATCCCCCATTCAATCATTGTCCGTTGTCAATTGCCGATGGCCATTGCAGTGATATTGATTTTCTGTACCGAAACCCCTGATGGACACACATTACGACTGCATACTATATACATAGTATGCTATAGCCCAAGGTCAGTTCTAGTCCGGGCAAACCCTATTATTGGGGGATTTGGGGGAAACGTGACCCGGCTGGCCGTCCATTCCCATTCAGTGTCACCTGTGCCACCATTACCCGTTACCCGTAACCCGTTACCCGTGTCACCTGACCTACTAAACGTAACCCATACAAACACATTAGGGGTAAGTATCAAGGCGGAGGTGTGTCAACTTATGCAAGTCGCTTTACATTTGGAAGCTGATGGTTTTGCCAAGGAGTAAAGTGCATTCTCTGGTAAGCCATAAGCCTTGAATTCGAAAAGCTTTTTCTTTTTCTATCGTATTTAAGATCACTATTATAAACTAAAATTGAACTTTTCTTTTAAAAGCATATACAAATATTTATCTCTTGATTTTTTTTTTTATCAGAGTTAAAAAAGAAACAATTTCTTAGTAATTCGTCAATGCTTTGTTATTTAAAATATCAACCGGATAATGATGGTAAGAATATTATTAAAAATATAGTTACTTAAAGGTACAAAGGATACGCTTTATTTACAATTTCTGGGGATCAGATAAAAATAAGACTCAATTAACACCTTTAATGGTGTGCATTAGCGCAATAAATTACTGTAAAGCTTCGTGACTTGCATCACGTAAGCAAACATGAACACAATAAGCTCTTTTTTTCCACTGATATTGATCAGTTTTATATACATGACCTCCAATGGGATCAGTCACAACAATCATATCTAAGCTAAGCTATTACAGAAACAATGCAACAATTCTAGGGTTTCTCTTCAAGGTAACAATTTCTTGTGCAGATCTATCTTTTGATTACCATGCCTGCAGGTCCACCCTAATGTTCCCGGACCGACTCATTAGTCTTCATATTGTGCAGGTCGTCCGAATAAAACACAAACAACCGAAGTGGAGATAATGCAGTAAGCCAGAAGAGAGAGATGCAAAGCCAGAGGCAGCTGCACTGCACTGAAAAGAAAAGATATCTGCACATGCGCCTTCAACAATTTACCTGCATTTCAATTTCAATGCGGCGAGCAGAAAATCTGATAACAAAAGCCCAGTGGCTAAAAACAACAACAACAGCAACAGCTGGGCGACAGAGAAGGTGAATGAAACAGACGGTAACAGCTGCCCCCAACGCTCTTCTCGCCCCCGCAGTGAATCACATATAACACTTCGCTCTCTTATTGCACTCAGAGAAAAGCCTTATAAAAAGAACAATTATTTTAAAGGTACTAATAAATAAATGTTATCATAAATCAAATTAAAAATAAACACACTATTTATTATTTTTAATACATGAAACAACAGACTTAAAACTGTTCTAGAACCAATAAATGTTTTAATGTACATTTTTTTAAAGAGTACTTTCTCAACATTCACACATACTTGTCTCAATGTACTTTTCTCTTTCAAAAGAGTAACTCGTCTGCCGACGATTTCCGAAGCGAATTGTTTCAGACTGCGAGAGTTTAAAAGAGAGCCAGCGAACAAAAGTCTATTTAAGCAACGCGGAGCTCCACATTTTTTCACTCGATTTTCGGCAGCGCTGTGTTCAACACAAAAATACAACCAACAACAACAACAAGGATATCCGTAAAATCGCCGGGAAAAAATATCACGAAACGATATTTTGAGTCTTAAAAACGAAAACATAAACGGAATTAAATTGAATGTGTTTCACGAGACAACAATAAAGTAGAAGAAATAAAAAAAACCAACCTACTGAAGCAACAATCAAAAGTTTATACGTGCGTGCGTTCGTTGCCGCTAAATAAAAATGTGTACAAAATTTCAAAAGTGCAAATTTATTTAAATTACTTCGTAGTGCTCAACGTTCAAAAGTTAACAAATAAAGTTAAATAAAACGCAAACAGAGAAGTTGGCTAACGGTCCACAGACTGGAACAAAATACGCGAACCTAATTGAATTTGGTGCGCAAAAGAGTAGAAAATTGCAACCTGTAGCTCGGCCACTCGGCTCCGATTTTGATTTTGATTTTGATTTTGGTATTGGTATTGAATTCGGCTATTGTGCGAGCGAGCAGGCCGGAAGCCAATCCCAAATGCAATTGTTTTGAACCGCACAGCTGAGCCGAGCTTAATACCTGTTAGACAACAAATCAAGCGGCCGCCGCAACAAGGAAAACAAAAACAAGGCAGGCAAAATGTGGTGCATTGTCAACTTGCCCAACGGCACCCAGCAAGCCGTCAAGTGGGATCCCAAAGCCAATGGTCAGGAGTGTCTGGAGAAGGTGAGTTCATCGCGGCTATAGATAGATTGCCATTGCTGGTGATTTTCCATAGAATCCCCACTGCAGCAGTTGGCGAAAAGTTCACGATGACAGTCTCTGATTAAAATAAACGCTAAACAATAAGATTTGCTTTATGGTAAAGATTGAAAGAATGTTCGTTTGGTTTTGGAAGTCCCTTAAAAAATATATGACATGAGAGTTTCTTTTAAATTGATTGACTATTGTTAGATATCTTAAACGTTTCTTTACCATATAACTTGTAGTTTTAATCTTCAAAGAAAGAATGATGAAGTTGTCTTCTAAGGTAATGAGTTTCCCCTTTCAAGTACCAAAAAATTCCAATCCCTTACTATGTATTTCCATTTTCCCCTTGTATTTGACCTTACATTTCCTTCTCTTCACGAAAGAACATCAATTGAAAGTCGCCACTTGCAATTGAAATGAGTTTCAAGAAATCCATTACGGCAGTTTCCATAAAAGTATTCTTGTACCGTTGGGTAATAATAGCACTCATATTTTTTATGGCTCCATATGCTTCTTTGTCTTATGAAACCCTTGTTAAAATTAGAATTTCAAAACGTATTCCCACATTTAAAGAAAAAATTACCTTAAGTAGTACTTTTCATAACCTCACACATTTGATATAGTAATATTAATATTAGATTTGTATTTGTAGTTTTGGACTTTGCTTTTATTTAATGTATTATTCAAAACAACATTATTATCTTTCCTAAAAGATTGCTTATGCAATTTTACTACTTGTATTACTACGCATTACTCCAAGCCAAGGCCTTCGCGACATTGAATTTGAAAAACCCCACCCTAGGGTTACAGAACAAATGGGAAAGTCATTGGTTCCACTTCATAGATGTTACAAAATTATCCGAACAGGCTGCTCCCAAGTCATCGGTTCCACTTCACAGAGGTTACAAAATTGTCCAACCAAGCTTCCGATAGAAGAAGCAGTCGCCTTGAAATTACTTCATAGCTTATCACCGATCTTCAACTTTGGTTTACTCGATTTTTCCCTACACGTGTATGATATTGCCCTTAAATTACGATTCCCTTATAAGAGGACATGGTGTAATACCGAAGGGCCTTCGAATCACTTGAGCCAGAAGGGAATAACAGGTGTAGAAATTGGTTGGTTTTTTATCTTTGGAAATAAATAACTAAAAAATGATTACCTTTTTATGGGCAACGTGCAAAGTTGTTCACGACGCCATACTAACAAAAATGTTCTCATTTCACTTTAATGGCGGTCTTTTTTTGATGGCGAATTTCGTTACGGCTAAAACCAGAGCGGCTTACTATAAAAAAAATGTTATAAAAGAATCTTCATTTAAAGGCACTCGGCATTCATTCGAAAACGAAGCACTTGATTCGATTTCAATTAACATTTTTTTTGGTGGGGGCTGGACCTGTAAGCTTTATGAAAGTATTTTAATGCTTATCAGTGGCAGAAGTGAGTGTGTGTTTCGTTATTGTAATTTCGATTCGCATTCTCTTATCAGTACAAAGGCCATGTCCAATTTCAATGCCTTGTTGTTTACTAGTTTTGCGCTAATTCATTTTAAATGCCAAATACCCTTGACTCAAACGGCCCCCCGCAATCGTTTTTCAGAACCCCAAGGTGTGTTGAAGTCGCAAAACAACAGAAAGCAGAGGATTGCAATACAGAATTCTTATCTTATAATTAAAAAATTATTAGTGAAATGAATACCCTCTTTGCAAGATTATTAAATAAAGAAAGCATTCATTTGCATTATAGAAAATATTCCTTCATGTATTTATGTATATTCAACATAAATTATTAATCACTGGCAAAATCTAATTGAGTTAATCAACCTTAAGTTTCTTTTCGATTTATTTCCCCGTGTACTTTTTGCCAGTGGGTTCAATGTACAAGTGGTCGACACTTGAGTCGCTTAGTGCAAACACTTGACCATTCTGCTTCTGTTTGGCTGAGTTCTGTTACTACGAGCGAAATACATACGATTATGTTTCCCCCTCACATTAAAGGCCAAAGAGCCCCTTTCCCCAAAACCCCAAAGATTAAACCGAATTCGGCAATTGGCCCTGTTTGTCAGGCTAATTAAGTCTTTGGCTTATTTGCGAGGAGTGCCTTGGTGTTTGTGCAATCTAATCGGGCGAACTTATCAAGTTACTGCCCCGCACACAAAGGCATTAATATTCAGGTGAATATATGTCCCGATTCGTTGCCAACTTTATTATCTACTTTCGAAAACAAGACCCGACAGCACAAGACACGGAGAAATATGCTTCTTCAACTTGTTTTTATCTTATCTAACGCCTTTCCCTATCAGTGCGGCTCATTTGCTATCAACATTTACGATTCTGAACCCAACAATCGTATACAACACCATCTAGGGGAATTGGGGCACAACGCAGATGGTTTTTATTGGGGGAGGCTTAGCCATAATCGTAATTACAAAGGTTACGAGTCGTGATTAGTGCGCTATTAATAATTGCTAATTGAAATCTATTTATGGTGCACTGTAATGGCTTCAAAGGGCATAACTACTCATAACCAGTTCTATAAATCAGATTGTCCTACGTTTTATTTCCAGTTATTTAGTTAATATAAATAAGTCACGATAACGGGTTTATTGAACAGCTTAATTCGAGTGTTTTTATATACAGAAATAATATAAAGAAATAAACGAACCTTTGTCCTCTTTGTTAAGCCATGATAATCGGTTCTTTCTCGGCGCTGCAACAGTTGCATTATCCCCCGATGACATTGAATCCGAATCCGAATCAGGGCGTTATCAATTTCACATGCACCGAATCACGTATGTTCTGTGCACATTATATATGCTACTCTATATATGCTTCCAGTCCAATGTTCAATAACACTCCTCTCGTATCACGCCTGTTGATCTGGGAAAACATCTGGCAAGCGTTTAAAAATTATTTATAGTATAGCCCATTTATTGTTGGGACCCCCGAAGGGGGAGGTGAACCTCATCTGTGACTCGGCCGGATTAATCAAATTAATATTAATTTTTTTTTGCCTTCGTAATTTAACTTTGAGCCGTGCGTCAGCTTAATCTATGAATACCAATGCCGCTTTATGACCAAATAGCTTATCATTCGAATAAGAATGACGCTTGTAACCGGCGATAAGAGGAGTGTCCAAAAGTTACACTCGCTCGTCATCGTTATTTTCGTACTGTCAATGAGAAATCCCGACTATTAATAAAGAATTATTAATTAAGCGCGCCGGGATGATTCAAAGGGAGTTCTTCAGGTTGGGATTTGTATTTGGAGTGGTATGACGAGGCGTTCGACTGGGTCTAAATCAAGGCTTAGTGATAAGCCCGCTCGGTTGGTAAACGAAATACTCGACTGATAACGACGAGCCTTTACATAACTTTGACTTGGCGCCTTATCACCAGTGGCTAATGAACCCCGAGCTGGGAAATAATCTCAAGGGGGGAGGAGGGGTAAAGGGGGCGTGGCAGCAGTTGCACATTTTAATTACAAGCTGCCAGGCTGACTCTCGGACAGGAGCAACAAAGTTTTTCGCCCCTTTTCTAGTACAATCGCAATCGGAGGAAAAACTTTTCCCTTGACGTCAGTGGGCCGCCTTTCGACGCTTTCGACGAGTTTGCATGTCAAAGGAGAATTACATTTTTGTTACCTCGATTTAACAATCATACTTGGAGGCAATATGTGCATGCAAATACTCGTATATATGCCTTTTCTTTGGGTGTGTCTACCCAATGAGCGAGCGAGTGAGTCAGTCAGTCAAGCAATTGCCAATTTTAGCAACTGGCGAAAACCCATTTCGGCATCGCTTAAGGACCCTTCTTATTCTGAGGACGAAGACTGTGGGCCATGTGCAACAGTTTTATGCCCGATAATAGTTACTTGCAATTACCAGCTACTTGTAATTGCATTTTCGAATTGCCGTCGCTCGTTTGTCGTCATAGAGCTGAGTTCTGAGTGCCCCCTTTGAGTTGTTTTTGATTGCTGTTCGTTCGGGTTCTTCACTTCGATCGAGTGGCTCTCCTTCACTCCGGATTGACATTTCGAGCATGTCCCGAAAGCCTGCTGTTACATGACAAAGTCCACGGGCCGGGAAATGGAAAACAACCGGCAATTGTCGAGTCACGATAGTGAAAAGCCCATAAATGATAGCTTCCATTTAGATCGAAACGTGTGATGAAATCGCCGGAAGAGATTGCTGGGAAAGTCTGCTGACTCAGTCACTCTTACTTTTCTGTGTCCAAATAATATAAATTCTATTGTCTTTAACCTAATTAGTTAGCTAGGATATTGTATCCCCGAAAATGACCTATCCTCAACTTAAATTAAAAACCCTCAAGCTTCTGTTTTTAATGGATTAAGTTTCTAATTGCTTATCCCCAATTGAACGGTTTAAATAAGTAGGGCAACCCCTACCATCAGTTTCTAAAGATATACTCACCTTAAGAATAAATAAAATGTATACAAAGAGTTTAAAACTTGTCAGTTTTCCCTTAATCATCAATTAATTAAATGGTTTCAGTTTTACCTTCGATTTACAGAGACTGAAAAACTTACAAGGACTTCATTTCACTAATTTATAGTTTGGAACGACTTCGCCCACTGTGTCCTTTATAATCCCCCCCCATTGATTGTGATTCCTTATCGGATTGCCTGTCAACAGGCGGCGCTAATCAGATCCTTCTGCTCCGCCGGCACGACATCTATTTTCTAGGTGTAATTATATTTGCGAGCGCTGCTGTTGCTCCAACCCCACTCCCCCTCCCCCTTTCACCCCCTTTGTGAAAGCTTTCCCCCTCAGGGGGAAAATGGAGATGGGAGATGGTAGATGGGAGAATGGGATTGGGATACGTGGGAGGATTAGAAGGCAGCTGGATGATGGGTTCTTTCAACACCCTTGAAGTGTGGGATTACCGAGCTGGGCGTGGCATTGGTGGGCGGTTGGGTTGATGGGCGGTTGGGCGTGGCTCGAGTGTGCGACTTGC